AAAGCATTACTTTATAAAACTGAAGTGCCACTATTAGTTTTTTTTTTATTATTTTGTAAAAAAAAATTTTTAATCGAGTCTTTTAATGTTTATGAGTTTTTTGAATATAACATAGTAAGAAAATTTTAATCATAAAGCATCTTTTATGGTAATATCATGTTACTATTCATAAAGCACCTTTTATGAACAGTAGCATCTTCACTTGAATTCCATAAATAGCTATCATTGTGGCATACTGATTTTTTTTACTATCATTTTGAGGTTTCAAAAAAAAAAAAATAAAAAAGCAAATGCTACAGTTTGATTATTCCCAGCATTTTCAATCAGATAATGCAATGCAGTATGCCCTTAAAATTTAAGTATAAAAAATATACGAAGACACACAATATGTATAGATAATCTTCAAAAAGTTAGCATCGGAGTTCCCCCCCTCGTCATTTGAACGGTACTCATGACAAAAACACTCGGAAATGTCGTGTAATGTTTTAACTCAAATCCCTTGTGCATCCGAAAAATTCCGCAAGTTTCACTCTCCCACTAAAGGAAGAATTAATCAACTAAGTCTCTCAAAAACAAGGTAAATCAGTTTTCCATTTGAGACTCTTTATCGTCGTTGGCATCATAAAGATTTGGCGAGTAATGATCTTTGGGAACAGGTGAGGTTTTTCAATAGAGTTCCTCTGCCCACTCCATCAATCATTCAGGTAGGGGAGAAACTTTTAGGCGAGACCTATAAGACAGCGCTAAATACGTAAAAACACGAAAATGTTATTTTCTGTACGTAAAAGTGGAGAAAAGAGCTAAAATAAGAAAAAATGAAGAAGGGTTGGCCGGTACATAGTTTGCATTTTCTGCTTATCCTTGAAAATCCGAAATAAATATAATTTTATTTCAACAAATGAATTCTCAGAAAAAGCGGAATACTTATAAAAAATAAATTTTAAAAAACGAAACTTTTAGAGAGGAGTTTTTGCAAAGCTGAAATTCGAGACAAAAGAGAAAAATCTCACCCCTGTAAAGTACAATAAAAGTTTTAAAAAACTTCCTGCAATTGGTGAACGGTCCCTCAGGTAAAAATATTGCTCTTAAAATTCTCAATTATTTCTTAAATTTAATGAATAAAAGGGAGATGGAAAATTTGACATGATGAAGCTTTGAGATTATTGACTGTTTAGGGGACCCACAAGAAATGTAATTAGTGAATGATCCCTCAAGTTCAAAGGTTATGCTACAGATCTATAAATAGAATATCGCGAAGTCATTAGCTTGACAGTGATAAAGACGATGGAGCGTCACCAACGATGAAATTAACAAGAGAAATTAAAATTTCTATCGCTATTAGTGAACAAAAATTTGCAATGTTTAGCTGGTCCCTGTAATCAGCAAAAATTTTAGAGATTTTTTGGTTCAATTTGAGAGGGCGAAAAGTGAAACCTGAAATTGAGAATCTTTTTCAAAATGCAGCAGATTTGCACATGAGAGGATAAAAATCCTTTCTACTCAGTATATGCACAGGTGGATCCGCAAATATTTCATCGAACATGTAAAACGGTGGTATTTTTGACGGAGCGACTGTAGGCCGAAATAGATTGGGGTTGAATTAATTGTAAAAACGTTGAATAGAACAATGTCTTTTTAGATAATTTGTGAAGAAAATCAACATGGTAAAGAAAAAAATATCTCATTTTGGAGAAGGGAAAATTAAGCATTTTTTAAAAACACCCAATGAAAAAAAGCATGTTTAAGCGATTCCTAAAAACTTTTTAAAAACGTACTCTGTTACAGTATTTTTCAAGGTAATAGTATATTACAATAGTAATTTTGCTATAGTACTGAATTCATTTTTTCCATAATTAATAAACATGCATTCCAAGAATTTTGATAATAGTATGATAAAATAGTACAGCAGCAATAATTCCATTGAATTACAACATAATTTTGTAACATACAAATGCAAAAAAATATTGTTGCTGCATAGTTGAAATGTATTCCTAACTAATCTCAATAGCAGAAGAGCTAAGCAATAACACATTAATAAATATTTCTAAACCAAAAACTAAAGTAATATTTTCAAGAACGCAGAACACTAAAATTTGGTATAAATAAAGTTATTTAGTTTATAATAAAAACTTGGGCAACTTAATAATAAGAATTAAAAACAATCTTTGTGGTAAACAGCAACATCTATTTTAGCTAACAACTTTGTATTTCAATTATTATGTTATTAGGATATAAAATCATTTTTAATGTAAAACCATAAAATGTCGACAATAAATGACTTACTTAGTTTTAATGATTCTAAACAATTTTTGTTGACTTCACATAGGTTACTGTTCTTTTCTGTATCATTACTTAGTATATCTTTACTAACAACTGCCGAGTATGTTGAAGGGAATTTTGTAAATGATTCAAATGACAGAGAAGATTTTGTGCCATCTGAAGGTTTAGACCACAGATAATTATGAAACCCTTGTTGTAGAGCCAAATTTTGTGAACATTCCACTACAGCATCATGATTTTCTGAAATTAAAATAGAATAGAATCAATAATTTTGAACATGTAAGCTTTCTATTACTTCAAACTTCAACCAACGAATTCTGTTTATTACACTAATAATTAACAAGCAGAATTTAAACATAATATTGAAGCTAAAATGCAATTATTTTTAATAAAGTAATATTTTCTAAAAACGTTTTTGAAAAGCTCAGGATTTCAGTAGAATTTATTTTAAAGAAAAATTTAAATACAAAACAAATTTAGACAAAATACAAATTTTACATTATGTTTATTAAAGTTTCTAAAACTAGAAACAGAAAAAACCAGGCTTAGTTTTTAGTGCTGATAGCACAAAAATGAAATTTTTGCTGTTTGATACAGTGGGATGACTTTGAAGCCCCACAATAACTGCCTCCAATTTCAGGGTTCCCACTCTATGATGAGATTGAAATTCAAGGACTTTCCAGGACTTTTCAAGGACCTCAACAAAATTTTCAAGGACCTTAATCTAAGACCAATTTTAAAAATTATTCTCTTCTATTTTACTAGAAGCAACAATGCTTGTTGTGGCAATAATTAATTTCAAATATAATACCTAAATGCTTTGCCTATATAGAGAGAAGAGAGTATATGTATTATGGACTAAAATTTATATTTTTTTAAAAACAACCCTACTGGTTTTACATATTAATTCACAAAATCATTTTCAGCACAATCTATAACTAATGGTAATGAGGTGTTAATGGTGAAATCCTTTAATCCTGTGTATTTCCATGTGAAGGCTGCATGAAAGACAGAGCTAAATCTTAGGTATTCCATATTCCATGACTATTCCATAACCCCCTCCTCTCCTCTATTAAACATCGTTTCTGAAATTATTCATCCATAATTTACACAACCTTCTCTAAATGTTATGCAGCAACAATTCTTTCTGAAAATAAAAATTAGAAGGAACATATCCCATTTTCACCATGTTTAAAAGCATTATTCGTTATGTGTAATCCACAACTGCCAATGAATATGACCTGGTGGGAATATTTCTCTTTTAATTCACACTGAAGCTTCTAATAGAATTTCCAATTGACATAGGGTCCATCCATGGATAATTGAAGTATTTTAGAGAGCTTTTAACCATCATCCATGCATTTGTAAAAAGAGGACAAAATATTTTCTGCAGTTCCATGACCCATAAATTGGGAGGTAAGATACTTAGTGCAAACTTTATTATCAATTCCTTACCATAATGTCCATCTGCTTAGATTGTAGAGACTGATTTAACGTCTCATCAAAGAGTACAGTGTAGCAATCAACATTCTTCAGCTCATTTATAAGAATCCCTTTGAAGTATAGTGCCAATCCAAAGGAGCCCAAATAGGCTCACTTTGTGGCACTACAAAAAAATTGTCTCGCTATACAGCTATCAGCAAACATTTTGGAGAACAATTTACTAATCCCTTCACAGGAGTTACATGAATAATTACTAGTGATGCACTTCAGACTCCAGAGAATTTCAGCATCAAGCACATTCCTTTTGACCAGATAAGAAGACAATGTTACCTCGGCCACTAAAGTTTCTGTTTCACATGGGGCACACGATGTTGAAGGAGTATTTACACCAGATGAATTAGATGTTGATGTCTTTGGAAAAAGAGAACTCAGGGCATGAGACTGCTTTTTTGTTTTACCTTTCTTTCATGTGTGATTTCAGAGCAGATTCTTCCATTTTTGCGATATCGATCTCCTTCATGCATAATCGGCACTTGGCTCTGAACTTCTTTTCGGGCATCGATAAAATCCATTCTTTATAAGCTTGATTATCCATCCATTGGGGATTAAAATAGCACTTCCCAGGCATAACTAGTCTAAACTACATAACACAAATACGAAGCTGTGCCTTTGCGAATACGCTTTACAATAAAGTTTTGAAATGACGCAAACAAAAGGACAAGTGCGGATGGTAAAACGGCAAATTTATTGAAAACTACAAGGTACATATTGTTACGAAATTCGAGAGTATTCCAGTTTTGATAAGAAAAAAGAAGATCTAAGAAAGATGATAAAGTGGAGTCTCGCCCCGAACGCATTGATTGTCTACTGTGCTCCGCGCGCTTGGCAGACACCAAGACGCTAGGCCCAGTTAGAAACGGTGGCGTTAAAAACCACGTGAGAGAGCTCGGGAACAAAACAGAAAGAACGAGATAGATCCGCGGGTGTTTTATAAAAAAGGTCGCCGGCAGTATTGGACAAATTCAAGGACCTATCAAGTTTTTCAAGGACCTAAGACGTTTTTCAAGCACTTTCAAGGACCTAAATTTAGCAAAAAAAAATTCAAGGACTCTCAAGGACCGTGAGAACCCTGAATTTATACTTTTATACGTAAAACTTAATTTGAATTAAGCTCCTCATCGTAATTTTGACTAAATTCCTGTAAGAGGGGTGGACGTCTCCAAACCAATCATGTTTGAAAAGACATGAATATTAATGAATGAATTTTATTCCAACATCTACAAATGTACAATTAGATTAAAAATATGAAGCTTTACAGTAATCAAAATCTGAAGGGAAAAAAATGCATGCGCTGAAGCCAAGCAAAAGATTAATTCAGTCTTGTTTGGGTGATTTTTCTCAAATTTCTTGCAGAAGTCATCTTCTTTCTTAAAAAAATCCAAGCTGTATTCTTAGTAGATTTTTAAAAAGAGTGTGGAGGTTAATTTTGAATTTTTGTTAGACCTGAAAATAACCACTCACCACGTTGGTGAGTAAAAAAAAAGGGGGGGGGCGAACCTAAATTAAATAAACAACTGGTCACTTTTTCCTATTACTTTTTTTAAAAATCATTTAATGATAAAAGTAAGCAACATAGAAAGAGACTCTGGAAACAGAATTTTTTCATAAAATGTATAATGTCACCATTCAAAATTTTGATCCTCCAGAATCCATCAATTTTGTGGTGCAAAAATTCATGTGGAGGGAGAGTTCTTTAAAAATTCACATACTTCAAAGTTGTAATGTGTACATTAAGTAAATTTTGTTTCCCTAAATATTTTTACATTAAGTTCTTTAAAGTTAATAAGTTCAACTTAATTTTGTCACATATTTATATTACTTTTACAGTTAAATTAACTTTTCCTACCTGTAGATCATTTCTAATATGAAGTTTTTTTTATAAATAATAATTAATTCAAGCAAAAAAATGAAAAGGACCTATCAATATCAGCTACTGATTCGTTAGATTTGAGGAAAAAGTGGCCGCTAAGGTCATTCGAATCTACTGGCCACTGGATACTACCCAAAAATTTTAATTTTCAGGTCTTTTTTTATAGATGTTTCATATTATGAGAACAATAAAATCATTTTTAAATTATTTTAAGCATACCTGAATTTTTCATACACAGTGAAGAACTATCTTTGGAAGGCATTTCTATCACTTTCTTTTCATCTTCAGACACAGATTTTAATTTGTAGGGCAGTTCTAAAGTGCTAAAATTTAAACAAAACAACATGAACTGAAACAGTTTAAAATAAAATATTGATGCATGGAAACAATTTCAACTTAGAACTAACTTACTTTGGTCGAATAGCATCACTATTGAAGACTTTTCCAGATTCAACTTTTATTTTCTTATGGCTTCGAGTTTTTGAATTGATACCAAAATCTTCATCATTTATATTTTCCACTGATAAATTATGGCAAATGTGAGGAGAGTTTAGTTCTTTGGATTTATTTTTAGAATATCTTGTTTTCTGTGGTTTTGAAGTAACACAAACATCTGGCAAACGATTATCCTAAATATTAAAACATTAATTAATATGTTATAAAAATATCAACTAACTTTTATTTTATGTTGAATCTTGACAACTGTTAATAAATAAATTTGACACTTTAGCCTAATACAAACATTTTATGAATTAATGATTTCATTATTTAAAAAAATTAAGTAGCATAATTTTATTTTACTAAAATAATTTAAGTTTTTGTTTTAAGAATTATAAAAAATTTATGCCAATACAATATAATTAATTAATTACAAATGCTTGATTGTGTTGAGATTCTTGAAAAACAATACAGTAAAAGATAGAAACTTAAAAGATAATAATTAAATTTAAAATTTAATAACTGTTATTTAACAAAGATTTTTTTTATGTTTCAAAAGAAACTCATACAAAGTTGCCAGTTAGTCTTTGTTAAAAAATTCCAGAAATTATGGTTCAGACAAATTAGATTTTAAAGATTTATTATAAATTCAATTGAAGCACAATTAGAGCTTATTGACACAAATAAGAAAACAAAAATGTAAAAAAAAAATTTTTTTAACAATTGACAAATTAAAATTTGGTGAAAATTTTTTCAAAGGTTTAATTTTTTTTTAAAAAATATGGGAGCTATTTTTTTTAGCTTATAATATAAGAAGATGAAAAGAAATCTCATTCTTTTTTGCTTAGAAAAAAAAACAGCTTGTATTTTAGAAAAAGCCAAAACATTCAGTGGGATAAGAATATATTACGTTAAAACATGCAGCTAAAAGAAATTCTTAACTGAACAAAAAAAATTGAAAGATTTGCATACTACAATAAGCCTATTAATATGCATAATAATGTAATGTTACCTAATATATCGATTGAAACATTTAGAAAACTTTTTAACAATAAAGTTAAAATATAAATAATGAATATTTTAAGTAAAAAAAACAAGATTCTATGCACCCAAATCTTCCATATATACTAATGAAACCTTGAGACATACATTTATAAACCACACTTTTTTTCAAAGGTAACATTTTATACCAAGCTGATTCTTAGAATTGTTCTCAGGTAAGTAATAATACGATTCCATAATTAAAATTTCATAACAGCAGAATATACATACGTATTTCAGTACCTACATGGAAATTTAGGTGTTTTCTCAAAAAGATATTTCTTGAACAATTCAAGATAATGTCAATAACCCTTCATATATTAGTGGTGTACCAAAAGTAATGAGCCCTATTCAAATTGCTAAAGTTTATATCTAAAGTTTATATATGTATAAACTGATCGATCTTTTTATTTCGATTCATAAATAAAAAAAACTAACAATCCATGTTTGCTAAATGCTGTATACCAAAATAGTTTTGTACTATTCAGGGTGTGTAGCCAAATCTTTTTACATAAAATAAGCACCCTCTAAGTACTCTTTAGTAATAAAGATAAAGCACTACATACATTAACAAAATGCAAAATAATTTTCAAAGAATTAACATGATCATAATAAAATAACTAGTTTCTGACAAAGAATTCTTTTCATGATGATATTAGCTACCATAAAAGGATCAAGAGATTTTTTGGTTCGATTTCAGATAGTGGAAAATGAAGCCTGAAATTGAGAATATCTTTCAAAATGCAGCAGAGATGCACATAAGAGTGCAAGAATCTCACCTGACCCAGCTCAGTATTTGCACATGGGGACTCGCAAATATATCATCAAGCATGTAAAATGTTTGGCACTTTCATATGCTATGGATCGACGGTACGCCAAAATGCATTGTTTAAATGAATTGTAAAAATGGTGAATAGAACAATGTGAAAACAAGGCTTTTGCATAATATGTGCAGAAAATAGACACGGTAATGGGAAAAAATCTCATTTTCGATAAGGAAAAATTAAGCACTTTCTAAAAGTACTCAATAAAAAAGCACCTTTAAGGGCTTTTAAAAAACGAAAACCTAAAATAAGCACCTTTTAAAAACGCTATGCACCTTGCTATTCGAATGAAAAAATAAATCATGGAAGGAAATTTCAACTAATTAGTATAAATACATAATGCTTTGAAAATTAATAACTAGTCATACTTAAAATATTAGGTAGCATTTTAATGACTTAAATTAAGTTTAAAAACATTTTAAAATAGTATTTAACCTGAGCATAAATTCGAAAATTTCAAACTCTCTTTAGTATCAATAATTGAACCTATTCTAAAGTGAAAATTTTGGGCACAATCTTGAAGACATCGAAAGAAACAATAACATTCATTTAATCAAGTAACTTTACATAAAATACTTCATTGTATATTTTAGGAAAAACAAAGCAGGTTGCATATCTGAACCACACATAAAAAAGGAAACTGTCTTACATTAAAGGCCAATATTACATTAATATATTTAAAAAATATTATCGATTCTACAAAGAACCACATAAATATACATTATGTGATATAATCTTTATAAAAACTGAGAAGAGTATGACAATAGTTTTTGAAAATTCTTTCATGACATTGTGTTTCTTAATAAGTCATAATATTTAAAGACTCTAAGAGAGCAGATACTTGGAGGAAAATGAGGATTATTAAAAGTTATATTCATGAAATAATATGCAACCTTATTTAATAATTTTGGCTCATTACATTTCTTGTAGCAACTGAAAGTTAAAAAAACAAAAATATGTTTTATCAATTTTTCAATACACAAATTTTTTAACTCTCAACAGCCTGGTTAAATTATTAGCATTTTTTAAGCCGACTATTGTTATTAATTTTTGATTGCTTAACTTTGAGAAAACTGAATTATAGCACGATACAGGAATATTTTTCTGCAAATTGAGTACCAAGTCAACAGTTAAAGAATCAAAAATATTACTTAATTAATTGTTAGAATAACTTCAGTCTTTTGTTTAATTTTCGGCAACTTTTACTTCATCTTTATTTTCACTTTTAATCAAAAATTTAAAATGGATATAAAAGTATTATTGATATAAAAAAAAGAAGACAGATAATGCCCAGCATAAGCCTCTCATTACAGACATATTTTTAATTTTGGTGAATCTTGTATGAATAAGCCAGTATGTACCTTCTCTGTAAAACAGACACTCCCCTAACTGGCTGCAGACAATCATTTATGCCTTTAAACATAATTTTCTATCTCTACAAACCGGACAACACTTTTTCTAAATTTGAAAAAAAAAAAATTCTGTTTCTGCTTTAAACTCTGAGGAAAAACTCTTGTATGTACAATAATTTTATAACTCCCGAGAGTGTCCATTTAACTGAAATTTCACTGTATATATATATATACATATATATAGAAGAAAGAAAGAAAAAATATTTAAAAAATTAGTTAAAGTTAGATAATAAAACAACCAAAAGAGACAATCTCGTCATCAGCTCACAGGATTACATCCACAAAAATATTCTAATATTGTATCAATCAAGCCATATCAAAATATATCAATACAATACTGTCGGGAGCACCAAAAGATAGAAGGAGAAAGACGAAACATTCAAAATTACCACATTATCAAAGAAAATTCACAAACGTTCAAGAAAAATACAAAATAAAACACAAGTAGAAACATATAAAGCAAGAAGAATGAATGGGGATCATGAGCGTATGAACATCTGAATGCAAAAATAATTCAAAAATATTTTCGTAACTAAGTAGCCATTTAATTCTAACGTTTCTAAAAATATTTATTCAAATAATATTTTTAATCAAGTAAATAGAATTAAAATTGCAGTAATAATTATTTATCCAAAAAACCAGTAGACACAATCTTTCAAAATTTGATTAAAAATCATGGATATATAACAAATGTAATCAAATTCTATACAAAATCATTGAGTTAGGTGTGTAAAAATTAATAAAGGAATATAATTACATAAAAATCTTTTTGTTATCTAAATTGATAGTTTTACCATGTGCAAATCTGATTCAAGCAAATCTGCATCTTAAAAAATTATATAGCTAACCAACAACCTCCTGAAATATTCAAATAGTATTTTTCAATAAATGAAAATAATTTCTCTAAAAGTCACAGAATTAAAATTTTGTATTTAAATTTATACCTTTTATTAATTATAAACTTTGAATTATTCAGTATAATATATTATTACCTTGTGCAAATCCAGTTATTGAGCAATTCAAGGTAACAGACAAATCAAATGAGGTTCTGTACTTCAGTAAGAGCGAGTTTTAAAAATAAATCCCACTGCCCTCTAATTAAAATTTGTAATCTGACAACAAAGTTACGGAAATATTTTTAAATCATTTTTGCAAGATGTGTGTGATTTGATTTTTATTTTATTCTGCATTTTTTTTAAAAAAATTTGGTGAGTTTTGTTTGATACTTTCATTTTCAAATTAGCTTCTTTTTTCTCTCTCTTCCACTTTGGTGCTTCTCACACTCTTGCAATGATTTATTTTGCTTTGGCTATATTAGAAAGCACTATTTTTGCAGCTATAATTGTGTGAGCTGATACTGAGATTTTATCTTTGTTCTTTTATTATCTAACTTTAATTCATTTTTAATTTTTATCGTCCTTTTTCTTTATTTAAATGTTTTCTACTTTTTATTCCTTTCCATGTTTTCTTTGTATTTTTATCTAATATTATGGGTTCTATGAATTATGTATTTGCAGCTAAACACACAGTTAATAGAACTTATTAAATTTTAAATTTTTTTGTAATTTTCTACTTTTTTTTTCTATTTAGTCTCAATATTAGATGGCTAGTTTTTTTTTCTTTTAACTTATTTATTTATAATTAACTGACATTTTATTGAATTCATTTATCAGAATACATTTTTCTAATTGAATTATGTTTCTAAATTTAAGGGGTTTAAGTATTCAAATATAACAAATGATTTTCAGATAACATTTTTTTTCAATATTTTGTAGATCAACCATTGATGTAATATCAAGTAATAAATAATAGGATAAAAAATATAATTGAAAGAAAAAGTGACTTGAGCATTAATGTGCAAAAGAAAATGACTTACACAAAAATTTAAATATACATTCTCACAACAAAAATTAATAATACACTAAAGCAATGTAACACTAGAACTGATGCATACTGAATAAAATTGCTTTAACAACTACCACAATTAAATAAACAACTTTTGCAAATTGATATAACAACTACCAACAACAACAATTGAATAAACAACTACCTTTTCACTAATATCTGATTCTGCAGTTGAAGTCTCAGTAGTGGTAGATGATGTTTCTTCTTCAGGTAAAGAATCGTTAATTTTTTTAATGGAATTTCTGGTTTCACCATATTTGCTATCATTTTTATTTTTTGTTTTACAATGAGGATTATTTTCAATATTGATAAAAAGATTAATATTTTCATCTCCCATGATATCAAATTCTTTCAAAGATTTTAAAGGGTCATCTGAGGAATCAGGGGTTGTTTGCGTGGCAACACTAGGCTTATTATTAATATTTGAACATGAATGAAATGAAAAAGGTGGTTTTAGAAACCTAGTCCAGCTATTTCTCGGTTGAGATTTTTTAATTTCAATGAGATCCGGCTCTAAACAATAATTTTCCATAGATTGTCTTAATTTAGAAGATTTTTTCCTTGAAGGTCTACTATTTTCACTCAAATGGTCATCAAATTCTTTGGAATTTAATGATTCTTTCCTTTTTGATGTGAGAGTTCCAAAACTTTTTATGGAATTTGATACAGAATTTGTTTCAATGATTGTTAAATGATCTATTCCATTTTCTTTCTTTTTCTTTGTATCAGTTTGATAACAATTTTTGATGTAGCTAAATGAGAAAAAAAAGTCAAAATTAAAAATCTGCTAAATCAGCTTTGGCATAATTAATGTTTGAATTTCAATAAGCACTTTAAAATAAATAAATATATTCATAACAGTTTTTTATAAATAAAATTATTCCAACTTCTGATCCAATATAAATCTAAAAATAAATATAGATGATTGCTAAAAAACGAAATTTTTGAGCTAAAAATTATTTGACAAGTTAATTATTTAGGTCACTCAGTAAGTTCGCTGTAACATCTCACATAAATTTTCAACAAAAAAAAAATGCCATTGGAAAGTATACTTCTCTTAATACTAGGTACCCATTTGCAAACTAATTAAAGAAATCCTACTGACCTTGTTAAAGTGAGCACCAGCCACTCGCCTAATCTAAACATTACTCATCATAATGATTCAAAATAGATCTTCTGAACTGGTTAACAAGGCATTCAAAATTCTTGGAAAAAATTTCTTCCAAATGAATTCAAATTCCAAAAAATTCTTTAAGGAGATGATGCGCAAAAAAAAAGTAAAAATAATTTCTCATTATGGTTTAGAGAAGGAAAAAAAAGCGACTAATTCACTGATCTCTATTGCCAAATGAGGATAAAATATTTAGGTTGTAAAGATTTAAAACATTTATTAATTTAATTAAAATATCCATTCATAATATGCTGTTAATAATAAGCAAAGTTATTTGACAATTTATTTATTGCAAAGTTTTTATTTATTTATTTAAACATGAAACTGCAGACATACTAAGAGACGTTGTAGGTCAAATTTCAATTATAAGTATTTAGACTAAGGGTGCACAACCCGCGGCCAACTGACTGCTGATGTGCGCCCGGAAAGAGCTTCTGAACGCAATGCAATTTTCTTTATCGAAAAATAAAATAATTTTCGAAAATTTTGAATCGCGCAATGCGCTCATTTTGCTCTGATTCTATTGCAAATTCATGTTGTTTCTTAATCAGCTTTTCATTGATTATTGCTACAAAACTCCACATAGTTTTAAAAGAAGAAATATTTTTAATACGAATTTACAAAATGCGAATTTTGAATTAGAGTAATTTTTGCCGATTTCATCATAAATCCAAGAGACCTTTCGATCGTTTTTAGGCACTTATAATTACTGAATTCCACAGGGTTTTTAAGATTCTGATACATTTACAATTTGTAAGTTATGAATTGCGCATTTAACTTATCACTTTTTGACGTTCTTTATTTGTACCGATTTCATCACAAATCTAAATGATTTTTTTAAAGGTAGCTATTGCTATGCTTTACCACATGATTTTAGAAATCCAAAATTTTTATTACAATATTATTTAAACACGCGTGTTTCAAATCACTTTTTGAGATGCTTTGCTTTCGCCCAGTTCATCATAAATACAAGTGACGTTTAGATCGTTTTTTGGCATTTATAACTACTAATTTCCATGTGCTTTATAAATTCCTGATACATTTATTACAACTCGTGCGGTATAAAATCGCATATCTAACTGATCACATTTTGGTGTGCTTTATTTTTTCCAATTTTATATTTTCCGAAAGAAAGTTATTAGTACGTTTTCCATGTGATTTTGAAAATCCAATATTCTTATTACGATGTTATCATGACACACAAATTTCAAATCGTTCATTTAAAAAATCACTTTTTGACCTGCAGATCGTTCTTCGGCATTTATAACTACTAATTTCCACTTGGCTTATAAATTCCCAATACATTTATTAAGATTTGCAAATTATAAGCCACGCATTTCATTTATCACTTTTTTGCCGTCCTTAATTTGTGCTGATTGCATTGTAAATCCAAGCAGTTCTTCAATCATTTTTTGGGCAGTTTCGGCAATGCATGCTCACGTAGTTTTAAAATTTCTGATTTTATTACAACATGTGAATCTTATATCCCGTATTTCAAAAATTACTTATTGGGCACTTCATTGGGGCAATTTGCTCAGGCTAATTTCATCGTAAATGCAATATTTTTTTTCTTCCTTCTTTTTAGCAATTTTTGTGATGCTTTACTTTGTGATTTTTATGATCCCGTTACTTTTAACTACAATGTTAATATGACAGATAAATTTATAAATAATCACTATTAGATACAATTTATTTGTGCATTTTTCATCGTAAGTAAAGTTATTTTTCTGTCATTAAGGTAGTTAGCAATATGCATTTGTATGTGGTATTTAGAATCCCGATTTTTTAATACAATGTAATTGCACCCTGAAAAATTCGAAAGCAAGAGGAAAATGAGAGTTTTTAAACTGCTTACTGTTTGTATTTTATTTTGTTTAAAAATATTTTAGCTTAGGTGATTTTTTTAGGAAGAAGCTAAAAAGAAAATCTTTTCCATTTAAAATTCTTAAGACCTCTTCTAATTCAAGAAATCTAGAACTAATACTAAATGAATACTGAATTTAATTTTGTACTATACAGGATTTGTTTTAATTTTTGGTTTTTGCTAAAACATTATAAATTTTCGTTAATAAAAATGTTTAGTTCAAATTTATATTTCTCTATAAAATGCATACATTTTTTCTTTGCATTTTCATTCTGTAAGCTCTACAGTTTTTTTTCTTCTTTGGTTAAAATTTATACCCCTCCCCAAAAAAAAAAATATATATATATAAATATATATATATTTGAATTTTTTTTAAATAAATTATTGTGAAAACTGGAAAAAGTTTTTTAAAAGTATCAGTTTTTAATTTTTTTAAAAATTCAAATAATTAAAATTATTTAATTTTTTGCAAATATGTTAAATAATAAAAAAACTGCTTGGTACACTAGTGTTTATATAAAAATTATCATATTTGCGGCTAACATAACTAAATATGCATGCGACCTCTTGTTAATCTATCTGCTCGGCAAGTGGCCCTTCGCTCAAAAAAAAATTTCCACCAATAATTTAGACAATATACTGTATTTTTCGGCAGAAGCTCCACGGCGCTATCGAAAAATTTTTTGTTTTTTTCCTACATGCGGCGTTTCCGACGAAATATTTTTTATTAGCGAAAAGTTTTTTAAAGGAAAGTTATTTAAGATTCAATAATTTTCTGAGAGAAAGACTATTAAAAAAAATTAATAACGAAGTCGACGAAATATTCGCCCGTATCGCGATCTGCTGCAGAACATCGGCAATTGTAATTTGAGAGAACAGAAAAGTAAGTAATAGGACCCTAAATTCGACACCCACTGTGGGACGAAATGACGAACTTCGGATCTCTTTCAGAAATTCCAATATGGCCCCAAAATATTACTATAATTCAATTCCATTGTTAATTTCAGAAAAACCAATAAATTTAGTCAAGTTTCGATCGTAGATTATGATGGGGTGAATTTAAAACTGGCCCATCTTAACAAATTTTACTAATCAAAATAATAATCTATATAATATAATCAATAATCTATATAATATAATCCGAATCCTATGAAGAAGAAATAATCGTTTCTTCTTTGGAGCAAGATCATAGTTCTCGTTTTTTCTTTTAGATAACATTTTGTTTTAACAAAAGACGCTTACCTTGCAAGAAAAAAAAAGCTAACAAGGAACAACAACAACAAAAAAAACATGTAACAATTAATGCTAAGAAACTAACAATGAATAACAACAAAAAACAAGCTAAAAACTAATAACGATAAAAAAAACAAGCAAACAACTATTAGCAAGAAAAAAACAAGCTAACTATTAACAAAAAAAATTAGCAGTTAATAACTAATAAAAAGCGGCAAAATAAAAAAATTTATGAATCGAATAAAAAACCGCAAAAGGGATAGAATTCATTTTGTTGTCCACATGGTAGTTTCAATGTCAACAGGGTGTGGCCAATTTATGGACGAACAGAGGAGGGAAATGTGGGGACAAATCAGTAAAGCACAAGCCCAGTAGTCAAGATTGATTGATCAGTTTTTTCCAACTTGCATTTCTTTATTTTGTTCATTGGAAATGCTGGTGTTTTTACTTCTCAATTTATTTTAAACTGCTTAAGAAACAGATGTTTCCTTTGACACAGATTTATTATTTTTTTTCAAGATTCTTTCTTATTTTTAAAAGATAAAATAAAGTAAGATACTTCAACAGAATAAAATTCCAAATAAAAAGAATATAGCTGATTTTTTTTTGTCTTATCAATATAGATTTCTTAAAAAAAATTAGATCAGATTAAGTGCTGAATTTTGGAGTACTGGATTAGGGGTCCCATACCCTTTTCTTTTCCCCAACCCCTTTAAAATATAACTGATTGATGCCTCCCAAACAGCTCCAATAGAAATGACACGTGGAGGAGGTGGGGTACACCCCTCTTTTAAACATTTTCTTCTCTTTCTAAGTTGAGTCACATTGGGTTATTTCCATTGCAGGAGAGGGCATTCTACCCACTAAAATTCCACTCCCAAAGATTGTGAAAGTGAAACTTATTTCTCCTTCGCCCATTCCTTCAGAATTTTTTTGGGGCCTGTTTAGTTATTTCTTATTCTTGTTATTATTAGTTATTTCGTTATTATTAGCTGTTTCGTTATTATGTATTAGTTTTTCCTCAAATTGTTAACGGTAATAAATTTTAAAATCTTTTTATTTTAAAATCTTTCTTTTAATAAATTTTTATTTTATTTTTCTTATTGCATTGTTTTACGGATTCCTGTAATCAGTTCAGCCTTAATTCAGCTACTGAACATATAAATATTTTTTTGCTGTTCTTCTGTTTTTTGGCGCGGTGCCAACTAGTAAGAACAACTTTATTTTATATAGTTTTGTTGTTTTCTTTTCTTTTTTTTTGCTGAAAGAGAAAACTTTTTTTGTTGCTTTTTTTTTGCTGAAAAAGAAATTTTTTATTATAATTTAGAAATTAAAACTTTACTTTATGAAATGCATAAAAAAATTTAATTTTTTATTATACAGATATTCTAAATGGTAATTTAAAGGTCTCTTCTAAAAGGATGCTGATATGTGCTGTTTAGCGCCATTGCGGCGCTTACTATAAGTTTTTTTAAAAAAATTTCTTTTTTATCGATGTGTGGCGCTTTTGCCGATAATACGGTAAACGAATTTATTAAAGTATGTTTACTACAATATTTCCACTACAAAATATCTATCTATCTATCTATCTATATATATATATATACATATATATTATATATGTGTGTGTGTGTGTATGTGTGTGTTTATAATATGCTTATAGAACTTGCTAAATAAATCTGCATATAAAAAAACTCAATTTAATTGTTCTTTTCATCAGGGGATAAATGTTTCATTTACATGTGTATTTAAATGACATAACTAAATTTACCAGCACAGTTACTAAGCAGAAAATTTCAAGATTATGAACTGCTTTTAAAAAATTCAGAGTCAAGACTTTTATAGAAAAATAATTAGGAAGTTCATAGTTATTTGAAAAGTTAATAGAAAGTATTTCCATAAGGAACAATTTTCTAAATTGATATTGATTTAATTATTGTTAACAAACCATTATACAATTAGAACAACAATACAGAAAGAGCACAAATGCAGAAATATATTCTACAAATCCAGTAGCCATAGCATCTAGAGTTGTTATTGGCATCCAATGTTTTAGTCAAATTAAACATAAAAGTTTAAGATGTTAGGCTACTTTTCTAGACGCAAACTTCTAAAAATTTAGCATTCTTGTAAACCTCACATATAGTCTAACATGTTTGAATAACTATAGTAAATATGTTAATTAAAATTTAAAACTATTTGTTTGAAGTATAATGGTTTGTATCTTTATCGTCAAAACCAAACAGGAATACAAACTCAATTTGCACAAAATTAAAAAGAACTGAAAAGTTTTATTGAAATTATAATTATTTAAAGAAATTAAACTTCTGTTGAACAATGAGCTGTAAACATTGTATCATTTATAATTTTCTTTATGCAAAACAAAATTTATCAAAAGATAGTAATTAACAATTTCATCATTCATGTTAAATGTTTTATCTTTTCTTTCTAACAAGTTATTAATTTTACTTTTTTCTTCTTCTCTAAAAAGGTGCTTATTGATTTAACCATAATTCATTTTCCTATCTAACACATAGTACAGGTACTCATAAAAATTTTTTGTAAATTAATGAAAAACTGAAGTTAAAAATGCACAAGTTTTTCAACATGTGTATTAACTTAATTATTAGAATTACCTGTTATTTTCTATAGGAGATGAGCACATAGCATTTAAATCAAAAACATTTTCTTTTTCAATTTTTTCTGCATGAAGACCAACTGTAATGAAAGGGAAGAAAGTACTGTGCAAAAGTCGTTGGCTGTCAAGATATCCACACATACCAACAGAGAAAGTCATAATCAAGGAAAGAATAATAAAGCTGATGTAAGCATAAGGTTCCCAATATGGTCTAGGCAGTGATTTTGAGCAATATATAAGAAGATTCTTAGGTACAGTAGCTAAAAGGGTATATTGTAAAATTTGACCATCAGGACCTTGACTAGTACGGATATTCAGAGTTCTTTCAACATGGGTCAGAGAAAAATCTGGAGTGTATCTATAAAAATGAAAAGGCATAGAGAATATTACTATAGAATAAAAGATTAATACATTTTAAATTAATAATCAGGTAAGACTTTGATATAATTAGGTAACTAACTTACGCAATATCAATTTTTTTACTGGCATTTGGCTTTAATTCAAAACCCTGACAGTTTAAGATCCTAAAGCCATATCCTTGGCATGGTTTACCATTAATATCAAATCCTTTGATATAGATGGGTAATGCTCCAGTATTTCTAGCAGTGAAGGCTCTTCTCACAGTGAAGTTAGGTGCAACATATTTTGGTGAATTAGAATCTAAAAATATATAAAAAAAAATATCTTCATGAAAGAAGAACAGAAGAAAAATTTATGTTAAAGTTTGATAAAAAATAATTACTGTCACAGTCTTTTAAGAGGCGTTCATTGAGCTCAAACATAAGAACTGAATCGCTGCCTGGTGATATATTGCCAAATTTGATTTGCCCATATCCACCTTGACCATGAACAAGTAAAGCATCCATAACTGTTAAATTATTTCTAAATAAAGAAGAAATTTTTTTTAATATTAAACAAGTTCTTAAATCAATTTTAAAAGTTAGTTTAGATGTTGGAACAGAACACAAGTATGATTTCAAATTGCCTATAGATATAATTATCAAGTAACTACATGCAGTTAATGTGATAAAAACTTTACAATTTACTGTACTAATTACTAAACAACTATGAAAGTTACCAAAGAACTCTAGTAAAATTTTAGTCCATAAATAATTTCATAATTTACTTATTTCATAAGCATATCATTTCTAGTTACCAAAAAAATTATCAGTACATTCTTTTAGTACATCTGTTGTGCTCTATTGTGAAGGGTATGCAGAGTAATACAATCAATAAAAGACAATTAACAGGAGACAATTTAATAAAATAACTTATATTTACATATTTTCAGCTTGATTATTATCAATAAATGGAATACAATTTTTATCACAACAAAAGAAGCTTTTTTTTAATAATCTTAATTTCATTATTATATTATTGCATAGCCACTCACTGAGTTGAAAACTCTAAAAATAAAACTTAAATAAATCATACTTGTGTCTACCCCACACATCTATAGTAAAACGTATTTCAAAAAAATTAAGACATTACATAATATTGTATGTATTGTATATATAACCAAAGAACAAGAACAAAAGTAGAATGCTATATTTTGATTAGTGTAAGACAAATAAAAAACAAAAATAAAAAGTAGTATTATAAATTCACGAACCATAAATGATGCAATTAGAAATTATGATTAAAAAGAAAAAAAAGATTCATAATATGAGGAATGATACTATACCCTCACAGATATTTGCAAAAGATAAATGATAGTTTTGAACATCATAAGGATATCCTATAAATTATAATCAATCTAGCTGAGAAGGTAATAGGTTAAGTTTTGTATAAGCACTGATTAAACATTGAAATTGTTGTGCTCAAATTAGAAAATGTGATGATTAAAAAAGTAAAATTTAGCTAACACAATTCTGGGAAGTTATACATTTAAAAAAAATGGGTTATTTGAATATTTTTAAGAAAAAAAAAAGTTAATTCTTGGCCTTAAAAAGGAATGGTGCTAGAAGCTGAAAAGAGATACTTTATTCTCCAAAAAAGACACTCTTCAGCAAAAGAGGGCATGTATCACAAAAAAAGGACTAGGTTAATAAGAGAGATTCATAATATTTTAAGTTCCAGGGGTGATTGTGAGCCCAAGTCAAAATTCCGGAAAATTTCCCGAGTTAAAAAAAAAATTTAAATTGAAAAATTAGAAAAAAATTTAAACTAGGTTTTTCTAGGAGAAGTAATTAAAATTTACAAATATGTCTTACTTTCTTGAGTTTATGATTATAACTATTTACTGATAAAAAATGTATCTGGCTCTCCCTTACAAACAAAATAAATTGTGTTTTTAAGTTCCACTTTTGAAAATTTGATTTCTGGAAACTTCTGTGATCAATGATTTTTTGAAACGTCTGGACCTTCGATCTCCGGAAACTTCCGGATCACTGTTAGCGAAAAATCCGGAAATCCGGATTTTTTCCGGAGCGCAATCAGCCCTGAAGTTCTAAATTTTTTTCATTAAAAAAATTCTAATTTTGAAACAGAAGCAAAACTTAGAGAGGAACCAGTTCTTACTGTTGTAAAACAGAAATTCTAAAATGACCAAGCTAAAGTTAATGAGGTTACTAATATACTTGATACAAAAATAATAAAAAAAAGACAGTGTCAATTTTCTTTCATTATCTTTCACATAAATACAGTGATAGAAATCTTAACATATAAGCTTTTTTTCAAAGAAAATGGAATGTTTCTCAATTTATATTAAGAGTTAATGAAGTTATTCATTTTGTAGTTTTTAAGTAAGTAATCAACCTTATTTAAACAAGCTGTTAACTTGAAAAACAAACTATCTCACTAAAGAGCATTAATTTGTAAAATGTGGCAAACAAGAAGTGCTGGTTAATTTTTTTTCCTAACTACAAACACTTTATCAAAGGAGAAACTCATCACTGAATCTAAAAATTATGCAGTAAAGTTTAGTAGAAGTTTAAATAGACAAAACAATCTAGTTGTTTCTTCTAGAAAATTCAGTATTTTGACTTCATAAAAGCATGCTTTTGTCACGAAAAATAGTTTAAAGCTGAATACTATTTTGTTAAACTACTTATATAAAAAAAAGTCTAAGTTATTTCAACTAATATTTAAAACCTTTAACCTGATTAATATAAGGGATGATTTCAGTGTATCATCTTTAGGTGTGAAGCCAACTTGAATTCGTACTCTCATACCAGGCGTAAGGAGCATAGCAATACTTTTTTTATGCGACTGAATACCAAAAAATTCTTCAAGACTTTTTCTATATGCTGGTATATGATTATCAGGATGAGGCTATAAAACACAGTTTAGAGGAAATTAAAAATAAATGTAAAATAAAATGTACAAAAAAGTAGAAATAAAATGATAGCACACTTATTGAGATGATACAATATGCAGTAACAAGGTATCAACTCTAATAATATAAAATATTACTAACATGTTTAAAATGTCTAAATATATTTCCATATCCAAAATGCGTATTTTAAATATGAAATTTGCATTATTAATATTGATAGTATTATTAATAATATTGATACTAATATTGATGATATATGATATTAATATAGATTTTTATAGCTGCCAGCTAAAAGATAAGATTTTTATTAAGTGAATATTTATGATAATGCAATCGTATGAAATTCTACATTATAATTAATGTAGAAATAATACATAATAAGGATTTTTCTGTAACCTATACAATTAAACATGGAGGAATAATATTAAATACAAAGGCAATAGAACATTTAAACTAACTTTTGAAATTCATTAGAAAAAATACATTTTTGGTGTTAATAGTACAGTTTAATTTTCATTAATAAACTAAGTTGTTCAAGTAGTAACACTAGTGCTACGCTGATTGGTTGAGCAGGAATTGTTAATTCAACAGATTTCTAAAAAAATAAATAATTTCACTAATTTACGTGACTTTCTAAGATCCTTATTACTATTATACTGCACAATAGAATTAATGTGAGCAATACTGAGGTGCAATGGATAAAATGAAAATGATGAAAATAACTGTAGATTTATGCAACTTAATATATATATATATATACATGATCATACGAAATAGCAATTAAATGGAATCCTTCATGAATAATAAGATTTTTTAAAAACTGAATCAAACAATTGCAGGAATGTCTTTTGTGAATACAGAAAATAAACAGAAATTGGTATTTATAAATTTTTAACAGATTGAGTATCTTAATTTTTTTTTATAAAAAAAGGAAATTTTTTAATATTGCCAATAATGAGAAGGAACAGTAAAGTTAAAAGAACATAATAAGCTTAATATAAGCACAATAGGCTTGTACATTAAATTTTCAAAGAGAGATAGTAATTTATTAGAGAGACAAAATTTTTTACCTTCTGAGTACTTATTTCAAAACATTCCCTAAGTGTAGGTAATTTTTTGAAATTAATAATGAAATTTTCCAACAATATAGGAGACTGGAAGAAAAAATTCTAATTCCCCAGAAAAAACTAGTACAAATTTCAATTACTCATTAAAAAAAAGGATTTTTTTTAATATTAAAAAACAATAAAAAAAATAGTTCTTAAAAATTATTAATAAATTAAATTTTTAAAATACAACACACCACAAGGATCCTAAAAGTTACATTATAACAAAACACAAAAATTTATAATAATGACTTACATTATTTTCTTCTAAATCTTCTAAAGTAAAGATATCAGTGTCTTTAGCTATATTACTAAAACCCAATTCATCACCGTATCTTTCTCTCAATGCATTAATTATATTAGTAGGATTTGGATATAAAGAAACAGGAAGTACTTGTACCAAGATGGGCAAACTAGAGGGATTTTCAAGAGTAAAATCTTTGACCTAAAATTTAAAAATTTATGATTATTCTTTCATAAAATTCTTAAAGGTAGAATAAAAATCAGTTTACATTAAAGTGAATGGAATGGTTTTTCTTAAAGTATTGAATTTCAGATTGTATGACAAATTGTTGGTTATGAAGGATTTTGAGCATAGGATTACACATCCAAGAGATTTTCCAATTTTCTTTTTGGCAATTACAAATTACTAAGAATTTTTAATGTTTGTATTTTTAACTGATTTAAAAATATCCTTCTATTTTTTTTCTAATTGAAATATTCACCAAAGAATGAAGAACAAGAATTTCTTTCACTGATCAGTGCAATCAGGACATTCACCTTAGGGTGTGATACCATGTGTCTATGAAAGTCAACTTGGAATAAGTGGTGACATAAATAAAAACATGAAGATTCCTTTAACAATGATGATTTAGTCTTCATTTATAATAAGGAAAGAAAAGAAAATGTTCACTGGGCTCTTATGAACTATATTATGACAAAAATGCTAGCTTTATTTCCTTTAAAATCTTGATGAAATAAGAAACAGAACAACATTAAACAAATAATGCTATTATAAATGAAATAATATAATATAGCTGAACCATCATCTTTAAATATCCCAAAGATAGTGCTCTGAGAGGTCTGCATTTTTTAAATTAAATTCCCTGTTTTTTCCTAGTCAGTAAGGAAAAATTCAAAATTCTCTGCCTTTTCCCTGTTATTTTAGCAGATTTTTAAATTCCCTGTATTTTCCAGGTTTTCCCTAAAGAGTGGCAACCCTGGTCAGTATTTCCATAAAATAGTTTCACAAGCACTACTAAATACCAGAATTTCTATTACAATATTAATACAGGAACTAAAATGGGAACAAGCTGGAAATATGTTAATACTGAGAATTTACTGCAATTCTATTGGTTAAAAAATTAATAAAAAGAAGTTTTAATACAGTTAATATAAAAACAAGTGCAAGCAGAAAGACTGCCAATGACGTTTTATAACTACCTGTGCAGCTGTTATAGTAAAATTGTATTAACATAGAATAACATTGATATATACTCCATTAAATGCTATTTTCTCTGGTACCATGATTTTAAAAAGAAATTTATTTTAGCTATAACTAATAAATGTTGCAATTGCGTACAGGTGTGATAGAGGCTGCTTAAATAAAATAAAAAAATAAAGCAGCATTTTTTTAATATAATAGATGCTTTATAGCTTTGCATACCTTATAATTATAAGCCACAATAAAAAAATTGATAAAAAATGCCAAAAAATCCTTAGTTTCAGTCAAGCTCTATTGATATTTTAGTTTTAATATTGATAATAATTGTCAATGGAGTAGTTAAAAAACAAAAGGTTTATCTCCTACAACTATAATTATACTAAATTAAGTTCAAATAATTATGATTGTTCCTGTTAAAAGCTTTAGTTGAAATTAGGTTTTAAACAAAACCTTTGGTTTTTCATTAAAATATCATGTGATAGCATTTTATTTGCATAAGCACAAATTAGTAAAGTTAATTTTAAAAGAAAAACATCCTCATACATAAATTCAGTTTTTAGTCTGATAAATCAAAAGTTATTTAAACAAACCCACCTCAGACTTTTTAATTTTTAGATTTAGTCATATACATTTCACAAAATTCAAAAAATATATGTTTTATAGTTGATAAATATAACAAGATATAAATGTTTCTTTGGAGTAGGTAAAGAAATGAATACACTGAAAAACACTAGCATTATTTCATAGAAACAGGCTTTAACAATTTAGAAATTAACAAAACAAAAGCAATCATAAACAAAAGCAATAAAACAAAGTGTAATAAAACAAAAGCAATCATTTAAATAAAAATGGATATCAGTAGATAGATAGCAGATGGATATTGCAATACAATTGGTCATTTGAAAACTTAATAGTAGAAAATCATTGAAAATAGAATTATTTAAAAATTTAAACCAAAAATAAAGAGGAAACAGGAAAAGATATAAAACAATAAAAGATACATACTGTGCGGTTACCAATTTGTGTGATAGGAAATTTCAATCTATATCTGCTAAACAAACGGGGCCATTGTAAAGATGCATGAGCTTTTAATAAATAACCTCTAACTTCAGTAGTGTCTATTCTTAAAGTTATATTAGTCCTGAAAAATAATTAAAGTTTAGAATAACACAAATAAATTATGAAAGATAAATTTAGTATATTAAACTTACGTTCGCTCTTCTAAATCAATTAAACTATGCCATCGTTTACAAAGGGTACGAAACAAGTCTCGATCCATATCACCAACATCAGGAGGTAAAGCCATACCTAACAACCACTGATGTCCCACTGAAAATAAAAATGATTTTTTTTAAAAAAGTAACTACAATACTTCTTCATATTATGAAAAAAAGGAGAAAAAAATTTTATCTGCTCAGTACAAACTGAAGCTATTTTGTCATTGATCATCCAACAGAATGTTGTTTTAGGCAAACCAAAATAACTGCTTAGATCTGATATAAAAATATTGATATTTTGCTGATAAATCTAATAATGTTTTAATTTTTAAAAATTTTGTTCAAAAGGAAGTCATAGCATATAGTATTAAAAGCTATGTTACCAATGATGCCCAAAAACAAGTTTGGGAATTTAGAAAAATTTCCTTATCACAGATAGATAAATCAAAACCATTAACTCCTGATATTGAAGCATTTCTGTACATTAAACTGTAATAGCGTTAGACTATTTATCAGTGTTGGTTACATAAAATTTAAGGAAAATGGTACAACTAGGAATTTTCAAAGACAGTTTTACCCATCATAATTTCTTTAACACAAATGATTATAAACTATGCCAATAAATACTTCTTAAAACCTAATAATAATTTAAACCTAATAGTGGTTTAAACCTTATAATGATTTAAACATATACTTGATTGTTGAAACTAGTTTAAATCAGGGTTCGTTGATTTAAATCAGCTTGATTTAAATCCCGATTTAAATCATGATTAAAATCAAATGTTTTTTTAAAAAAATCATTGATTTAAGTCAACTGATTTTTATATATATAATATATTGATTTTAAAAGTTAAAAAACAGTGCTTTAAATTATTGATACTTTTAATATTTTCTTTTCTTAGTTTTAAAATTTATTTTAAATAAATTGCTGCATTAATTAATTTTAGTTAACAAAATTACTTTCTTTCTTGGAGTGTGTTAAACACATTTAAAATTACATGTTTAAAATCTTTTGATTCTTAACATTGAAAGTACAGATTAAAGTAAATATTTAATGCTGTCTTAATATAGACTTGCATAACTGTAGAAAGTAAATAAACATGCTTTTTTTTTCAAAAAGCAAATGTTAATTAAAATTCTACCTTTTGATTAAAAAAGCATGAAATTCAAATCTACATTATAGTTTATTGATGGAAATTTCTATATTACTAAAGCTTGAGGTTATATTAAAAAGAAATTACCTTAATATGCCAAAAATAGAAAGAAAAAAAAAGAAGCTGAGTTCAGATATTTTTTTCCTGATATAGTGTCATTCTTCCCTATCAAAGTCTATTTGAAGCAGTAGGGTTATTAACTGGTTTTTATTTTTCTTCTCATAATATGTTTACGGTATCTTTGAAATTATCAGATTTTCTTTTGTGAAAAAAAATTCCAATGAGTACATAGATTTTTTTAAAAATGTTTTTTAGCTTAACTTATGTATTTTGATAAAGGATTAAAAATGAATATTTTAACATAAAAATATATAGATTGAATATTTATTTTTTGATGAATAACAACATTTATAAACACAATCTGTTGCATTTATTTTGCCATTTTATAAATCATGAGAAAAAAAAGAGATCACAATTTTAAATTAAAATTATGCTGTGCTAATTGAAACTTTGTGTTATTAGTTAAAGTAGTATTCTTTAAATTATCTATTTTATCTTGTCTTTTAATTTCAATCATGCCTTTGTATCAAAATGGTCGCTATGCATTATAATGAAAAATTATTTTAGTAAGTTAGAGCTTCTAAAATATTGTTATAATATAGTTTTAATATTAATTTAATTTTGATTAAACATTTATAAAGTTTTTTTGATCATAAATTAAAGCTCTTATAGTGTATTTAAATAAAAATCAAAAAAATCTGATTTAAATCAAAAAAATCTGATTTAAATCAAAATAATCCGATTTTTTTATTTTTTTTAAAAAAATCACGAACTCTGGTTTAAATAGAGTCAACAAATAAAATTTAGTATATGCTCATAATATATTTGAGTAAAAAACAGCTTCATTTTAAAATTATATTACTTAATTTTTAGCAATGGGTAATAAAATGACATAAAACTTACAAAATGGTATATATGCAATAGAATAACTGTTTTAATGTTAGAAAATGCAAGGACTTTAAAGTTAAACTAATTTTTAGTGATTACTTTTTTAAGTTAAACTTTTACAATAAAATATATGATGTTATTCATAGGAATCTCATTGAAAATAAAACATTTATTACTTGTGTAACTGATATTTTGATCTAATTCAAACAATTTCTTTAGTCAAATCTCATTTTTTTATATATACATGTAACTATGTAATTACTCAATTCAGGTAGGAAATACACAATATATTGCTCCAAAAATGTTTAAATAAACTGCTATTGTGCATATTGAAACAAAGTTTTTTTACAGAATAAATAATAAATTTATTTGTTTATTTCTTCTTCTTGCTCCAGGAAAAGAAGAAATTTAAACCCCACAATACTCTCCTTCAGTCAAAACTATCCAAATAAATTTATAATAATGTGCTCATTTCTCTGAATAACTTCATTTTAAATTATCTACAATATTATCTGCTTCATAAATCTGAGCTGAGCAAAAAAAATATAAAGAAATAAATAATGACGTTTTGTGTCAAAATAAAGTTGATACACCTTTACCTAAGTAATATTAATACAGTGTAAAGTCGTGTATCCGGAATTGGTGGGACTTCCAGAAGTCCGTATAATAGATTTTTCCGATTAGGTATAATAGACCCCCTAGGTAAACAAAGCTTAAAATGATCTAATAAACGATCTGAATCTGAGCAAAAAATAAATAAACATTATTTTTAAGGGGAATAATGTCTTAGTATTAGAATATCTAATCAATCAAACATAAAATATGTATTAGAAAAAAAATATTGCTGAAAATTTAGAAAACTAAAAAAATTTGACAGTTATGAAAATATTAATCCGCCATTTTGAACAAGAACGATTCAAACAGGAAGGGGAAATTCACGTCATTCTGGAACAAAGCTTAAAATGATCTAAATCTAAGAAGCAAAAAATAAATAAACATTATTTTTAAAGGGGATAATGTTTTAGTATTAGATTATCCAATGAATCAAATATGAAATATTAGAAAAAAAATTATTGCTTAAAATATAGAAAATGAAAAAAAAATTATAGTTATGAAAATAATAATCCGTCATTTTTAACTAGAACGATTCAAGCAAGAAAGGGAAATTCCTGTTATTCATTAAAATGGGTAGGTGGAGGAGAAAAATTCATTTCCTCCGTATTTGTGAAAGAAAATAAGTGTAAAGAGTAGATCATTCAAGTTGAGGGCGGGGAAGTTACAAATTATTGTTTTCTCTCCAATCATTGGCTATCAATCAAGCATAAAGGTGGGGCAAGCTGATGGGGTTCTCTTTATTTTTTCTTGTATGACTGAAAGAATCTGCTAAAGAAAGAATGTTACCCCCTTTTTTTCCCCGCCTCCTAAATATTACATGGTATGGGGAAGAACTAATGTTTCTCAAGGACGTGCATCCTTTTAGACCTATTTAAATTTTCCATTTTGATTCCCTCTCCAAACGTTAACGCTTGGTGTGTTTACCCTTTTCTTGGTTTCAGGAAGTGCCTCTTTCACTAGCCAGCTACATAGGAAAGGAGGGGGGAAGGGACTCAGTTGCAATCTTTTGAAAACAAATCTCCCTCTTTCCCTGCATTCCAAAGTAGGAGCATCACTAATGGTCACTCAATGGTCTTGGTAGATCTTCTGTTCCCCTTTGTGATTTATAGGTTCAATGCATAAATCAGGGGTTCAATGCAAGCTAGAAAAGAAAACATGTCAAAAGGCCCTTTTTTCTTAAGAAAGGGGAAGATGAAGAGATGTTTATTTTAATTGTTAAAAAGTGTCCGGGAAATCGATCCTTCCGGAAAAGGGACGTCCGGATATGGGACGTTACACTGTATATACATACAGTTCTGAATTTTCACTAGATTTGTGAAGAAAAAAAATTAACTTATAACCTTAAGAGTTTAGCAAATAAAGCAACATTAAATCAAAGAAGAAAAATACATCGTTTAAAACTATTTAAATGCTAAAAGGATCACATAAAACTCACTTGAAGTAGTAGTTGGTAGGCCACTATAACACTTCTGTTTACAGTATTTTCTGTGATCAAAATGCATTTTCCCTACCTTTAAAAAAAGAATTATAGCTATACATAACTAACACAAATGATTTACAATAAACTACATTATTCAAACATTAGTTTATAGATGGTTGTCTTTACAAGGCTTCTTGTATCAAGTAACCTTATCAACATAACAAAAAATTTGTAATTCAACATTCGACTTTAGTTCATGCAATCTTGTCAAAATCTAGACTACTAGATTTTTACTTCAATTTAATTAGATTAAAAATATTAAATTCCTTGAAAAACAGACCTTATTACAATAATTTTTTCTATCCAGGCAATTGACCTTTTTACAAATTTAAAAATTATCAAGAATTTTATTAGAATTTCTTATAAAAACTTTCAAAGAATTTGTTATAGTATTTTGAGCTCAATACCCATATTTCAACTAGCAGATATGCTTATTTACCATGCAGGCATGCCTTTTTCTAGATGATCAGAATTTGGTAAAAGTTTGGGGTAAAATTAACATTAAGGCATTTTAGTTTTTTGTTATATCAGTTAACTTATTTTCCATTTTTTTTCCAAGGAAGGAGGAAAGCTCATTTTTAAATGAAGTGGTTTATAAACTATCATGGCAAATCAATTATCATACATAGCAGATAGCTAAGAAATTTTGAATCTTCGTTAACTCAATGAGTATAAATATTAGCTTTTTTCAAACTTTAAGTTGGTAGCTTTCTTGGTCCAAAAAAACCTTTATTCAATGAGAAAATAGTATGCAGGGCTACCAACAACTACATCTTTTACAAAATATTTAATAGAGTGGCAGATAGTTAAACATTAAAGTTTCTTGAATTTTTGTTAATTTTTCCAACATTTAAAAATTTTACAAGCTGAGAATTTTCATTAAGTGGCGTTTCATATGAACTTTAGAATCACTGACATGTAGTGGTATGGAAAAAACATTAAATAAATTTGCAAAACAAATATTCATACATCAAAACATAAACTTAACTACAATTAAAAAATTTTTCCCCTGAGCACAAAAAGTTAGCAGCCCTGAGTACCTAGAAGGGAAAGATAAGTAAAATTGTTACCATGGCTCAATACTTGGAGGATGAAATTTTTTTCTCCTGTGAGATTACTTTAAATAAAAACTATTTCAATCACATCTAACATTAACGGAAGTAATATTAACTGCTGTTAACCTAAAACTTGCCACTATTGATCTCATACATACCAAAGTTCTGGAGTTAGGATGTAGTACAGGAGAGCTATGTTTTAAAGGATCAAACATAAACCTAGAATCATCAGGCACAGTAGTAATACCCGTTATAGTCATGGAATGTGAAAAGGTACTGTGGACATATAAACTTTGAGTAGATATTTTGCCCTAAAATAATCAAAAAGTGTCTATTAGAGATAAGAACTGTTTCAATTGCTGAGATAATAAAATAATAAAATGTATATAATTTTAAATAATTAAACTAAATTATCTATATATCATGTAACTAATATTAGCCATTTCAGGCAAGGTTGCAGCCTAAACAACCAAGCTTGCTAAAAGTCAAATGCAACAAATAATAAATTGTTTCATGCTGTACTTTTCTATACTGAATCTTTTTACACTTAAAGAAAGTAAAGAATGAGAAACAATGAAATGAATGAGAAAATAGCAAACAAAGTACAAAAAAATTTAACCACCAGTTAGAGATTGCATAAAAGATCTTTTTTTATTGCAGAAAATATGAAACATTTTAGCCCTTTCTGTCATTTGTATATCAAGCAAATATGATTTATTGCGAAAGTAACAGTCACAAACATAACAAACAAGAAGGCTATGCATTGTTTAGTTATGAAGAACTGAACTTAAACTATAAAAAATGAATATAATCATATACAGAACTAAGTTCACTTACCGGAACCGTTTATTTTCCGGACACTTATCAATCAAAATAAGCAAAACTTTTTATTTTTCAGAAAAGCAAATTTTCATCTTGCTGCTTCTATGATAGTTAAATATTTATTTTGCCTCAATAAGTGCAGTAAAAGAGTTGTTGAAATGACAAGAACAGTGGAACAAAAACAAACTTTAGGAAGAATAAACTATTAGTATTAATGAAGCTGAATATTTATTGTGTATAAAAAGAACACCAGCAGACAAGATTTGTTTTGCTTTAAATTATAGATGTTTGATGTTTTTGAAAAAAAAATCTACTAAATTTTGGTCCTTGTTTCAGTTTTTTTTATTATTATTAAATTAGGCCTTAAAAACCTATTAACTGAAGAAATCCATTTTCCATCCAAACAATTCTGAATATGGGACTTTCCTCTGTAGTTTAAAAGTTATCAACTCTTTTTCATACTTTACAGCAAGTTTTGATTTAAAAAAATTAAGTTAACTTATCAGTCTAAGATTTAAACAAGGTACTTTTTGAAGTTTCTCAGAAAAATGCAATAAATACTATGAAAATTTTTTTCCACATTCATTCCATTTAAGAGTGTTGTAGTACAGTTTCTTGAAAAAAAAATTTCTTGGGGTTAATTATAAATCATCGTAACAAAAGTACAATAAGCTTTATGACAAACTACTGATTTCTACTCTTGTATAAGAATACTTTTGTTATTTGTGGAAATCATTTATTTTCCCTTCATTCTTTTCACGCCTTAAAAAATGAAGGCGTGAATCAGTAAATTTGCATGAACAATAACATTTACTTACTGATAGAAATGTCAGAAGCTAACTCATAACAAATTTTAAAGCTATTGTAATTCTGTACTTAGGACAAGAAAAGTCATAGGATTAGTCATAGTTAAAGTAAAGATACTTTAGAAAAAGAAAGAATCCTAAACCAAAACTGATTTTAAAAAAATAGAATATAAGGTAAGTTAAAATTTAAAATGCTTACTGGAAAGGAATTTTCAAAAAATATTTCATCAACTCGCAATGCACCCTTTGCAGTTCTTAAGTTAAAAGGAACATTTATTTTCTGGAAAAAAAAACTTTTATTATTATTTAAAAAAATAGGAGTTGTAATAAAATTATATTCTTTATTTCAAATAAAATAATAAAAACCAATTATTTATGTATGAAACACAGAAAAAATTATAATAATAAAAACTACGAATTTATTTGATAATGATGAAAAAGTACTATGTGAAATTAAGTTATTTAAATATTTTTCACATCTAATTTTGCTTTAAAGAAACACTTTGGAGCTTCGCACACTTACTTCGCACACTATTAACACTAACTAAGTTATCTGTTATTGCGTTTTTCATGCTAATTTGCAAATAAACAAATCATTGCTAAAAAATTCCAAGTTAAAGTTTTGTTAGTGGTGTAAGTAAGAAAATAAGACCTTATTTAGCTTTTATTGTTATAGCTTAAGAAATTACTTTCGTTCTAGTAAAAGTTTGCATATCAAATAATCCAGGGGTGAAAAAGCTAATAAGACTGATAAAAATTTTTTAATTGCCACTAAAACTGCAGCTTCATACTTTGAGTTGTTAATAGACAGGAATTTCAATTAAATAATATGTAGAAGCATGAAGTTAACATTAGAATAGCATACATTGAAACTTAGTTTGCTCAAATCATCAGATTTGTAGCTAACCAGGAAATATTAGGGTAAGTTATATCACATTTATTTTATCAGTCATCGTTTCAATTCAGCTCAATCAGATGGTAAAACTTCCCAGGCAATAATAAAGTATGTTTTTATAAGCTATAACTTCAAAACGTATTCAAAGCAATCTCTAATATTCAACAGAACAAAAAATAAATAAACAGTTCTAACTCTATGAAAGGGTTGGCCAAACCATGACACATTAGATGATTACAAGTGAATTATGTTCCTCTTTAATTTTTATGCACATCATTTTGCTTATTCTTTTACATCATTGCTTAACTACAACTTCTGATGCAGAGAACTGGGGGGAAATGTAGTTTACATAAAATTAGTCAAATATACATATAATTCTAGAGTTTCATGATACACCTGAGCTTAACAATGTAGAAAGGAGAAGTCCAGTTCTTTGATTACATAAGTAATACAGGGAATTGTACGGTGTGGTAAACTACACCAGGAAAACAGAATGAGTAACATACTCAGATTGAACAGAGTATCATATGTACTTAGCTCTAGCACAAGTGCCTAAGAAGTAAAGAGACAATCTGGAGCTATGTCATCTGAGTACCAGTTGTTGGAACACGTGCTGCATGTTAGAACATGTATGGTTAGGTATGCTACCTCCCACAAACTGCCCTTTTATTCTTTCTTTCTATGTCAAATTGTGTTAGCAGATTTAATCAAGATGTGTGAGATAAATGCATTCTCAAAAAAAAAAATCTGTAGCTTTAAAAGATCATTGTTTATTAATAGTGTAAAAATGCAAGACAAACCAACAATAATCAAAAAGAAAAACCTTTCTTCTTCACCTTCTTCAACCTCTGCTGATGTGCTACTGACTGTTGTTTTCTCCTTTAAACACAGAAACCACAAAACCTTAGAGGACTGGTTTACATTATGCCTATGGAAGCTAGACTTCTTTCCCATGTATATTCTTTGCCTGAGCTTATTTGTCAAAATAATGGCACATTATATAAATGCTGGCTAAATTTACCATACACACTTTAAAAGACTCACAACTTTTGAAAACCTCATTGTGAAATAATTAAAAGTTTAAAATAAACAATTAAAATAGTTACAAATTAATGAATAATAGAAGTAAATAGGGTACATTGTGTCTAATATCACATTACTATTTCAAGTTTTAAAATCCACATAAGCAGAATCCCAATTATATTTTATGTCTATACTTTTCTCAGAAACTAATAAAATTTATAACATTTTGCCACACATTATTTATTTAACAAGGGTTTTAAAAATTATAATGTGATGTATACCTTTGGGTATGTAAATAATTTTTCAATTATAATACATAAATTATTATTGCTACAAATTTTCAAGACTCATTTTTCAATGTACTTTTGAAGTAAAATTCATATGAAAAACTTCCTAAAACTTTTTTCTTATCAAATCAATAAGTATTTAACAAAATGAGAAATAGAGATAGTGAAATTTCAAAACATAAATAACAAGGAATGTAGTAAAATGAAAAGTAATTCATACTTCATATTGTGTTTCAACAAATGCTTGACCTTGAAACAAACCTTCATGATTAGGAGCGGTAATACCAATTCTAAATATTGCGTAATGTTGAGGTTTCAGAATTAGCTAAAAGAGAACTCAAACATATACTTTCATTTACAGAAAAGAAAAGAAACAGAAATAAAATCTGTTAAAAATTTTATTTAAACAAAAAAAAGATGATTTTTTATTTATTAAGTATATAATCAAATAAACGAATTATTATGACGAATTATTATCTTTCCACAATTCACTAATATCCAATATATTGTAATCCTCTAAAATATTTAATAGGTTAGAAAAACAGAAAATTCACATTTAACAATGAGTAATATCAAGTTAAAAAGATATTTTATTTCGGAAAACTAGTTTAAATTTATGTCACATTTGAAAGCGATAACTAGCATTACACTTAAAGAGGAAGTTTAAGGAATTTTAATAGTAAATTTATATTATACTGGCACAGTGCTTAGGTTTATCTATAAAAAAATGAATCGGTATTTCATCAATGAAGTTATTAGGATTTCTGCAACAAGGTGCTTGAATATGTCATATTAAAAGGCCAAAAAGTTATGAACTAAAAAATAAATCTTCTGATGTGTTTATGTGAAACATATATTTATTGAGAAATACTTTAGATAGACTTTATTCTAAACAGTACTAATACTTTACATATTTAAAGTATTTATATATTACATAAAAAGGATTTCCACTCTGTCATGATGATTATTATATTAAAAATTATTAATTTTGGATTTTTTTTCACATATATGAATAAAAATGAGATACATTTTCTTACTTTATTCATTTAAGTAAACAATAAAGTTTCAGATAGCAATTAAAGTATAACAATTCCTAGTGAATTAGTTAAAACAAAAATTTAATCATTTTTGAAAAAAAATATTTTTGCACTAAAATACCATATCAACACATTTGAATAATGCAGCATAGGTCATCTATACAAGCAAAGATAGAATAAAACAGAGCAAGATATTAACAAATATCTTATAAATTTTCAGAAACATTTATAGCAAATGGCATGGCTTATTTCATCGGTAATTCTGTACCACACATAAAAGATATTACGCTTCCAAATAAGTTAATTGACCAACGACCAACGTCAGAAGCTAAGTCTAATGTAAGAATAGGGGAAGATCAATGGGTGCATTTCAACAGAAAGAAAAGCACCCTTAAAAAGTATGAAAGCTTGAATATTAAGCAGCACAAAAAAAGAGAAAAAAGAAATAGGTAGAACAGCTGATCTATAAAGCAAGCAACTATGATCAGATTCAGTAATATAAAAACAAAATAATAAAAAAATATATAGTTTTCATATGGAAGTCAAAACTTTTAATGTGCCATATTTAAATAATTTAGTTCCAAGGAAAAGCAATTATACATCTGTTGTACAAGCAATTGTTGTATACAAAAATTTACACTATTAATGCTTATAATTAGCTTGATAAAAATATAGACAAACAAATCAATTATCAATTTTATGTTAACATTTATCATATTATCACTTCTTTTTCATAAATGTGATTCAAAATTTATCTTAATTGATATAAAAAATTAGGAAAAAAAACATTTAAATAAAAAAAAGGTTATGACTAACAACTAAAACAAATTTAAAATATACTTACACTGCGAGCCATTGATGAAAAATTTTGCCTCCATGCTAATGTGCTGGCATTACCTTTGTCCACTCCAACGAGTTCAACGTAAGTTTTACTTGCATTAGAGCCCCAAAATTTTAAATTTACCTAATAAATGGGACATTCAATATTATTGTAATAACATTGATAAATATGAAATACTTAAATCAAATTTCATACTTAAGACAGAATTTTACACTAATTAGATATACAAAGATACATTTAAAATTATATTAATTTATAAACATAATTTTAATGACTAGCAATGTATTTCAAGAACTTATGTGGCCAGCATTAAAATATAACAGAAAACATAGCTTTCAGCAAGTTCAGACATACAGTAAATTTGCAGATACACAGCTCCACAAAAACAATTAAAAAAAGGCTTTTTGTCCGTAACACCGAACTGAATTTTACTATACCAAAGCAAGTATTGATTGCAGACTTAACACAAGTGTTCTAAATACGCATACATACAATTTAATTTGTTACATAAAAACCATTAAGAAGGTATTAAATATACGAAAAAATACAAACAATACTAGTATATAAGATGTATTTCAATAACTTTCTAACTAAAATTATGAATTTTTTAATTTTAATTTGAAGTAACCAATAAAATATGAATCTAATAATTAATCAATTAAAAATCATTAAAATAAGCTTCCAAATTGATAAAAGTGAAAATGAAACGATCTTAGTTTTAAATAAGCAATCTGAAATCTTGTCTTAAAATAAACAATAAATCCAAATGAATTTTGTTCAAAGAAAAACCAAAGAAGAATAATTTATTTTAATATCACCTATCACACTATATACAATGGACCCCTGATTTTGTGTTCTCCACTGGACTAGCATTTAAAAACGCTAGTCCAGTGGAGTCACGAACAAACCGGGAAAACATAAAATCAAGGTTAAAAAAAATAAAAGCGTATTTTTAAAAATTGACACTTAAGAGATGAACCAGTAGAAAAAATTTTCAACATTTACTTGTTTTTCGTTTTTAAATATTATTTAAACAATATCCCAAACAATACTTACTAATGTTTGCAAATTTGCTTTTTTGTTTACAAAAGCAAATAAATATTGCTGATATTAGCTTTTTGTTATTAGTAAATTTTTATATTTTTAGAATTTTTAAGCTTTGGAACTCTTGATCAATTGTGGGCATCTTTCGATATTTTTTAATCATCTTCATTGTTTTAATCAAAAGCATCAGAAGCGGGGATTAAAACAGATATTGAAGAAATTGAAATGTAATGGGATCTGTGTTGCAGTCGAAATTAAGCATCATCAATTTCAAAAGATCTTCAGTCATTCAATTTTACTCCGAAGGTCGATGTTCTGATTGATGAGCCTGCTTTATTAAACCCACTTGTAATACATTTTAGTCGACTTTGTTCAATGATGTAGAAATCAAATTCAAAGCTTCCTAATCATTTAATTTTGCTTTAAAACCATCTTGCAGATTACAGGAATTAAGAAAAAGAAATGTTTACCTGACCAAATGTTTAGTGCAACGTTCTTTAAATGATTGGAATCCAAGATTTAGAAATAACAATTTGATGGAAAAAAATTCAAGTGAACATTTTACAATTAAAGCTCCCATACTTCCTTTAACCATTCTTTCCGTACTTTGTCCATTCCACATTTTTTTTTTACTTAAGGGGGAAATCCCCTTAAGTAAAACATTCACAACAAACATATGTCAGAACAGCTTAAAACAACTATTAAACAATTCTTTTTCTTAAAGGAGAAAAAAAAAAAAAGAAAAAAATTGGTGCAAGGTTTGTTGAGAAAATATGAATTTGAACTGTTAAAAAAACATATGAAGGGGGACTTTCTAAAAAAGGATAACCTAAAATCCGAAATAATTTAACACTATCTGAATAAAGTATTTCCCGGACTATTAGAACATGATGTAAGAAGCGGGATAATGTATGAAACAACCAACATAAAACCTGGGCTCCACTTTCAAAATCAGAATTTTCTGTATAAGAGAAAAATAGGTTCATTAGTTCATTGTTTATTTCGGGTTCCTCCCCGTCATTTACACTTTCTATGTCCCTTTCGGTTTCATTCTATCTGAGGAGGATTTCTGCTTTTCTGAAGCAATTTATGACAGTTTCTTTTTAACAGCTTTTTCAAGCTTTCTATTTACAAAATAACTTTAGATAATTTTCTAACTAAATAATAATAAATATACTAATTTAACTAAGATTAATATAGCTTTCCATTTATAAAACGTAAATAAAAAACAAGTCTTTCATTCTAACTAATAATTCTACAATCCAAATTTAATAAATGACATACATCAACAGGATTTTCATTGATCACAGCAAAAACAACAGTGCGTTTATCACCCATTCCAAGGGTACCAAAGTCGATGAAACTTTCATTAATTGCATGTGGCAAGAACTGAAAGATAGATAACACAAACATTAAAATGACTAAATTTTATTGTGAATAGAAAATCACAAATATTGTTACAAAATCAAATTAGATCAGGGTGGAAAGAAAGATTTCACTATCATATTTTCTTGATATTTTACATTATTTTTTTATTTTATATTTCATATTATAATAGCTGCTCAACAGTCGACCCAATTTAAGGTTTACAATTACCAATGTTCAACTCCGTAGCCTTGTAATTTTGAACCTGACCCAGAAGATAAGGGAATTCCTGGATCAACTATTGGGAGAAATTTGCCTTTGTCGAGGACTTTTTGATGGATCTAGCCCGCATTTGCATTACATGGAGAGGAAAACCACAAAATCCTCCCACGGTTAACCTCATGGCAAGGGGACTCTAACCCATGATCCATCTACCACTGATGATATTCTACGTTAGCACTGTGGTCAGTGCGAGACCCTGTTCTCCTGATTGAGAGGCCAGCGTTCTATCCCCTAAGCCACAATGGCTCTTACAATACTTTTTGGAGAGGAAAAAAAAGATCTCATAAAAAATAAGCATATATTTACGGTTAATCAATTAAAAAAAAATAATGGTATTGAGCACCCATTAAAAGTTGGTTTGTTTATTTGAAGGGAGGAAGGTAAATAGTTTTATATTATATACATTACTTGGGTGTTGCAGAGGTCAAATTTTTGAAGGGGAGAAAATTAGGAAATTAAAATGCTCAGTTAATAGCATTCTTAATTTCATACTTAAGAAAAAGAAAAATTCACACCCACAAAATATTTGTAAAGAGATTAATTGTTTTTATCTCTTTCTTATTTCTAACTTTGATTAATTTAAATCAATGATGATTTATAAAAAAAATTTTTATTTATCTGAAATATTTAGGGGAACTTTTAGAGTTTTCTAAATACTAAGGGGGAGATATAATCACTTTCTGCCTCTAACAACACCCAAGTGTTTTGCACAAAAATAATTGGAAAAAAAACTTACCACTTTTAATCTTCCAGTGAAACACAGAAGAGGAATGTCAAAATAAGAAATATTGGTATGAAGTCTCAAATAAGATATTAGATGTAAATCTGAAATTGATGGCTTAAAAGATAAAAAAGCAACAGTTGCTGACTGTGCAGGTTTTAAAATTACTGGTTCAATAAATTTTACCTAGAAGTGAAGAAAATAATAATTAACGAGCTTCAAATACAATAAATTGTAAAAGCAAACAATCATTTAATGACAATGCTAGTTTTAAAGAATACATATACAGTTAATACAAGTAAAAATAGTAAACGAAAAATATAATTCAATTGAAAATTATATTAAAATTATATCAATTCTAGATAAAAAAAATTTACAAAGATCAAGACACATTTATTTGTTAAATTAGCAAATAAAAACCTTTTTTTAAGCTAATAAAAACTTACTTAAAAAAAAGACAAAGGCAATAGTTAAAAACCAAAAGTGATTTTGATACATTGTCCTTTCAAATAAAGTGTACAGTGAGGCCAAAATAAAAGCAGCCTATAAAACATTTAGAATGTCAATTATAACTTATATTTTCCAGACTGGCTTTATATTTTCCACGCTGGCTTATTTTGGCAACCCTGTACCTTGATGTATAATATGAATGTTAATAAATAAACTTGTGAAAAGTTTTGCAAGAATCATTAAAAATATTAACTATTTTTTGTTCAATTTAAGCAATAGTAAATCATGATATTAAAATTATTGAAACAGTTCTAAACTCTTATCTTTTAAATTAGCATTTAGATAGATATAAAAGAATATTTTATTTCAGAAAGTAGTAAAATATTTTCTTAATTGAACGTGTGTAGTTGTTGTAACTATAACCAGGGGTGATTGCGAGCCCAACTCAAAAATCCTGAAAATTTCTTGAGTAGAAATCATGAATGACAGATTTCAAAAAATTAATGGCTTTATAAATTCACATTTTTGATATTTTCAAAACATGAAATTCTAAATAAATTATATGCAGCATAATTTAAATGGATATTTATATATAAGTTTACTTTTATGTCAAATCACATATATTATTATACCAGAAAAAATATTTACAAATGAAAGAGCTGCCGAGTATAAATTCTAGTTCTAATATTTCTAAATAAAATATACAAGAATTTTCATACATAAATGTGATAGATGATTATTTGAAACTTCTGGACCTTGGGTTTCCGAAAACTTCCGAATCGCTGTTAGTGAAAAATCCAGATTTTTCCGGAGCACTATCATCTCTGTATTACTCAACAACATCTTTTTGAAATTAATGCCAGTTGGCAAATGAATAGTAATATAACAAAACAGAAATCAATATAATATGCATTCAAAAGTCATTGCAAGAACATGCCTGTGTTTTAAGTTGAGCTTAGTTATGGCATTTTTTATTTTATTTATTCCAGCACAAAGATATTCTCACAATATTATAAGCTATACAAATATTTACTTTAAATTTAATTATCTGGACTCTTGGTGGATATCACTATGGTTTTTCTAGATTGTAATTGGGTGAACAAATGTAGCTGTTTGTTCCTTTATGGAAGATAGAACACTAAATAGATAAGCAGCTACTTTGAACAACTCTTACATTAAAGACGAATCAGAAGAAGAAATATATAAGAATCATCAGTTAATGCTTATAACTTTTAGTGTATAATTTAGCTGGGAAAGCAAAAACATAAAATAATAAATACAGAGTGCATAGCAAAATCTTTCAACAAAACATAAGCACCTTTTAAGTACGTTTTAAGCACTCAAAAATATTTTTAGCACTATATACATAAAGAAAATATAAAATAATTTTCAAAGATTTTACATGATCATGATAACAAGTTTCTGACAAAGAACTCTTTGCCACCATAAAAGGATCAATAGATTTTTTGGTTCGCTTTCAAAGGGTGGAAAATGAAGCCTGAAACTGAGAATAGCAGAGTTGAACTGAGAGCAACAGATTGCACATGAGAGTGCTAGAATCTCACCAAACTCAGCTCATATGGATGCACATGCGAACTCGCAAATATTTCATCAAACATGCAAAATGTTTGACGATTTCATACGCTATGGACCGACGGTAGGCCGAAATGAATTGTGGTTTAATGAACTGTGAAAATGTTGAATAGAACAATTTGAAAAGCATGCTTTTGCATAATATGTGGTGAAAATTGGTATGGTAAAGAAAAAATCTCATTTTTGAAATGGGAAAACTAAGCATTTTTTAAAAATGCCTAATAAAAAAATGAATTTTAAAAAATGAAAACCAAAAATAATCACCTTTCAACACTTTTTAAAACCATTAAATAACTAAAAATGTTACTATTTTGGGACCTTGGAAATAGGCAGAGAGTGGTGGAATTTGCTTCCTACAGTTAATTAAATAAAATGCTATTATGAAAAAATATTGATGAAAATACATAATTTCAATTCAGTAAATACAATTTTTCTTTTAAAGAAATATTTCTTAGACCAGTTGAGAATATTAAGAATAGCCTTTGTAAGTGCCATAGAGTTCTAATAGTACTAATTATATCATTAGAAATTTTAGAATTTCCTAATAATAAAAGTATTTTTTTTTTTTTTACTGAATTAGTTTATATACTATTTATTAAATAATACAGTTCTAACTGAATAAAATAAATTATATACAATTTATGTTGTATGCATATGAAAAAATTTTAAAAAAACATAGGCAAACAAAAAACTTTCAAATTTCAAAAAAAATTATCACTCACTGAAAAATGTTCTTCTGCTTCATGTGGCAGTGAAATACCATACACTATAATCACAACATTAAAACTATTTGTAATATTAAATTCTCGATCTCGAAAACTGCTGTTATTTTGTAGCCCCACATAAAATCGTGTGCAGTTTTTGTTATAATCAAGTGATCTGAAAAATAAATATTTTAAGTTTTAAATTTGTTAGAAAATGTAAAATATTTTGACACTTAAATATAATATTATTCGGAAAACAATAACTCCATAAACAAAAGATATAAAAAGACACTTTTATCTTAATAAATGTTATCTTTTTCATCAGTTTAGGTAAAGAGTCTTGAGCTTAAATGTTTTCTGATTTTAGTACTGTCATATTTTTACATTTAATAGCAAAAAAATTGTTTAAGTAACAACCTTAAACTATCTAACAAGTACATAGTTTGCCTAAAAATTTCAGATATCAAATTCAATAGATAAACAATAGATTAAGTTGAAAACAAATTTAATTTTAATAAAAAAGTAGTTATCTATTGTAAGTTAACCATTAAGAACAATGATTTCTTAAAACTTTTGATTTCTGAATAAAGGACAATGAAAATTATAATTTTTTCCACTACAATTTAAAATTAACTTTAAAAACTATTAAATCAAATTAAAATTTGCAATTTTCAAATAAGATTTGACAAGAATTAATAAAAACAGAATCACAAAAAAAAAAATCTTTAAAAGATTAGAATTGCATAAAAGTTTCATTATTACCAAAGAAATTCACAATTTACAGTTAAAATTTCAATTGAGAACAAAAAATATTAACATATTAAAAAAACTTCTTATATTTTAAGATAATTAAAAGCTTTAATAAAATTGTAGGGGAAACTTCAAAAGGTTCATAACTAACTCATATCTTCCATCAAAAAAAATAAAGTGAAATATTTTCATTATTTCAAATTTACCTATTTTAAGGAAAAAAAATTTCTTACAGAATTTTCAATCCATATTGAGATATAATAATTTCTAGCAATACTTTTCCATTCTTGTGGTGGTTAAATTTTCATAAAATTCTAAAACTCACTAGAAAATTTTGTTATTTTGGGTTGCCTCCATATACAAAAGCCTTATATATTATACCAACTTCTAGCAATACTTTTTCATTGTTCTGGTGGTAAAATTTTCACATAGTTCTCAAACTCACTAAGAAATTTTATTTGTTATTTTAGATTGCTCCCACATACAAAAGCCTTATTAATTTATTTATTTTATAATTTAAGATTAGACAGCAAACCTTGCCAGCAATATTATTTATAAAAATTTATATTTCCTGCAGTAAATCATATTGTTACCAGCAACTAAGATTCTTAGTTGCTGGTCAAATTATATTTCTTTAAGAAATATAATTTGACTGAGTTTTTATTTTCCTTTTCAAAATAACTCAATTTTCTGTAAATCATAATTAATACAAACTGTATGTTTCTTAATATCAAGCAAAAATTGTTCAATATATTAATAAAAAGCTGGAAATAAAATACTGAAAAAGTTGCAAGCATTTAAAATGAAATATTTTTAGTAAAAAATAGTTGATAAATTTTATGTATAATAAAAGCTGAGCTTACCCCTTCAATAATTTCACTTGATAAGGTATTTGTAATTTATATTGATTATTTTTCGATTTAATAACAATTTTTCCACAACACTGCTTCGTATGCAATGCTCTAGAAGCTATAAAAATAGAAAAGTATCAGTAAATAGAAAAATATCAGTAAATAGAAAGTATCAATCACAGTATTAATAAAACGAATGTATAATTGCTTTCAAAAATATAACTTAACCTTTTCCAGGGCCTTTGATAAGTTATCATACCTGCATATTGGGTTCAACCAGAGATTTGTAACACTTTCAACTAAGAATAGGGGAAGAAATCTTCTCCACAGTTTAGAGAGAGAATGAAACTACTGAGGGATGCATCCTATTGTTTTGGTCGCTATATGAGGTCTCACTTTCTTTAAAATAAGGGGTGAAAAGGTTCTTTACATTTCCCATCTACTTTTGAGCATATATCCCAAGTTTGAATACTCATTTGTTCATCTTTCCATTCTTATACTAAACTAAACTCAGTGGCGCGATAGCCCATCTCAGTTTTCTTGACCTTTGGGCTCTGGGGTGCTAGAGCAGACATTCCGGTTGGGTGGTCAGCCTAACTCGGAACCCCCAGTGTTTAGTTCTTAAGCATGCTTGGTACTCATTTTATCGACCCACTGAAGGGATGAAAGGCTGAGTCAAACTTTCACAGCTTAAGGATCGAACCACGGACCTGTGGCATGATATCGCGAAGCACTACCACTCAGCCACCGGGCGTCTTCCGTTCTTATAGTCAGTTGCAATCTTTGATGGGTTTTTTTTTTCATACAATGTTCAATTTGTGCGTTATTTTTCATATTTAATAGAAAACAGAAAAAAAATTTAACTAAAAAGAGAAAAAGTTCAAATTTGCTGTAATTTTATATAACAACAAGATAGCAAAAAGCCAATATTTGAATTTAAATTTTACATCTTTTCTAGCAATAACTTAAATCTCCTCTATCATAGCTCTGAATTATTGTAAAACAATGACAACTTACATTTAAAAAAAATTTATATCCATTTTAAAATAAACATTTGGTTAAGACTTCTTGAAAAAGACTTGAAAAAAAATAACTAAATGTGAATTGTTTAATAAACTTACTAAAATTACAAAGATATTTTTTGAAATAAATCAATCAGATATTAATAAAGAGAAAAATAATAACAAACATTAAAAACTTTATATAACTTTAGACAATATTTTATAGTTTGTTTTGACAAAATCCTTGTAAATATATAATTGATATAAAACTTAAAGGCAGGAAAGAAATTTTTTTATTATTTTTCATTTATTTTTAGTATTGAGCATAAATATATTTATGGACATTCAGAAATTATTTTCAATCAGAATTGTGTGTGGATAAACTTGAAAACAACAACATGGAAAAAATTTCACATGGAGCTAATGGTGAACATAAGAATGTGTTTTGAAAATTACTATAGCATAGAACAGGCAAGTCACTTACAAAGGGTTGGTAGTGGAATTTTTTTTTCTTCGCTGAATCTAATCAAACCACTAAAGGAGATTTCCCATGTTTTTCAAGTTATGTAAAAGCATCGGAAATTTCCTCGGTTGGCTATCCTATCATTCTTATCTACAGTGGTCTTAGAGGTAGTGTACGGAGTTAAGAAAAGCAGTGGGAAGATAAAATTGTTTCACCCTCGTTACCAACTTTATTTTTGTGATCAGCACTTCTCTTTTATAGTCCCCACCCAGTAGTCGCAGAGAGAGCCGCTTAGCAGACCAATATACTTTCTTACCGAGCCCTTGTGAAAAGGTAAATTTACAAAGATATAAAGTTGTTATTGGTTAAGAATACAGCAAACAATTTTTCATAACAAAATATCTTAAATAAAACAATTTTTAAAAAATTATGCTTTAAAAAATGAAGTCAAAATAAATATACATAAAATGCCATTTGGAAATTTAATTGGCGTTTCTTTAACAGCAGAAAAACCTAAAAAATTATATTTCAGTTGAGACAATATTTTGAAAACTTACAAAAAAGAGAAAAATTGCTAATGAAAATTCTAATAAGTAAAATTTCTACTAACGGTTAAATGTGATTGTAGCTATTTGAGTACTGAATACGGTATCTGGTGGTATCTTAGCAGGAACAAATTTCACATCTACAGCTTCATTGACTGGAGTAGCAATTACATTCTGAAAAAATAATTTCAATGCTAAAATATAGTAACAGAATACATTTCATATTCAATATATATTAATATAAATTCTCAGTAAAAAAAAACATGTTTTTATAAAAAAATAAGTAAATAAATTACATACAACGATATGAACATGTTTTTGTCCAGAATTAAGTAATGAAAGAGTTAATGTTTTAGCTTCATCTTGACTTCTTAGAACTCCAAAATCAAGAACTTCAATGGGACAGTATATACCTGGAGCTAAAAACAAATTATAAAATTAAATGAAATTAAAAAAATTACAAAACAAACATATTTTAGTGATTTAAAAAAAAACTTACATGAAGTCACATCAACTTCAACAGGTAATAATAAATAATCTTGACCAGAACAGTTTGTCCTTATTCGAATAAAAGCTGTGTGATTTTTCTCTGTGCGTGCAATAAAATTTGCTTTAATAATGGGTTTTGTTTCATATGGTGGAATTTCCTGTAATTATAAAAATAAAAAAATATACAAAAAATCAATAAATTTAAAAAAAAACACAGAAAAAAGAAATTGGTAAGAAAATTTTTTATTACTTGAATTAATCATTAAACAAAACTGTCTTGAAAAGAACTACATAAAATAAAAATTTAAGAACCATAGCTACATAAACATATAATATAAAAACACAACAATTATACTAATTAAGAATCATTAATAAATAAATTCCACTCTGAAATCTTACCCAAAGAGACTTTGGAGCTTCATTCTCTCCCTCAGGCAATTCTAAATGTAGATCTCCACCACTCGAGTACATTTCTGTCAGCTATAAATAAATATATTATTTAGGAAATCTTGGATAAATTTACAAAAAGAAATAAAAACAATCATTATTATTAGGTTTTTATTAACAATGACAACCAGCAACAACCAATATTGCATTAAAATATAATGAGGAAAATTTCATTGAAATTTGCCAAAATTTAATGATAATTTATCACAGCTGTTATATAAGACATCAAGATGAATTTGTAAAACTTTCAATATTTAAGTTGAAATAATACTCAGAAAATAAAGCAATTATTTTCCACAGCATTGGTAATAATAGTCTTAACTGAGTTATTATTAACCTAACTAAAAATATATAAAAAAAATTTCAGAGCAAATGCAACATAAGCAACTAATTGATATTGCCTAATTTTTAACAATGATAGAGTTAATATGTTATTCATGTCTAAATTAATGCTACTGGGTATCTAAATCATGATTGTTCAACCTATACTACTCTGAAACTGTAATCCCACCCAGCTGTTAAAGATGAAAATGAAGATAAAACAATTTATAGTAATAATCTCCCTTTCACCTATATTTCAAAAATTATGTAACCCTATCTCCCCTAATCACTTACTGAGGACAGAAACACAAAACTTAATATCCTAACATAAAGCAAAAGCCTTTACAATAAATTAAACATACCTGTAATGTTGAACTATGAGGATTGTGCATGTAAATAATTGAAGAATAACTGCTATTTAAGGGCATTTTAACACCAACAAACGGCCTCAGCCTATAAGGGTTTGGAATTCCAACAGCAGACACCTGAAAAGTGAGAAATTAATGATTGAAAATTTTTTTCAAATTTTCAAAAGAATTTCTGTCATAAATAACTTATTTAAAAAATAATACTAATGAAGAGAAGAGATGTAGTCAAGTGAAAAAATTTAGTAAAGCATGCATTTATTATGATATCAATTGAGAGAATAAACTGAAAATGATGTAACTATTGGAAATTTGACATATTGATAGCAAGTGTAATGTTTTTTTCCATGTTTGAGAAATTGGAAAAAAATCTTTTTTAATGATCGCAAAAACGCGAGTATCTCAACATGTCAGGATAAATAAAGTCAATTTTAAATATTTCAAACTTAACAAATAAATATTTTGGCCTATTTTCACTTGTGATAAATGAGTACAAAGCTTTTGATTTTTGGAAATTAATAAAACAATTTAAATTTATATTATCAAATGTAAGGGATAATTTGGCATTGTTTTTATTTTATTTTTTTCTTACACACTTTTTTACTTTAATACCAAATATAACTACTTAAACGACTTGACAAAAAACTAATAAAGTTTAAATTAAAAGCATTTAAATTAAATGCTAATTCAAAATCTTTAAAAAAAAAAAGACTGTTAAAAAAAGACTGAGGGGGTGAGGTTTTGCCATATGTTTCTCGATCCCGTGATATTGCCGGGCTGGAGTGTTCAGTAGTAACGCGCCAATAAGAATAAAACTAATTCATTTCTTTTGCAGGAAAACATTTTATTTCTCACTTTACACACCAGGTGGTAGTACCAGGATATTTTTAAGGTGATTGTAGATAATTAGTTTTATTTTAAACTAGATTTCAGCACTAATCAATTTTCAGGGATAAAAAAAAAGGCACTTTTATAACCATTTTCTTGAAAATTAACCGCTTGGTAAGGAGTTAAGTTGGTGGTATACCTAACACAAATGAAAATGCATTAAAATTTAATTTAAAGAAATTTATTTTATATGCAAATATTATAATAAAATTGTTTTTACAGATAGAAATCAATGTAATTTATGATTAATTTAAAATCATATTTTATATATTATCAGTTTTTTTAAGTGTTTTTGAAATTTATGTTTGCTTCAAAAAGACAATCTGTGAAGAACTAAATACACATATAACTCAATTTGTACCAACCCATATTGTTATTGTTGCCATTTTCTTTTTGTTTATTATACATTAATAACAAAACTTCAAAAGCATTTTTCTTGGAGCTATATTTCAGTTCTGTCAAGTTTATACCTTGAACAAATCTTTACCCACTAATTGTGCCTTTAAAATTACATTATTTACAGAATTACTCAAAATATTTTCATTTTCTTGCACAATATTTCGATTATAAAAGATTTTTTGGGGATTCTGAACTTTTTTTAAGAAACGCACAATTTTTACATTAATTGGTAAACAAAAAATATCCTACATATTTCTCACTTATTAAACAGACAAAATCCGATGCCCCACATAACTCATCTGTCCACTGCCTTGATTGTCAAAGTTATATTTAATCAATAATTAACAAGAAAAATATAAAATGAAGTTTATAAATACACAAAAATTTTTGTTCCTACAAAAAAAACTTTTTATTTTCTAGTTATTAGAATGGCCTTATCCTTTAAAAAAAAATTGCGATAATAGTGCAGCAATGTTATATACACTATTACTTTTAAAACCTACATAATGAATTAGATTAAGTATAGGGTTCAATAGCACAAGAGCTAAAATCATCAATACTATGGCCAATTCAATTGAAATTTGATTGTCTAAGAAAGCTGATGAAATCAATTATATGAATTAAGCAAAGCAACTAACTATTACATAAAAAAGATGGTTATTTTTAGAATGCTTTTGGGGATTATAGGACCTGCTTAATAAGGTAAATTCCCAGAGTGGGTAGAGAGGCAAATTCCCATGCCTGTAATGTAAGTCACATGAAAAAGAAAAGATTGTTAGTATTACACAGAGTAGAACACAGTAAGTTGTTAAACTTTTATTACTTGAGTTTTTATCAGAGTATTTTAAATCAATTAATGCAGGATCATTACTTAAAAGTACATGATTCATCATAGCGAATTTAACAGGAATTATTCTTAATAAAATTATACCAAAAAAAGAGCGAAAAGACAATGTGAATATATGGCATAAAAAACTGCTTTAATTGGTTATGACATAATTTTTACCTGAAATTTAAAAGAGCCTAATGATGTATGAATAAATAATGTATCTTCAACTATGCCTTCCTCTCGAGCCAGTAATACTACATCAAAACTAGTATTCCCTCCAGGTGGAATAACCTATAAGAACAAAATGAAATCCAAACTGTCAGCATGTATTAATTACATTACTCATTATTTTTAATGAGAAAATTTTGGAAAACTATGATCAATGAGCAAATAAATACAAATAAGATATGAAATGAAAAATTAATTATTTTTGAGCCCCCTAGAAGAATGAACAGAAAGAGATCTCATAAAAAAGGAAAGAAAAGTTTAAAAGACCAAATACATATCTACAACAAATAATTCGCATAAATATACGTTAAATATTTAATAATTAAATTTATATAAGTTCCAAAAATATTTTTAAAAAACATTCATTTTTGCAAGTTTTAGATAATAGATAATAGTTTCAATACAGAAGAGATTAAAATCAAAATTTTCTTAACAAAATTGTGGTATAGTTTGTCTAAAGTATGAACCATTTGTTTGGACCAGTGGCCCTGGCCATAGTAACGAGGTATAACTATTTCAAGTATGGGTGTGGGGTCATTATTTAGCACAGGTTTAGAATCGCTCAGGTCGGGGAAAGAAAGGAAATCTTTCTTGAAGGGTCTACTGTGTTAGCCCTAAAGTAAAGAGAAGCTACCCTCTCTGAAATGAGCAACTCTTGTTTTCATAGTAGCAGACAACCTCAGACTTTGTAGCGGGGTGAGTTCTTACCATAGACAAACTATAGTTGATAAGTGCAATACAAAATTTTATTGTTCTGCCTTCAATTGACTTTGTATGAAATATATAAAAAATTATTTAACTTAAAGTGAAAAACTATAAATATAGTTATAGTTAAAATGTTACTGTGCTTGAAATAATTGTCAGCTTGATTAAATTAAGAATAAGTTTAAATATAAAACTTTTGAAATGAAAAACATTAGAATTTTTAACTTTGTAATCAAAAAAATTAAATAATAGTTATTTTCTTTTGATTGTTATTACTTTTCATGGCTTCTTTACAGGATGAATTCTGCTTCTGAAAAATTAATATTCTTTAAATATTTACAACTATTGCAATATAAATTTTTATATTAATACTTTTAAACTTATGCAACTTTGATTATTCTAAGTAATTTCACATTTAATCAAATAAATAAAAAAAATTTAGATTGCAATTAAGACTTAAATTATTATTGGCATGGTTGTTAAACCTGGTTCTGACATATTGCTTCATATTTTATACAACATTTGTTTTCAAGTTCCTAATTTTAAAAAATTCACGAATTTTAGTTTTATAATTTTTAAACAGTTGTAACATAAGAACTAATTGATCTGGAGAGTTGAATTTAATTTTTTTTATTAAGTTTTTGATGGCATTTTATAAAATATCTTTTTTTAACAGCTTCCCTTGCCAATTTTTTTGAAAAAAAAATACAAAAAATCAACATATTTTTTTTATTTCATTAATAAATACAAGGAACTAAAACAAAACATAATATACAAGTTTTAAGTTGAAATTTTAATTTGCTTATGTGTAAAAAATAATTAATTTACCATCAGTTTACTATCCCAAATTATCTCGGGCAAATGAAAAAAGTTAAATATTAGTCTTTGTATATGTTCACATCTTCATAATCTAAAAAATCATCTGCATTACTTTCACTTTCGCTCTTAAACGCCATTTTTTTTACTCTTTTTTCTATGTAAATTCATCAACCATCGTATATACAATTGTACAAAATACGTCTGCAGTCCCACAAATAGCTAAACTCCCAAACACAAATTGGCAAACTTCCTATCATAGCAGATTATTAATATTTTTTGTTTTGCTTCTGGCCGAATAAAAACTTGATAAAACAAAATGTATTGATGAATTCTGCCATGCCTGAGTTTACTCGGGATAATCAGGGAGAAGCAGTTAAAAACTTAAATTCTAAATTTTTAAAAAAATATATTTAATTTGACATTTTTTTAACGACATTTGAGGATGGTATTGATATAGGTTCATAAAGATAAAAATAATTTTAGTTCAACAATATATAAATCATGAAGTAACATGAATTCATTTCTTTTATACAAAATATGTTATCAAAACACCACATAATATGGTTTTTATGGATTCATTTGCCGAAGTTACACTAAAAAAAATAATTTTTCTTTATTATTGCATCAGAATATCATTTTAAAACTTGGCACACACCTTGCTAAAAAAAGTTTCAAATATATATTTTTTTAGAAAATTAAAAATTAACTTATTGTATATTCTATAAAATTCCATTAAAAACTGAATAAAAGGACACTACATTTAACTTTTTAGAAATTGTGGACTTTCAAAAATTTAAAAATGCATTACTAGGAAACAAATGGATAAAAAAAAAATCTGAGACTTGATATTTTGCATACATTCTGTGAGTTATACCTATGAGCAAAAAATAAACTAAATACAAACTGTGTGCCATTTTGATCATTGGTAGATTAGTTATGAAATTACTCAACCATAACAAATTGGAAAAACTAAATAACTTCATTATTCACAGATACATATCAATTTTAAAAGTTTATAAAATTACAATTCATTTTTACACATAAAACTGTTTATGTATATGAAATTTTAATGTAAGCTAGTAATAATTTCTTCAAATATTGAGTAATTGGTAGTTATGTAAAAGCATTGAGATAGGAAAAAATACATTTAAAATGCTAAACAGACATTTCTTAAAAATTGAATAGCCACATTTGTAAATAATTTCAAAGACATTTATATTATCAGATATAAGCTTAATACAGATACTCAAATTATGTGTATCAATTCTATGTGAATACCTGTCATTTACTTAATGCTGTTAAGATCTTTACACAAAATTTTACACACATTTATCTTACGTATATTGAATATTTTACTGAATGTTCACCATTGTACAACTATTTTACAGGTATTTATCTGACTTATATTGAATATTCATCAGATATGCAAAATTAGTCTGAATATTAACAAGATTGATGACAGAATTATTAATGTTAATTATTTGCAAAATAAAAATGCCATTATTTATTCAAAGTAATTTTAGAAATACACCGTATTACTTCAAAAAACGGTGACACATTTTCATCGTAAATATTGTAATAATTTTGTCAAGAATAACTTTATTTTTAGTGCTATCTTGTACACCTGAGAGATATTAAAAATAAATTGTATTAATACCAACTGAATATTTGAATTATTAAACAGGATAGTAAAATATTTATTATACATTTGCTAAGATCAGTAAAATATTGTACACATCAAATGTCAGACATTGGCAGAATATCACAAAAAGATATCTTCATATATCTTAAAATGACATTCATATGATTTTTTTAAAATGTCTAATTTATGACACTATATAAATTTGGAAAAAGATATTGGGAGAATATTGTCTCGGAAATTTTTTCAATATTATTAAAGATATCCATCAAATGTTACTCTACGACTCTTATGCAATCTGATTTTTTAGGCAATATAATATGAAGGAAAAAAATTTAAAAGAATATTCTTTTTGAGAAAATTTTCCACGTTTGTGTTACTTGGGTTTTAAACTCTTGAAAGTTTTGTTTTTATTTTCACAAAATGGTAGAAATAAGGATTAACTAAAGAAAAAGTTTTGCTGATAAAATTAAGATAAAGATCAAAAGCCTTTGTTATTTTATAGAAACTTAGCTAAGACATAATAGACAAATGTAAGTGTTTACAAAATCCTTTCGTTTATAGCTACATGCCAACTGTAATTACATATGTTTATAGTTACATGCAGGAAAGAACCAGCTCTGTAAAGAAATGAGGCTCATGTTAACACTTTGTTAGTAAACACTGACAAAGAGATTACAAGAGGAAGCACTGACACTGAATATAAAGGATTTAGATATGGATGTTCGAATGAAAAAAAATATAAGTATGGACACAATCATGGAATGGAAATTATTCTACCAATATAATGGCTGAGAGTGATAGAGCAGGAAGTGATTTCAGATTAGTTGCGTTTGTAAAAAAAAGGAGTTAAAATAATTGCATAATGCTTAAATTTGCTTTGAGGCATTCAAAAACTTTTATCACACTGAAAAACAATGAAACAATGAAAAACGATGAAATCTGAATTAAAATAATAAATGATTACAACATGAGATATTAAGAGTAGAATCATTTGAAGGAAACTTAGATTTTTCTTCTTTTTTAGCTATACAATCAAGGTGAAAAGTTTTGTAGAGTTAAATCTTCATTGACACGAGTCAAAAGTTTAACAAATTTTAAATTTAAAAATGAAGACAAGTTTAAACTTTATATTACATAAATTGACTAAATAGATTCTCATGAAACAAAATTGAGTAAAAAATTCATAATAATAAAGAAATATTCGATATAAAAACTAAACACTGTTCAATTTCACAATACCTTTAATAAAATTTACTTGAATTAAAATTAAGTAGTATCTAGTTTTCTAACTAAATTAATGATAAAAAAAACAATCAAAAGGTCTAGATCAACAGAAAACAAATAGTATTTCTTAAAAGAATTTATTTACTTTAAATGTGCTACATAATATGTTTTATCAATTACCATAACAGGTCAAAGAGAAAAAGCAATTCTGCTACATCAAACAACAAATTAAATAAAAAAAATAATCAATAGTAAGTTATATTAAATATAAAGTTTTAAACTGTAATTTCTCACAATGAACATAAATGGACTTAATCATTAATTGATATCAACTAGTGTTTACAGCTCAAGTTAATTTAAACATATCAGTTCTTTTTGACAATCAATATAAATTAATAATTTAAAAAAATAAAAAATTTTAAAAACTGTGAGGAACATAAAAAAAATTGAAAGAATAACAAAAACAAATTAGTCATTTTGAAAAACAAATATTACCACATATTTATTGAAATGTTTACTGATAACGGATTTTACTTTTGAAGATAAAATAAGTTCTAAATATATATTATAGTAAGATTTATAGCTTCTAAAATTCTTGAGATTTACCGCTTAATTCTAAGCTTTTGCAGATCAAAGATAAGTTTGAAGAGGATTGTCTCTTCTGTCCTCTATAATTAAAACTGTTTGGAAAATCTGTAAAGGTGTTTGTCTCAGTAAGGGTAGCTTCACTAGCTTAGAACCTACAGCCATTTATGTAAGAAAATTATTGCTGTTCCGATTTGTCAGATGATTTAGCGTTTAGAATTGCAATTTGAAGATTCAGTCATTTAATTTCTTATAATTCAGTTTTATTTGATTTTTGATGATATTGTGTTTATTATTACAAAGATACAATTGTTTACAATTCTGTTGGGTATCAGTGAATTTATAACATTGTACACACAGTTTTGCAGATACAGTGGAAAGTCGCGTATCCGGAATCGGCGGGACTTTCCGAAGTCCGGATAATCGATTTTTCCGTATAATAGACCCCCAAGGTAAACAGAGATTAAAATGATCTGAATCTAAGAAGCAGAAATAAAATAACATTATTTTCGGGCAATAATGTTTTAGTATTAGAATGATATCTAATCAATCAAAAACAAAATATTTAAAAAAAAATAATTATTGCTATTATAAAAATAAATATAGGAAACTAAAAAAATTTACAGTTATGAAAATATTAATTGCTCTCTCCGCCATTTTGAACTAGAACGTTTCAAGCAAGAAGGGGAAATTCCCGTCATTCATTCATTAAGGTGGGTAGGTGAAGAAGCAAAATTCATTTCCTTCTTACTTGTCATTCAAGTTGAAGGGGGGGAAGTGACAAGTTCTTATTTTCTCTCCTGTCATTGGCTATCAATCAAGCATAAAGGCGTGGCATGCTGATTGGGTTCTCTTTATTTTTTCTTGTGTGACTAAAGGGGATTCCCCCTCCACTTTAACGTTTGCTGTGTTTACCCTTTTTCACAGTACTTCTTTCCCTAACACTTTATCAAAAAGGTTCCAGGAAATGCCTCTTTTACTAGCCAGCTGCACAGGAAAGAAGGGGGGAGGGGACTCAATTGTGCTCTTTTGAAAACAAATCTCCCCCCCCCTTTCCTGCATTCCAGAGGAGGAGCGTTACTAACGGTACGGTCTTGGTAGATCTTCTGTTCTCTTTTCTGTTGATTTATGGGTTTAATGCATAGATCACTAGAAGCTAAGAAAGGAAAAAACCTGTCAAAATACTTTTTTTTTTTTTTAAAGAGAGTGGGGAAAATGAAGAAATGTTTGTTTATTTTGATTGTTTAAAAGTGTCCGGGAAATTGACCCTTCCGGAAAAGGGACGTCCGGATATGGGACGTTACACTGTATTCAAAATGAAAAAAAATTGGTCCCATCCCCTCAAAAAAAAAAAATTCTGTATTTTTCTTTGATTTCCTGAATAAACCTGCATATGAAAATAATTATTATTGCGCACTTTTAAAAAGCGTGAAGTGGAGGGTAAAAAAATGTAACAATTATACAACATAAATGAATTCAAAAGATTTTAAATTACTAAAATGATAAAAATTACCTTTTCTTGAAAAAATGAACAATGAGTATGTAAAGTATTTCCTGATATGGATAGCATATGAATACTTGTATCAGGGCTTAAATTTTGAACAATAACACGCTCCATATGAGGCATGCCAACAGGACTAAAATAAAATAAAAATAACAAATTATTATCAAGTTTCATTAGTAAAAAATAGCAAGAGATATTACTATTAAATTAACTACAATATTTTTTACTATATCAGTTCTGATGAGAAAGAAATATGTACCAATTTACATTTGTTAACATGGTTTGCATTCTTATTTTACTACTTAAGTTTTCATTTTTTTAATAAATCAGTAAAACTCTACTCATTTAAGTTAATTGAGATTATGGCATGTTGAATTGTTCAGATTATCTGAACTTCTGATAGGTTTTTGACACAATATTTTAAGCAAATTCAAGTTATTTTCCAATTGGCCAAAGCATGATTTACAAGCTCTTAATATTGAAATTATGATTTGAAATCAATGATTTGTGAAGCAATTACACATACTTGAGATATATTTAGATCATGCATTTTAATGATCAGTATTAAGATTAAAATCTACATAATCTTTGAATCATATTCTTGACCAAATGTTCCATTAAAACTTAAGTACATAAACTTTTTTCAAAACTGTCGAATTACATACTTTTGGCATCATCTACTTTGATTTTGCAACATAATATCTATATTTCTTATATGTTGTAATGAAAAAGTTGTACGAGTCATTATGTCTTGTGGATACATGGAATTAATTCATAATTCTACCTTTTCCAGATATTCGAATCATTATGGAGACATACTGAACTAGTACTAAATCTCATTTTAATGAAAAAAAGTTGAAAGAATAGTTCATGAAAAAAGAATTATTTTCTTGTTTATATGCATATATATATATATATACACAAGTTGTATATATAGATATGCATATAATATATACACACATATATATACATACTTCATATACATATATATACTGATGAAGGAATTTTTTTTAAGCATACTCATGTTACTTTTTCAGTATGTAAAAAATCCTGAAACTTTCATGAGCAAAATTTTGATATCAAGATAACAGTTTATGTACCATACTTGTTTAATAAATTACTTGCATGTTTGAACTAATATTAATAATTGAATTGACCAATGAAGAATATTACATCATTTTAGTAACTAGTTTAAGAAAAAACTTATTTCTTACAAGAATCATGGTATTGGATTTCGAAATTCTGTAAATATGACGCACAATAAAGAATGTTTAAATCGTGTGAATATAAATCGTAATGTGTAATTTTTAAAAAAAAGTATAAATACAGAAATCAATATTTGAATTAAACACGTGAATGAGAAATGTGATGGCGATTTCAAAAATGCATAAATACAAGTTGCAATATTCATTTTAAAAATGTCTAAAAAATCGAGATAGTGGACTTTTAAATCGCTTGAATACGAATCACGATGCGCAATTTTCAATCATGTAAATACGAAAATGGATGTTTGATATCACAAACGAATACGAATTCATACAATGTATGGATTCTTAATCCATACATTGGATTCTTAAAACGTATAAATGCCAATCAATATTAATTTTAAAAGTATGTAAATACAAATTGGGACAAGGGAGTTTTAAATTATGTGGATTATGGGTATGAATCATGATGGAGGATTTTTAAATCATGTGAATACAAGTTAAAATATGTAACTTTTCAATATTAAAATATGAAAATCAAATAATATGAAAATCAATGTTTATATAAAAATCATATGAATATGAATCATGATAATAGAGGATTCCGGCGCAGTGTCTAATATTTAAAATGGTAAAAATCTGCCATACCAAATTAATTGAATTGGTGAATTTTCATCAATTGATGAAAGAATCACATGTATGTAGACAAAATATAGATGAATCATTAATTTTACTATTGATTCTGAAAAAGTTTTATTATCTCTGAGGAATTTTATCAATAACTAATCCAAGTTTTAGATTTTCTTAACTAATAACAAGCTTGTCAAAGCTGGAAAAAAAGAGAAAAAGGAGGAATAGATAAACCAGGAAAGAATAGGGACTTCTTAAGAGCATGAAGGCCCTTTCCTTCAAACTGTTCCTCCTTCTTCCAAGTATTCTCTGTTAGATTTCTAAATGGTGATGTTTCAAAATTCACTCCCACGGAATAAAGGTTACCCATCAACAAAATAAACAATACTTTGAAGGTGAACTATTCAAAGCTCTAGCCTAGCTGACTAGAGAATGAATAATGGAAGCCATCAAAAATTAGCTATAAAAATTTAGCCTTTAAAAAATTTAAATCAGTTCTTTAGTTTCATCTTTCTATAGGTATTGAACAAAATTTAAAAATCAGCGTTACTTATTCGACAAATCCAAGGCGACGTAACTATGTGTAAATAGTTGGGAATGCTATTTTATAAATAGATCTTCTACTTATTTTATTTTGTCAAATTCTTTAACATGGCATCACAGACATCATATATTTTATTCTGGGAAAGGGGGTAGATTTCAAGTAGCCAGGTCCTTTCACATCAACATTGATCAACACTGATAAACGTCATGTGCGTCTCACGTTTTTGACGATTTCTGGGATTTACAATAATTCTATAAATTTCACCCATAAAAAAAGTTTCCTATCATCAGAATGATAAATTTTTTGTTTCTTAACTTGCTCTACACGAAAGGGAATTTACTGATTTTATTTCAATTTAACACTTCATTAATCAAAGATAATTAATGAAGAAAAAAAAATTTTCTTCTCAAATATTGAGTTAAGGAATACTTTAAGAGATTTCTAAGAATCAAAGGAGACAAATAAAATTATTTGATTTAACTCTCTCCTCCTGAGCAATCAACAGACACGATGACTCCTACAGTGAGAAGTGGGTAGTAATGACTCAGTGTGTTTAAGGACCAGATGCTAAGAAAACAGGTGTTCAATGAGACACCCTTTCTCACTGAGTTATGATAGAAAAGAAACAACGAAGTAGGGGGTGAGAAAGGTAATGATTGATGATATATAGTTCAAGGCTCTTATATCTCCTGACAGTGTAGGGAGCTAATGATCATTTCTAAAATGATGGAAAAGTAAACATCTTTTTAAAAAAAAAAGAAAAATCATAATATCTTACAAGGAAAAATTTTCTGTTATAAATGGCAGGAAAATTTATCGAATTTTGTTCCAGTTATCTGGTTTCCGGATAAGAGGTTCTTTACTGTATTAGCATTAATTAAATGTTTGCACCATTCCTTCATACCACCTTTGTTTTTGCTAGTCTCCTGACTCTAAGATCATACTTAATCCCTAAAAATTGTTTTCAGTATTTAAAAGATCAATTAAAGATACATGAAAATTATATCTGAAGTAAGTAGCAGATAACACCAAAAATATAAATTAAAAGTATGAAAAAATCTTGAGGATTAATGAAAATGATTTAATATTTAACTGTTTCAGTACCAAAATAACAAAAAAAAGAGGGTGTCAACTCTTATTCAAACAATAAAATTGAGCTTATGCTGGCACAATATATGAAAAAATCATAATTAAAAAGATCAATTTTCTGCTTCAAAAACTATTTTTCTCATGCTTTAAGAAACTAATTTTTTTTGTTTTTATAATGAATTTTTATATGAAATAATGCATGAAATAAAATCAGAAAAAAGTACTGAAGAAATTTAAAAGAGTTTTTGAATGAATATGCACATTAATACTCATTATCATGGTCGACAGGATGACAACTACCAATATTGTCTCCTATATAAATCTGTTTTAGCCTACACATTTTGTGAGAATACTATGTCTCACAGTTTTAAATTATTCATAGTAACTTACATGAAATGCCCTATAAAAGTTCTATACAAGATATTTTGTTCAAGATTTTTCAACTTTTCTATGTTTTAGAAATAAAAATTTCTTTTCAAGAAGTACAATTTCAGTGACAAGCTTATACAGTAAATAAACTTTAAAACCTTTAGCTTTTGGCACTTCGGTCACAACTTACATTATAATATTGAATAAATGATTTTCTCCCAAGTAACATAAAAAAGAAGTAATAAAATTCTTTAAATAAGAAAATCTACTTACTGATTGTGAAAATTTAACATGGGAGGATGAAAAGCAATGGGGCTAGCGTAAGCATTTAAATTTTCTTCATTTAGGTCTGTAAAACTAAAAAAAATATCTAATATTACATTCTTATAATCTAAAAGAAATTTTAAAAATGTTAAAGCCTAGCATTATTAGTTTTTAATTATTAATGAATATTAATTTCTACAAAATAGCAAATACAAAAACATCAAGTAGTAATATTTACCTTATTGCAGATGTATCTTCTTCTCTGATAAACTAAAAATCAAAGTTATTATTGTATTATTTAAAAAAGAAAAAACTTACAGTTTTTATAATCAATATAGTATAATTTGATATATGATAACTGAAATATTTCTATAACATGATTTTCTTTTTATTCTTAGATTTAACCTCTTCATTTTCAATTTAACTTAACATTATTTATTTCTGAATGTTTGATGCATACTCTTTTTAACACATTTCCATAATGTTGACTTATTTTATAAAAAAGATTATTATAGAGAAAATAACACTTTTCTGTGCAAATCACATAGTGATTTAAGTAATTAAAAAACAACCCCTTTAAATGATATGAAAGTTTATATGTTCTATAATTTAGACAATAATCTATGACAGGGATGGACAACCTTTCTGAGTGAAAAGACACACAAGTTGCCATTGAAAAGCTGTTGACGACAATTATGGTAATTTTTATATAAATCTTTCTTATTGGTCAACTCAGTGAAATATATTTACATAAGAATGAATAGCTTTAACAATTAGAATTCATTTATAACTAAAAAAGGCAGAACTGATATTTATTTCTAAAAAAAAATATTCCCTGCTTATCAAAAAAACAGATTTATCAAAATAAACATTAAGAAAAAGTAATGGTTCTTTTCTTCATCATTTTACATGAAAAAATTTCATTTAAAAACACAATAAAAAAGCTTAATGTTCATAGAATAAAAGTAAAAAAAAATTATTTTATGGCTCATATAAGTGCAAATTAAATACTTTAATTAAAGAAAACTTATAGATTTCAAAATTATTTAAATTAAAATAAAGCTATACTAACAGAAAGTTAGAATCAGTATTTGGTTAAGAATAAACTTCAACTTGAGAACATTTATATTTAGTGAATGTTAAATTCGTAATTTTGGTAAGAAAGCAGTTTCTAAACTACAAAAAAATTAGAAACACAATAACAAATAATTAAAATTACATGTATTCTTCCACTTTTTGAATTTCATGAATTATAATAATATTTTTTTCAGAATTTCAAATATTAATATGCATGGCATTAACAGCACAAAAAAATTAACAAAACCACTTACAAATAAGATGAAATCAGCAATAAAGGGTGTCAAAAATTGATTATTTAAATTCATAAGTCAAAACTCCTAGTTGTAACAATATTATATTCAAAAATAATGGGATTTTACAAACATAAAAATGCATAAGAATAACTACTGAAAAAAAGTTTTTTTTACTTCGAAGGAAATGAAAAATTTGTTTGCACTAAACCTTCAATTTCTTGAACTTTTTTTATTAGATTTTATTTAAAAAATATGGACTGCAAGATCTGCCTTTTTATAAATCTTTTTTTATGATTTCAAAATTAACATTAACTTTCACTCGTTCTCTTTTACAAATCAATTCACTTTTAGACATTACAACTGCTTCCAAAACAATGCTAAAATTTTATGGAAAAATCAATAGTAACTTTCACCTGTTTACTTTTACAAAACAATTTGCTTTTATACATTACAACTGCTTTTAAAATAATGCTAATTTTTATTTATCCTTAAATCATAACTGTGGTTTAATTGAGAAAACATCACACAATTGGTACAAACTTCAACTTATTTCTTTGCTATAATGAAATCGGTACATGAACAAAAACATAACATTACTTTAGAAACGCTGACTATGAGAATGAATGTATTGATAATAAAATTAACAGCGTGAGGACATTTGGGGGGGGTATATTTGTAGCAGATCGTTTGAATTATCAGTCTGCAAGACGTGTAGGCATCAAACTTGAGTTCTACTTTCCAATTTCAGGATATTTGATGTGCTATATAAAAGCCAAATTAAATATTTTTGTTAGAAATTAAATAACTAGAACTGATTTAAAAATTTAGTTGCAGAATAAATTGCATAAATGTAGAGACTCTAGTTTCTAAGAGATTTATAAAACAATATAAATAATTAAAAAATTTAGACATCTTAAAATTGAAGACTTTTTAAATTAGAGCAAGACTTGCATAAGTTAAATCCACATGCCCCCCCCCCTCCCGATATTTTAATGATTACCATCAGACTTCATAACCCTTTAAAATTAATTTCCTAAAATTTCAGAGACTATCTTGGTTTCCATAACTAACAGAATATGCAATATTAACTCAGATGAAACTTCATATAATTGTAGCAATATTACCCTACATTAAAGCTTTTAAAATAGACTGATAATTTTCAGTAGAAACAATACATACTTCCTGCATCTCCATTGATACACCATCCATTAAATACCTCAAATCACCATCCACATGCACAAAAGCTACAAAAAAGCATGAATAATTTAAAATTTATTTCATTTGTTTATCAGTAACATTAGATAAAACACTGCCATCAACTTCATGTTAAATATCTTATACTCATGATGAATAAAATATTTTACATGAAGTTGGTGGCAATTTTCAAGCGAAATGGAAGCATATTTGAGTCAGAATCACTTTGGATAATTTACAGATAATTTGGTATATATTTATACAGATTATGGGGATAGTTGCTATCGACCATGTCAACCTTCATCTATGAAAAGGTACCACACCATAGAATCGAGTTAACTTGTTTTATACAGTAGAGAATTGGAATTATATTATTGAAGTGGTAGATACACTACAGTACTCCCCCACCAGAATTATAGCTGTAATAGAATTCAATGAATGGATACCACTAGTTGATTCATTGCTGTTTTGTGAAAAGCTGGGAGGGCTGTATTAAGATCACCGTATTTTTGAGTGCTGATAATGAGAGCTGTATTAAGTTCAAGGTCGTGGTCACTCCTGTGTTGCCCTTGGCAGTTGAGTGTATACGTTGTACGCTGTGTGTAATCGAGACTGAGAAGCAACAACGTGATGAGGTCAATGTCCCCGTCAAAAGTCCAATGTGTGGATCATCCATCGAAGTAGACTTGTTCAAATCGTGATGGGCGCTTCTGCCAAGGAGGGCATGTTTATATCACATCCGAAGGTCACAACTGTGGGGATTGTGACTATTCACCATGTCAACCTTCATCTATGAAAAAGTGCTTCATCTAATGATCTTCATGTCCGAGGACTCAATCTTAACCGTTTGAGGGTATTACCTCGAATATGCTAAGTAATTAGTGCAGACGATATTTTGAGCTACAAAATCAGATACAAAAACGTATTTTCTCTGAATAAACATACCTTTTTTTCTACGGATTTGGATTTCTGACCCCTAAAATATAAAGGGTAATCCCAATCTGGGAAATATTAGTCTCAATGGTTTGTACTGGAGAGCAATCCAAAGTTAGACCCCTTAATGTTAATTTTACTTTTTGCATAATCCGCCATATCTAGAGAAATTTTCAAGCAAAATAAAAACATTTTGCTTACTATTATAAAATTAGCTCAGCCACACATAATTTCATGCAAAACATAATTTTTAGTGAGTTTTTATTATTTTTTGATCAGTTTACTTAATAATAGTTTAAAAAAATTTGGAATAGTAAGGTATGCAATTTTTTGCATACCTTACAATTCAAAAGTCTTCGACTATTATTAAATAAAATAATAAAAAATAATATATATTCCCTAAAATTTATTTTTTGCATGGAATTATAATTTGAGCGAATTGAAAATTGCACAAAAAAATTTTTTCAATTCGCTCAAAAATTTCTCAAAAAATGGTGAAATACATAAAAAGTAAAGCTAACATTATGGGGTCTAAGCTTTGGACCACTCTCCTGACTAAACTGTTGGGACCATTTTTCTCAGATTGCAGCTAACCCCAATATTTCTTGGTGAAAAAAGGGATGTTTATTCCGAGAAAGTACAATTTTGTGTCTGGCTTTGTAACTTAAAATATCATCTGCACTAACTAATTAGCATATTTGAGATCACCCTCTTGAACCATTAAGATAGAGTCCTCGAATGTGAAAATCATTAGATCAAAAGTCATTCAGGGCAGTCAGGGCCGGATTAACCTATAGGCACGTGCCTAGGGCCTACGAAATTCAGGGGCCTACGAAAAACTTGGGAGAAAAAAATTTGCTGACAAAAATAATTTAGCTTTAAAAACAACAAGTGTATTTTGCACAAAATTATGAAGATATAAATAAAAATATAATATTTTTCAGTAATAAATTATTTTACAGAATCTTATGATCTAATATATTACTTTTTTGCTATTTTTGGATTCAACGAAATCTTGTATTATGTTGTCGAATTCCAAACTACGCAAAATGTTGTATTCAATAGACATAAGTGCGAGCGATGCCAAACGATCTTGATTCATTGTTGAACGCAAATAATTTTTTATCAATTTTAATCTGGAGAAAGATCTTTCTCCTTCTGCATTTGCATTCATAATTCCTTCTGCATTCATAATTTCAAAAGATTTACTTACGACAATGTTAATTTCCTTCACTTAGTTATCATATCATAGTAGTATCATGAAAACGATGAAGTAATAATGTATAATGTAGTATAAATATTTCTTGTAATTAATCTCACTATCAATGTCCCTGTTTTCTTTGCTGATTTGTTGTTGTATTGTTGACATGAAGTGTTTACATAGTTATCGATCGAACTAATCATAATGGTATTATCGATATCAACTGCAATATCGGCAGTATGTCGGTATTGCAGATAAAGTTCGATAAACAAATTTGTAAATTAAAATCCATATTAATAAAAATGTTAAAAAAAATATGCAAGAAAATTTTAGCATATATTTTGAAAAGAGAGGAGGAGTGGCGGAAGGAGGGGAGGGCCCAAAAACGGCTGTGCCTAGGGCCTACGAAAGGTATAATCCGGCTCTGAAGGCAGTCCATTTATTTTTCTTTTTGTGCACTGTATATTAAAGTTGAAACATGACCAAAAGGACATTTTTGATAAATAACAGATATACAGATCAATTCAAAGATCAACATGAGTATAAGTCATACAAAGGTATTCTGGAAAATTATTCACAGGAAAACAATGTCAAGTAAAAAAAGTATAATTGATGAATTTATTTTAATCTTTGATAAGAAATATACAAAGGTACACATTTTTTTTTTGTTATAAATATATTTTTATGTGAATTGTTATATTATTTTCTGCCTTTTTCTCTGCTGACCCTACGCATTTTATTATGTTCTTCTAATGGAAGACCCAGCCCTGTATTTATTTTAGGCCTGTGTTTGTCAGTTCTGTATTTGTTACCTATTTTAAAAAATCTCAGATAAAAAAAATGAAAAGCATTTTTTCCCACATAAATCTTCCAGAGGATAAAAAAACATGAAATTTTTGTTCAACATTTTAAAATAGTTCAAACTTGAATTTTTTGCCCTAATCTCTGGCACTTGCCTAAATTAGCCAAATGGAAAGTCTATCAGTTTATCTACAAAAAACATAGTTTTCGCCACACTATAGTAAAGATGCAATAAAAATTCGTAATTTATTACAATATAAGCAACTGTGAACAATTTCTTGATACAAAGGACAACATAACAAAAAATGAACATTTAATAGCATTCCTAGATTAACAAATTTCTTAGTTTTTTAATAACTATTTTATATCTAAAATCTCAAATTTTAATTTTTATTTAAAACAATAATAAAAAAGTGTATTAAAATTCAAATATAGTTTGTATTTGCAACATCAATCACATAAAAATTGTAGTATCAGTCACAAGGGATTTTCTTCGATTTTCCACTTTCTACATATCATATGTACTTTCAACGCTTCCTGTTAATTTGAATTTTTTAAATAATTTTTTTTTTAAATAAACGGATTATTGCGTTTAGAAAAATGAGAATATCAAAATAAAAATATGTTCTTTCTATGTAACATCAATCACATTTTATTTTTTAGGAAGATTTCTGTATCATGATCTGCGTCAGAATAATCGGTAACTTGCGGGCAGAAACCAGCGAGAAACTAAACAAAAACATCATAGAACTTGAAGGTTTTTACTTGTAGCAAACACCAATCAAATGTCTATTTGTTTTTTATTTTTTTAAAATTGCAAGTTTAAAATTCATTTGGCACCTTGGCGGCTGTAGATGGTGCTAAAGATCACAAAATAGAAAGATCACGTAATATTTTTATTCTAAATAAATCATTTCAAATTTTCATCCTTCTTTCATACATACATAATAATATTAGACTATTGGAAAACAACTCATATCATTTTTTTTAAAAAAGTGATAAATATTTATCAATGAAAATCTAAAAATAAAAAAAACTATCAAAATCTAACGTTAGTCGCCATGGAATTGCCCATATATTCATATGCATTCAGTATGCAATATTTCAAAAATTCCATGATTTTTATTTTCAACAGCATCATTACTTAATACTTAAATATTTTTATTTTAACAGAGATTTTGGAGATATTTCCGTAATGTGATCAGCCAAGCCAACAACAATCGCCAATTTGATTTCAAACAGGAAAATCTTGAAAAACATGTAGAGGCTTGCCCAGGTGTTACTACGAGTTATACAACTTGAGTTGGTTTCTTTCTGTGATATGTTTTAATAGTTTCTCATGGGTTGCTGCCTGAAAGTTGCCAAGACTTTGTGATTATTCTGCCACAGATCACGATACGGAAATCTTAAGATTTTAGTGAAGTAAATAATACTATTCGATGTAGTTTTATAGATACAGGAAACGTAACTGTGAAAAAAAAAACAAGATTATATCACTGGTTGTTTAAAATTTCTCACAAATTACACTTCATTGCAAATCTTTTAAGAATTTGATAATTTTGGGTGCATGTTCATAAAATTGAAACCATAATTAAACGAGTAAAAGAAATAAACTTTATTTATTACTTAGAGTTCTGAAAAAGGTTTTAAAACAATATATTTGCATGTAAACTTCAACTAAACTAAGGTAGAACCCAAAGTTTTTCTGAAAACTTATAAGTATCAAAACTGTGTTAAACCATTAATATACGAAATGATAAAAATATTTTATCCATTTATTTTGTGTATAATAAAATACTTAAAAACAATATATAATAATGTTCTCATGTAAATATATCTCATGTAAACACAAACTACACAGAGACAGAAACAAATCTTTTTCTGTCATCTTTAATATATAATAATGGTGCTGTACCATGTGTACGGCTATCTGCTGCCTGTACAACTCTGTAAACAGTTTCTAATACGTTATAGAGTAAAAGAATCCTTAAAACTTTCTGATTTCTCATTTTTCCTGTTTGATATTTACATGATACACACGTACGCGCCATACTCTTCTGCTAGTTTATAAATCAAACCATTGATGCCAACTCATGTGTACTGAAACGAAATATTAACATCTTTTCCGAAAGGGTTTTCGTCAGCAACTTTTTTTTCCTCTTTGGACAGTGGTCGGAGGCATGGAAACTGATTTTTTTGCCTGGGATTGAGAACCTGATTAGTTGATAGATTTTCAGCAGCGAAAAACTCGCCAATCAGGATCTCGTTCGAATACGATATCTGTTCCATGCCTATATATATTTACGCAGAAAGGGCAAATGATCCCTTATCTTACTAATCAAAGGATTTACGCGCATCTCCGATCATGATCGAGAGCAGTGGATGAAAAAACTACATTATTTTAGCAAATGCTACAACAAGTTAAGTAAAGCTACAACTACCTTTTTTTTTTAAATGCAACTACAAACTACTTTGGAGATGTAGTCACTATTTCAGCACTTTTAGAAGACGAAACTCGGCAAGAGAACTTAATATACACCCAGGTTCAAAATAGGTCGGAATAAAAAAATTGGCTTATTCAAACGTAATCAATCATTTCGAAATATTTATTCACATTTACAAGACCCAATTAGTTAAACCATTTTCCAAAAATTTGTTCCTTTAAACTTCCAATTTTTTTTTTTTTTTTTTTTTTGCCTTTCTCGACAGCGAATTTAAGAAAAGCTAGACAATTATCAAATCTAATAAATTTTGTTAAGTATTATTTTCACTAAGAAATACAGTACAAAGGTTGGTAGATAGGTGGGTATTTTATCTACGTCGCACTTAAGCTGGACAATGGGCTATTAGTGACAGTCTGGGAAACATTCCTGTGAGGATGATCCGAAGACATGCCATCGCAATTTTGATAATCTGCAGGGTGGATAGCTCTCTGCTTTGTTGGCCCGACGACTTCCTCTCGAAATCGAGCACTTTACGGTCGAAGAGCGTTACGAGGACCGATACGGAACACCCTCAGTCCCTAAGCACCTGCGCTCTCACACGCTTACTGACAGCAGCCAGTGAAACTTGACTTCAGAGTTCTGTTGGGAACCGTGTCCTTAAGATCAGTCCACTGCGGGACAAAAAAAACAACAAGAAGATAAGCTTTCTTCAATAGAATAAACATCAATGTTTCTTGAGAGTACATTCGCATTTGGTGGTGGACCCAAAGTGATAAATTAGCTATTATTGGCTAATTTAATATCAGTAATTCAATTCAAATTCTTATTAGCGCTCAGCTGTAAGGGCATTCTCCTAGCATCCACTAAAGCAGGGGTGGCGAACCTTTATGCACCAACGTGCCATTTTTTCAAAAAACTGTTTAATGAGGTCATAGACGTGCCGTCAAATAATTTTGACTTCGTGATTACTGGGAAAATATTACTAAAACTCTTTATTTACATTGAAAAAAAAAACATTTTGCAATGTCTCAGTTATACGCGTAATTCAACTTAAAGTAACATTAGTGTGGCTTCTGTTGTTGCAGATTAGATGACAAATAACTTATATTAGGTTGTAAGATGTTAGTTTAAGCAGGACTGTTAATTTTTTTTTTGCTAATTATTTATTGTTAGCTTGTTTTTTATGGTTATTAATTGTTTTTAGCAAAAAATGTTAATTTTATTACTAATATTGCTTTATTATTATTTTTTTTGTGAATTTTAATTTAATTGTTACATATGCTTCATAACACAATGTGTGATAACAATTCATAGTGCAATAACAATTGTGATCGGTGGCGTGCCCAAAATATTGTGTCGCGTGCCATAAATGGCATGCGTGCCATTGGCTCGCCAGCCATCCCTGTCTTAGAGCATCAAAATGGTATTAAATCCAGTAAATCGAATTAAAAATTGGATAAATATGCCGCAATACGGTAGTTTTCAGCTTAATTGAAACATTGCTTCTGAAGCTTGGAGAATGACAAAACTGGAGGAAAATTGTATCGCACTGTTTGAGAGAAAGATTTTGCGGAGTATACTAGGTGGTGTAAATGAAAACAATAACAGGAGAAGGAGATTTAACTTTGAACTATACAAGAGTTATAACCAACCCGATATTATTAAATACATAAAAATAAATAGAATGAATTGGATGGCCCACGTGATTCGAATGAGTGATGACAATACAATAAAAAAAGATATTGCTTTTTAGACCCACTGGAGCAAAAAAGCGGGGAAGGCCGCGGTTGACATAGTTCAACATAGTTTTAATGTTGAGTTTTAATTTAACATAGCTTTAATGTTGAGGGTGGCAACTTTGCAATGCGAAAGATACATTTTTCACGCATGAGTATTTTTTGAAGCATTCATTCTTAAAAATGTTATTTTACACTTTGGCACTTTACTGTAACAAGTTAAAATTTCAACTTTTATAGGAGATAAACACTTTTTTTTTTTAACAAACATTAACACTAAATATTGCCATTTATTTAGTGTAGAGCAGTGATNTATATATATATATGCATACAAAATGAAAAAGTTTGAAAATATTATTAATGTATATTTAGGACACAAAATATTTCGACATAATTTTTGACAACAAGCTCACTTTTCCGCCCCATAATCTTTATTTTAGAAAACGTTGTGAAAAAACTTTAAATGTGTTACGTGTTCTCTTAAATACTTTCTGGGATGCGGAGAGCATCACCCTTATCAGAATCTACAAAGCATTGATATTATCACGCATAGATTACGCTTGCTCAGTCTATGGCACTGCAACTGCTACAAATTTGAACCGGTTGGCTATAGTGCATCATACTGCAATACGACTCTGCAGCGGCTCATTTCGAACGTCCCCAGTCGAAAGTTTATATAGTATATGTAATTTATGACTTATATATTTTAGACGTATGTAGCTCTGTCTTACATTTTACTTTCATGTTATGTTATCTAACTCACATCCTCTTCGACATGAGATTATTCCACTAAGCTTACGACTATTACATGATGCGCGACCCTCATACATACCCCCTTTTAATACTCGCATGTCATTCAGACATTCAATTTTTGCGAATCACCATCTCAATCAACCGATTGCTTTCTTAACAAGCCTTGTGTTACTTCGTCATATCACTTTCATTCTCTATTTGCTTCATACAGAAAATCCAGTATAGCTCCTAACGTGTATATTTGGCTATTCATCTCTCATCGTCATGAGTATTCCCAGTATATTTCCGTATTTACGGATGGGTCAAAATCTCCAGGACATGTTGGTAGTGGAATCATTATAGTTGATCGAACATACAGTTATATCATACCGTCCATACGCTCTGTATTTACTGCTGAAGCTGTAGCCATTCTCATAGCTCTACGACTTATCTCATCACTGACCGCACGAAAGTTTTGCAACATTTACTCTTACAGCCTAAGTGTTTTACGCCAGCTGAATCATATAAACAGCGAAGCTCACCCTATTTTATGAATCATTAAACATCTGTTAGTTAGTCTTTACGAAAATGGTTTTAACATTTTGTTTTGTTGGATCCCCAGTCATTTCAGGTAACGACATGGCTGACTCTGCTGCCCGATCTGCTACAACTCCATTAACACTATAAGTTCCCATTTCTGACATGAAGAATTACATACGACATTTTACTATGTCTTTGCTGCAGCAACACTGGGATTAACAAATTTAGAACAAACTGCATACTATTAAATCCACGTTAGGGCCGAGGCCTGAGTTGTAATTACGTGAAGCAAATGTCAAGCTCATCCGCCTTCGTATAGGACATACTCGGCTGACTCATCTTCATTTGCTGTTCGGAGAACCGCCTCCTGGGTGCTATACTTGCAAAGTTTTACTTTCAATTCATCATATATTAATCTCTGGCTCATATTTTAACCAACATCACCTCACCTTTTTTGGAAGCACGATTTTATGAATAAAAGACTAGTTAGATAAAAATCACCATCCTAACATCTTTGCATTTTTACACGCTATTGGAATTTGAAGTTGTATATAATTGTTTCATACTTCTTACCATTTTAGTAATTTTACCATGAAGTGTTATTGATTTTAATATATGTAACTTTACACCATTGTTTTAGAATTTGCATTATCTCATCTGATTTTATACATGCGTTCTACTTTGCTTTTAATTCTGTGTCACGCAGTGGACTGATCGTTAAGAGACGATTCCCAGCAGATCACCGAAGTCAAGCATCACTGGCTGCGGTCAGTGTGCGGGTGGGTGACCACTTGGATCAGTCTGCGTAGGGACCGAGGGTGTGCGGTATTGGTCCTCGTTAAACTGTTTTACCGTAAAGTGCTCGACTTCGCGTGCAGGTCGTCGGACTACCAAAGCGGGGGTGCCATCCCCTCTGCAGAGGCTCAAAATTGTGATGGCATGTCTTCGGATCATCCTCAGGGATGTTTCCCAGACCGTCGCCAATAGCCCATTGTGCAGCTCTAGTGCGACGTAAATAAACTACAACTACATTTAATTCTGTTTAAATCCGCGTCTTTGGCGCAGCATGTCCTTTTTTTGAACCTTGTGCCACTAAACCCTACATTCAATTTGACCATTTTGATCAGCCTGCGTAAGTACCAGGGGTTCGCTGTATCGGCAATCGAAATAGGCTGCAGGTGGCGTAGAGCAGAACTCTCTACCTATGGTAACACTTCGCATGCTTTCACTATTAGCGTGTGGAGAGTCATAGAAGAAGGAAGTACGGTAGTTTCTGTCTTGATTTTCTTTCAAATTAATATTTTTTGGAACTGAAAACTATTGGAACTGGAAATTATATGGAACTGAAAACTACATTAAACATAGTTCTAAAAGAAAGCATCATGGAAATTTACAAAAATACTTTTATTCATTAAAAAACTATAATATTAAGAAAAGGAGAAATATCGTAGTATATTCCTATACAACTGAAAGGAGCAGGAAAGGGGCCAAAGGCATGAAACCAGTCTCTTCCCCAGATGGCGCATTCGAGCGTTGCAAAAGCTTATCGGTCCTTGTTAAACTGTTCTACCGTTAAAGTGCTCGATTTCGCACGCAGGTCGTCTGGCTACCAAAGCAGATGAGCCATCCCCTCTGCAGAGAACCGAAATTGTGATGGCATATCTTCGGATCATATTCAGGGATGTTTCCCCGACTGTCGCCAATAGCCCATTGGGAAACTCTAGTGCTACATAAATAATTAACCTACCTACCTGGCTCGCAGTGGACTGATCGTTAAGACATGGTTCCCAGCAGATCACCGAAGTCAAGCATCACTGGTTGCGGTCAGTGTGCGGGTGGGTGACCACTTGGATCAGTCTGCGTAGGGACCGAGGGTGCGCGGTATTGGTCTTCGTTAAACTGTTCTACCGTAAAGTGCTCGACTTCGCGTGCAGGTCGTCGGGCTACCGAAGCCGGGGTGCCATCCCCTCTGCAGAGGATCAAAATTGTGATGGTATGTCTTCGGATCATCCTCAGGGATGTTTCCCAGACCGTCGCCAATAGCCCATTGTGCAGCTCTAGTGCGAAGTAAATGAAAAAATCAATCAATCAACCAGACTGTCGCCCATTCTGCAGCTCTAGTGCGACGTAAATGAACTACAACAGCCAACCTAGCAATTTTATTTTTCTTAATCAATGAAAGCTGCAAGCGCATGTATAAAGCACAAAGTGACGAAACGGTTCATAGGATTACTACTACTACTACTTTATTTCCTGGAAAAGTAAGATTGAAACGTGATTTAAATTTAAACATTTTTCGATTTTCCATTTAATGGTGAAATTTTTTAATTTAGTGTAACATGCTGACATCCTTTGGTTTTTAAATAAATTTATTTGAATAATAAAAGGATTGATTATACAAATCATATTCATTTAATTATATTCTTCACCGAATGCATTTAGTTATCATAATTTTATTGCAGCGAATCTGGTTTTCTATGTTCAAGTGTTTTTTTAAAAATTTATTTTATTTAAAACAATGTAATCAAGCGTCCAAGAAAGGAACTAATCCTTTCAGAATACATCGAGAAAACAATTTAATGCCATTAAATATTATTTATATGTATGCATATTTTTGTTAGTACACATAATTTGTAAAATTGATGGTCAACTATTAAAAAAAGGGCCTCAAGGGAGTTAATTTTTAAATTATTATAGAATATCTAATTCGTAGGGTCCCAACAGTTTTGTGGCCTTAAAGTATTTTCAAAGTTTTCTTTAGTGATCTAAAAGAACTCGAAATTTTTGTTTAATGCTTCGAAAATAAAACATGATTGAAAAATGTAAAAAAGTTTAATTTGTACAATTGAAAAAGCTATAAGCATACATAAGGAGGGGGCAAAATATTCCAGTTGTGTATTTTTTTATTTATTTTTTACATGAAGTAAAAATATAACATTCCTGAAAAAATCAACAAGCACTCTTTAAACCTTTCTGGTCGTATTTTAATTTTTTGCAACAATAATTACATAGTATCATATATATATAAAATAAAAAAAATACACTTTGTGCATTCGCAAAATGGATAACTGTGTTCTATCTCCTTGGTACAATGGACCAACCTTTGTTTGCATTGAACTAACATAAATTACTTACTTTTACTATTCTAGTTTAAAGATAATTTTTAAAATTTCAGCTACTTTAAAAATTTTAAGCATTATAAACATTTCCAAACTTACATTTTTTGTAACAGGACTATTCTTATATTTTCATTGCGTCTGTTTACAAATGAGTCCTACACTTTCATCAATTTGATTTAAAAGTTAATATGCTTTTGGAAAATGGTTAGTACAATCGGCACGGCTCTTCTGTTAGAGTGCAAATTTTTTTCTCCTAAAACTGGGAATTTTTATTTCACTTAGAAAAAAAAAAAGAGAAGGAAAAACAATTAGCTTGAAAGTTTTCAAATATTTTAAATTTTTTTACTACAAGAAACCAAATAGTTCAGGGAACAAAATTTCTTTTCGTCCTTCCCCCTCCCAACTATAGTTTTGCTAACCAATCAAAATTATAAATATTCTTAGGTCCAAAGTAGTAACATTCATAAACAGTTTTGAAAAATGCTGAAACATTAAGTTGATTGAAGTTTGTGGCTCGTGATGAACTTGTTGCTTAAGGTTGGCAAAGAGAAAGATTTTGATGTCTTTGTCTAAAATAATGTAACCAATCTTCTGCTAACAGATTTTTTTTATCCATGAATAAGCATATGAATTTGCTATTCCAAATTCATATGCTTATTAAAAAAATGAATTTCTATGAATATTTAAAAAAATGAATTTCTTAAGAATTTAAAACTGTTAGTCTCTTTCAATGTTTTAGGGAAGGAAGTACAGAAAAACTTAATTTTTATCACTGTATACAAGTTTAGATAGATGTTAGAGTATCATAATGAAATTTTAAAACTATAATTAAATTAACAAATCACAATATAATCTTAATCATAACTACAAATAGCATACTGATTTTCATTATCAAATAGTGTTAAGCATAAATACCTTCTTAAAATTGATCTTAGATAATATGCTAAAGTTATGCAATAAATACTTCATATATTTTTATATTGATGATCAAAATATTTTAGTTTATTCTTTTCTGAAATACCAAGAATATTTATTCACAAATAACTGAATTTTCATTTATAAATTAATGAAGAAATATATGCAGTTTAAAAATATTTGATAAAATTATTAAATATTCTGAACTGAAAATAGAATAAAACGAACATTTTAAAGTGCATTTTGAGATAAAAGGTATTTATTCAAAAAATAGAACTTTTGTAAATTTTCAACATTGTAATATATTATAATAAAACAGAATTTTTTTCTTTCCACATTTTGATAACTTTAAAATATTCTGTTTAGAATTAACGGAAAGGAATTTGGAATTAACAGTTCGTGCTATTTTATTTTTAAAATTTATTATTTAAAAAAAGAAAATTCATTGAATTATGCCAGTTAGAGAGAAAATTAATGTTTAAATTCACAAAAGTATACAAAAAAGTAATAAGTTTAATTTTTAAAATAATTCTATCTTAAAGGAAAATATTAAGTAAATCAAAATTTATGAAAGCATAAATAATTTAAATGCAAGTGTTCGCATTTATTTAGGAAAATAAGGATTATTTAAATTAGGGGTGCACAACCTTTTTGAGCGAAGGGCCTCTTGCACGGCAGGTTGGCTAACGAAGGGCCGCACATGTATTTAGACATGTTAATGACAAATGTAATAATGTTTATTTAAACATTAGCGTTCTATTTTTTTTTATCAATAAACTTAGTAACATATTTGTAAAAAATTAAAGGTGTTCCATTATTGGAATTCATTCAAAAATAAAAAAACTTTATACTTTTTTTTTTACAAAAAAAAGAATTTCTATTTTTATCATATGAACAATAGATTTATCAAAATGAATAAACATTGAAGAAAAGAAATGTTTTTTTTTTTTTATCATATCATGCAATACGAAAATTCATTGTCGAATTAAATTCTAATAAATTAAAAAAAACTGCAATGCCCACAGAATAAAAGTAGGAAAAAATTTAGTCTTAATTAAGTAATTTAAATTCAAATTAATATTTTAATTGAAGAAAATTTATAGGTTTTAAACAAAAGCCTAAAATAAGAACAAAACTGATAGTTCAAAATAAAATTCCATGCTTATTTTGTAATGTACTTTATTATTTCATTTTATTAATTATTAGACTTTTTACATCGTAAACATTTTCCTTTTTCTTTATCGAAAAGGATCACTTAGGCAACAAAAAATTGAAGTCTAAATTAGAAACAATGAGCAGTTTGAAAATTCAAGTTTTCCTCCATTTTATGAATTTCTCAAGTTGCAATAACATTGGATTTAAATTGGGGATGTAACGAGTATTTGGCCCTTCTGTGAAAAATTCAGTTGGATCAGTCAAATATTCGACAGAATATTTTTTAGAAATGTATTTTTCCAAGTTTTTTGAATTTTTATGGATATTACTTAAAAAAAAATAGACAAGTCAATTTTGTCATTTTTTTGATATTTTGAGAAGGATTTTTTTCCATTTTTTGCTGTCCATTTTTTCCATTTTAATAGCCTAGCATTTTAACAGAACGTCTCATACTATTAATTTACTCTTTCCCTGTACTGTAATATAAATAACCAGTAACATAGAAAAGTGTGATTTTCAGTATTAAAGTTTTGTTTCAGAAACTAAGAAAAATTTGTTTTTTCTGTTTTTCTTTTTTTAGGCACTTTTATTATGACTCAGCATTTTTTTTAAAAGTAAGGTTACTAATAAAATTTATTTTATGGCAATATTCTCTGTATTTTTGTTATTTTAAAAGCTTTGAACCTACAGTCGAACCCCGCTATAGTGAACCTGGGATATAGTGAACACTCGGATGTAGTGAACTTTTTTAGCGGTCCCGTCCGTATTCCTATTTAAATAATGTTNTTTTATGTTAAAAATTATTAGATATTAAAATTTTTATTTCATGGATTTGTTAGGATATCAATATTAAATTATACTGGATTGTTATGAGAACTTATTGGTCATCCTGTAAATGTGAAAAAGTACTGAATGAAAATGCAATTGTTATAGGAATATAATGCAAGTGGTATATTTTTTGTTTCTTATTAACAGAATCTTTTTTACTCTAATTTTTAGATATTACCTATTTCCATAAGAATGAGTAACTTTCGCACTAAAAGAATTGTTATTATTGGTGCTGGTATGTCAGGTCTAGCATGTGCATTTTGTTTGAAAGAATTGGGCTTTAATGAAGTTTGTATACTTGAAGCGCAAGATCGAATTGGAGGAAGATTAAAGACTATAAAACTTGGTAAGTCATAGCGGGCATTTTTATTTGAGCAAAATTGAAGGGAGTTTTATTCAACTTGGGTGATTGTTTTTTTTATTTACTTATTATAAATTAAGAGAGCACAGCTGGAGAGCCATATGCGGCCCTCTGACTGTTCATCTGTGACCTACAGAAGCCTCTGACTACCATGATATATTTTTTTTTTGGTGAGAAAAAAAATTGGAAAATTTTGAATCACACATTATAATCATTATATCATTTAATCACTATATTTCGATGAGCTCAATTTGCGCAGATTCTCTTATAAATCTATGTTTTTTCTCAAACGCTTTCTCAATGTTACAGAATTCCTAATGGTTTTAAAAAACATAATATTTTTAGTACGATATTACAATAAACAAATTTCAAATTTAAGCAATAACTTTTTGGCTGGTTTTAATTTTGTTGATTTCATCATAATTCCAAGTGAGCTTTTGGTCGTTTTTTGGCATTTATAACTAAAAATTTCCATGAGATTTTTAAAATCCTGATACCTTTGTTACGATATTACAACTGGTGAGTTATAAATCGTACATTTAATTAACCGCTTTTGATGTGCTTTATTTATGCAGTTTTCATCGTAAATCTAAATAATTTTTTTATAGCAATTATTGCTACGCTTTTTTACGTCGTTTTGAAGATCCCATATTTTTATTACAATATTATTACAACACGTGAGTTTCAAATCACACATTGAAATATTCAATTTTTGATGCACTTTCATTTTGCCAATTTCCAATGTTCACATTTCTTTTGAAAAGAGGCAGGAAGCATTTATTGAAAAGGGCACTTTTGTGGAGTAAATAGGCACTTTTTATCAAGTGAAATAAAGCTTCCTTTTGATTATTTGTCATAAAATAACCATTTTGTGTATATATAAATATGAAAAAATTGGTTAAAATCTAGAGAATTTTAATTTTATGTGATGGGAAACATTGATTAGATTTAAAAGCCAGTCAAAAATAAAACTTCATCTATAAACAAATTAGTCATATTGTGAAATTTTGGTAACTGATGTTTTTCAAACCCTAAATAAAGGAGAACTTGCCATTTAAGAAAATTAATATCTTCATTAATTGGGTTATGTGTAGTGTTAAAATGCCACAATACATTTTCACAATATCCTTTGATACTCTCCCCAATTTAAGATATCCAAATTAAGATACTACATATTCATTTTGATGACTTATTAGGGATTTAACTCAGTACTTTACCCACACATGCAAAGAAATAAAAAAAAGCTATATATATTTATAGAACTATTTTTTATAATTTTTTTTGTGGCATATGCCTGTTTAGGCAGTGGGGGTGCGATTGTTCCTGTTTTTTAGTGGCGCCATCTATGGCCAGGAAATCGACTTCTGCCACGCCATTCAAATAACCACAGCCCGTTTATAGGGTGGGTCACATTCACACACAAGGGAGAAAGGACATAGAACACACAGAGCGAGAAGAAAACATCCATGCCTTGCCCGGGATTCAAACCCGGGACCTTTCTGATGCAAGGACAGTTCCCTGCCCCTACACAGGCCGGTCGCCTATAGAACTATTGATTGATTTTTATTATATTGATTTGATATGTTTATTGATAAAATGATTGGCACTGAAAAAGTTGCTGATTTTAAAATTTTGGAGGAAAAAAAAACTTTTTATTTGATTTAAATAATTTTTTATTATCTAAATCATGATTATTTTGATTCTGATATTTTTTTTCAAGAAATATTTAAAATGCATACATAAATATTTAAAACTTTTGCATATTTTGGAGTTTAATGAGTGCATTGTTTAGATTATTTTATTTGTACTTGTAAGAAAAATGTAATTCAAAATTGTCTGCAAATTTTTATAAACGTTTTTTTTTTTGTTTTTGTTTTATTGCTTTTCTTTCAGTTTATTTTTATTCTTTGATAAAACAATTACTTTAATTACACTGCTTTAAAGACATAACTTACCTTGTTTTGATTTTAAATCAAAATCATTAAGTATAAAACTCTATGCGAGTTTTACAAGTGCATACTTTAGAGTATCTTATTTGAACTTGAAATATAGAAGAAAGATTTAATTAATTCAAAATTGTCTTAAAATTTTTAAAAAGCTCTCTAAAAATTGCTACTTTTTTAGTCAACTTCTATTTTTTGATAGAATTATTAATTACATTAGTAATAATACTTTAAAGAAAATACTTAGTTTGTTTTGATTTTGAATTAATACCATTAAGTTGAAAACATTTAAAACAAAACTTCAGATTTAAAAAAATATTACTCTTCAGTAGCCTAAACATGAAAAATACCTGCTATGCATGACCTTAGGGTCAAGTGTGCTTGTGTGTTTAATGATGAACATAGAAAAGGATTCAGTAAAAGGGTGAGGTTAAGCAAGAAAATTTATGTTCCTATAACTGATTCAGCATGTAATTCATCCTTTTGAAAAAAAAGGGGGAAATAAGAAAAAAGGTTCTGATTAATTTTCATGTGAGACGTTTTGGATTACACTTTTTGAATAAAAGAATGCTGGTTGCAAACAGTTACTTAATTGTACTACAATTTATAATTTCAGTTTTTTTTATTTATTTAATTTCATTATTATTTTTCCCATTTTTCTTTATTGAAAGCTGCAGCAATACTCATCTTGTTGAAGTGTTTTTTTTTTTTTTTAAACTAATAGAATATAATCTTTTGGGGACACTTTTTATTTTCGCATTCCGGGGTGAATAACAAGCAAATAATAAGAAATGTAATAAATAATATTGATATATTTTTGTGGCCAATCTTTTTTAGTTTCTACTTGATGAGTGGTGACCACTAACATTAATACATTTTCGTTACGAAGTCTTAATGAATACCTTGAAAGAGTTGTCACTACACTGCTTAATTGCATGATTTTTGTCAAAACCTATTTTGCGAAATATTTCCGAAAAAAGTGCAAAACTACTGGTTTTGTTAAAAAGATTTTTAGCAATTTTTGTAATTATTATCTGCAGTGGAAACCGATGTTACTCATGTTCATTGTCTCATTACGCAATAAAGAATTGCAATTATTATAAGAAGTTAGTTATAATTTTAGTAAAACCGAAATTAAGATAATTTATTTAAGAGGAAAGTTGTTGTATACAAATTTTAAAATTAATAAAAGCATTAAGAGAAAAAAAATTCATGAAACAGCATGAGTATTATAAAAGAAAAAATAAGTTATACTAAGAATTCATCACGAACATAATTGAAAAATGAAATTCAATAAAAGTATTCAAAAACAAATTTTAACAGCGTGAACAATTATATTTTTATAAATTTAAGTTAAATAAAAGAAAGAAAACTTACTTTAAATGTATCTGCTATTTTATTTTATTTTTTCTTGCATCCTTTTTAAATTTCCGCTGATGACTTATGGTTTGATGAAGGTATATTAAAATGTTGAGTGAGTGTTACGTCAATCATCGTTGACTAATGCTAAACTTTCTGTTCAGGCCATGATTAGATTTAGAGGTTGGGCAGCTCCAAAGAGCAGGGCACATCGACCAGAGGTGTATTCTACCCAAACCTTAAATCATGATTAACTAGAAAGCTTTATGGCTGAAATAAAATTCAGCAAACACCTGACAGGAATATCTTTCAATTCCTAGGCCTTAATGCAATATTGCCTTAAATGCTCAAATCTTTGGGCAGAATAGACCTCACAATCACAAAATATATATCGTGAAGTCTCTTCCTCAAGATGACAAGCTCGACAAAGAGAATCAAATTCAATACCCATTATGTGTAGGTGTCTCCCAAGGTTACAGTGTCAAATGTGAAGACCAATGATCTTCCTCAAAAAGGAGGAACATATAAACTTTAGAACTCATTTACTCAAATCCACTAAAATTTCAGTTAGCTGGTTATTCCACTAAGTTCTTCGGTTAGTGTTGTCATTTTAATGTCAATGTCATACAATAATTATTTCATGTAAGTACAGTAGTAAAAAATCAGATAAGTATTTAGCTGAAAAGTTTTTCATGTCTCATGACTCTAAGTATATTTTAATGCAGAGTTGAACTGGCTTGTTTAAACCAATGAGATTTAAAACAAATGATTTGCTAAAAAAATCTTTTTAACATGAATTTTTTTATATAAATATTTTTTTAATTTAGAAAAGATAAATTTTCACATAATTTTGAGTTTAATACTGAAGTGAATTTGCATCACTTTAAACAAATATAAATATGTTATTTTAAAATGTTCAGAAATCATTGCGTTCCTGAAAAAAATATCAGTGAAAAATAAATGTGAGCAAGTTTTATGTTAAGTCATAATGTCTCTAAAAATGCTTGACCACTACTCTGTTTAGTATTTAAAATTAGTTAAATAAAGTAATAATTGAAAGAGTTTAGAATTACACAGCACTATTGGACAGCAACTTTTAAACTGGCTATGTCAGATTTGCATTAAAATATGTTTTAATAACTAAGTTTGACTAAATAATTCATACTTATTAGATTTCTTTTTTATACCTTTATATATTTTTAATTTAATTATTTTAATCAGCTTCCATGGTTGTGAAAATTGTTTTATTATTTGAGGATTGCGGCTGGTTAGCATCTCAATTTTGTCTTTTAAATTATGCATAGTTTAAAATGCTTTATTTTATGTGGATTGAGTATTTGGGATAATTAAAATGTATTTAAATTTGTTAAAATTGTTGTGTATCTTAAAAATGATTTATTTTCTGTATGTGAAGTTTTTTAGTTTGATTTTAAGCAGTATGACATGATAGTGACCCAAAAAAATTTCTGTGCCTGGGGGCCCTGCCTGCTGCTAAGACGCATCTGAAATACTTCATATTATAAAATAATATTATTTTGACTTTAATTGCTCATTAAATTCAAATTCAGTGTTTCATTTTTAGAACATTGATGTGTTAATGGTTATGATAACCAGTTTCTTGGAACAAAACATTCTCTTTTTGTTTCCCTTAAAACAAGAGCAAAACTATGCACCCTTGCAAAAATCAGTTTTTACTGATCTTGTATAATTCTGAAAATACGAAACCTTTTTTTCTTTCTACTATCAATTCTTACACCATTTTTCTCCTCCCCTATCAATTGTTCCATTCCGTCTTTTTTCCCCCCACAGGCAATGGATGTTTCAATTTGATTTTGACACAGCTATGACATAAAAATGTCAACTTGTTAAAGTGGTTGCGTTTATTCGGTAGTGATCGCTTATTCATATTTTTTAGAAATTACAAAGGGGTATCATTGAGTTGATGCATATGTTAAATTCGATATGGTAAATAAAAATAGATATTTAACAAAAAATTTCTTATGTTTTTTTTAAGAAGATAAGCATTCTTATAATCAAACTCTTTTAACAAGAACAAAGTGAATAAAGATTAAATCCTGAAATACTGCATTTTCATCTTGAATCGTTCATTTGTTGCATGTATATTTATTTTAAGAAATATATTTTTTAATTTAGTTGTTGAAAAGAAATATATTTTATAGGTCCTCATCATATAGAAATGGGTGCCCAGTGGATTCATGGCCAAAAAAACAATATTATTTATAATATTGCAAAATCAAAAGATCTCGTTGATGAAAATGCTCCCAGTTATATAAAGACAATTGAAGACTGTGGATTTTTACCTGAAGAAACTAAGAAAATTGTTCATTTGTTAATTGAATATCTGTATGAAAAAATGGAATCTATTGATGATGAAACAAAAGTTAATGTTCTTAATCATATGAAAGAGCAATTTAATAAATTTAAAATAGCACATCAATCTTATACTGATACTTTAGAAGCAGTTTTTGACTGGTTTTGTAAATTTCAATGTGAATTAAATGGTTGTTGTAGTTTGGAAGTCTTGTCTAAGACATCTTTGTGTGCTTATAAGGAATGTGACGGTCATCAGACCGTTGAACTTCAGCAAGGATATCAAAGCATTTTAGATGTATTTCTCCAAAATATCCCGCAGAATTGGATTTTAAAAAATAGCCATGTTACTAAAATTGATTGGTCAGGTGATGAAGGTGTTATGGTATTTTGTGAAAATGGAAAAGAATACTTAGCTCATCATGTTGTTGTAACTGTTCCTTTAGGTTATTTGAAAGAATATTCCCAATCACTATTTTATCCCAGCCTTAGTGAAAAGAAACTAAATGTGATATCTTGTTTGGGGTTTGGAGTGGTGAACAAGGTTTTCTTGAACTTTGAAATACCCTTTTGGGATGAATGTACTGTGATAAATGTATTGTGGGATAAAAAGTTGAAAGAATATTTTAATAACTCAACACAAGTAAGTGATTTTATTTATTGTATTTTTAAAGCTAAAGTAAGCTGGGACAAATTCTAACAAATTATCTTTGTGACATAAATATAAGGTTTTCTCTCGTTACAATCTTTCAAGCCATAACACTTTTTAATTGCATTATACAATACCCACTTTAGGCAATGTTAATTTTAATTTGGTAAAAAAAAAAAAAAAATTGGATAAAGGATTCTCTGAGTTGAAAGGTATTTCTCTCTACTTTTGAAGGGGGGAGGATTATTTGTACTGTGATTAAAATATTTTCTTAACATGTAGAGTTAGCTTTCTAACTGTGTGATACAAAACTTATTTTGTAAAATAATTTTTAAAAGTAAACATAACGCATTTGCTGTTAAGTAATAATTTCAACATGATTAAGTTACTTACCATTTTCAATATTGTTACATAATTGAGAATAATATGAATAAAGGATGATACAAGAAATTCTATAAGTAAATACCTTTAAATGATGAAAGGATTTATAGGTAGATATTTATTAGTTAAGCAACCTTAACAATTTTCTGGCCATAGGGATGTGCTGACAACTTTAAAAAATGGTTTTTAACCAATTTATATGTTACATTGAGAAATAAAACAGTTTTATTTGTTATATCCATAAGTTGCTTATATATGAAGCATTTTGGTTCAAAAATTATGAATTTTCTTTTTCAAGATTGGTCTACAACTGAACAGATGATGGATATCATTAACCAATGAAATATAAAAACTTGTTCTTCGAATAAGTTTTTAACAGTTTTTCCTAAATTTCTTAATTTACACAATTTTTTTGTTTTGTTTATGAAACTTAATTTAACAGACAGAGAAATTTTTTTCTTTAAACCTAATTCAATTTCAATGAAATAATTCAAAATGAAATACAAATTAGTTTCATAGATGTTATGAACCCTTAACAATCTGGAAATATTTCAAGTTTGGTATATTTCCAGATTAGGTAATTTTAGAAGAAATTTTTTTTAAATCTTCAACTTAGAAGTTATTTTTCAAAAAGGAAACATTATTTTCCAAATAGAAAAATATATTTTCCTCTTAAATTAAAGTGAGGGGGTGAAAAATGTACTTCGCTCCTTCTGAAATCTAGACATTCACAAAAATAAAGTCAAGTAAAATTTGTATTCTTTTTTCAGACGGAGTGCATAGCATTTTTACAGAGTGCTTTAAACGGAGTGCATAGTGTTTTTTAAAGGTGTTTATTTCCGTTTTTTAAAAGCCCTTAAAGTTGCTTTTTTCATTGGATAATCTAAGTAAATTAGTAGTATTAATACAAGTAAAATTAGTATTCTTTTTTCAACTTTTAACAGAGTGCATAGCATTTTTAAAAAGTGCTTATAGGTGCTTATTTCTGTTTTTTAAAACCCCTTAAAATTGCTTCTTTCATTGGATGTTTTTAAAAAGTTCTTAATTTTCCCTTTTCCAAAAAGAGATTTTTTGCTTCACCGGTTTCTGCCACGAATTATGCAAAAAAGGTGGTTTTCGTGATGTTTCCTTTCAACACTTCCATTCAACAATTGACGTACCTTAAGAAAGCGCCAATTATTTTACATGTTTGATGAAGTACTTGCAAGTCCGCACGTGCTTACATTGAGCTGGATTCGGTTGGAAGGGTTCTTGAACTCTTATAAGCAACTCGGTTGCATTTTGCAAGAGATTCCTGATTTCAGGCTTCATTTTTCACCCTTTGAAATCGAATTAAAAAAATATTTCTCGAATTTTTGCTGGTTATGGGGACCAACTAAACGTTCCCAAAAATTTTCCCTAATAGCAAAATAAAATTTTATTTCTCTTGTTAATTTCATGTCTGGTGAAGTACCATTGTATTCGGCACTTGCAAGCCAATGGCCTTGCACTATTCTATTTATAGATCAATACCATAATCTTTGAACTTGACTTGGGGATCATTCACTAATTATGTCTTTTTATGTGGAGAGCAGTCAACAATTACAAAGCTTCATCACTTCAAAATGTCTCTCTTTTATTCATTAAATTTAATAAAGAAAAGAATTAGTTGATGTTTTTAAACATATAATCTTTTACCTAAGGGACCGTCGACTAGTTGCTTAAAAAGTTTAGATTTTTTATTGCACTTTATTACTTATAAAATTTTCAGGGCTCTTAATTTATTTTATGAAACAAACTCAATAATATTTTAAGGCAAGATTTTTTAAAAAAGTGTGAAGTGAGGGGTTTATATTTTAAAATTTAGCAAATGCATTAAAAAATCGTATATTAATTTGGATGTCTCATTCCAAAAAACTTCAATTCATCTCTTGATGATTTGATTTAAAAATAATTTAAATAAAAATTCAATTATCAGATTTATTAAATATAAATGTGGAGGCTATATAATAATTTACTTCTGACAAAAATATTTAGCTTCAATACTAATTGTATTTAGACTCCAAAACTATTGAATTTTTTTTTAATAGTTTTATTAATGAAATGCTGAACAAAGTAACAAATTTTAATAAAAATTTAATAGGAACCATTCACTAATTTATGTTAGTAATATGAGTTTATTAAGTTTTCTTTGCTTCATTTTTTAAATATCTTTATAAATTCAGTATGATCAATAATGTTAATCTTGTTAATGCTTTGTTGAATATTCTTATATAAATAACTTTTATTTAAATCTAAAAAATAGACCCGATAACTTTTCAAATTATAGTTTAACTAATTATAATTTTGAATTATAATCATTCATTTTTATGTTATCAAATAAAGTAATTATTAATTCACAAAATTTAATTTCAAATCAATATTGAATATATTTAAAATTCTTCTTAAATTGTTTTATGGTGGTTAATATAATCAAGAAAAGAGTTGCCTCTCTGAAATTAGCTATTTTTTCTTAATCATGTTAAGTTTTTGATAACGTTTTTGCATTTTGTTTATACCGGTATAGGACAAAATAATAGGAACACCTGTGAAAAAATTAAAGTATTTTATTAATAAGGAGTTGGGCCACCCTTGGCCTGAATGACAGCCTGCATTCGACGTGGGATTGACAAATAAAGGTCTTGAACAAAGTTTATCGGAATTTGCAGCCATTCCTCTTGCAGAACCGTCTCGAGTTCAGAGAGTGGAGGAGGAAATTGAGATCAAGGGACTGAGCACACCACGTTAGATGTTCCACTTCATTATTATGCTCATTTAACCATTGCTTGAACTCAGTGAGACATTTGAACAGAGGCATTGTCATCTTGGAACACAGGACGTTCTCCTGGAGAGAGTATGAAGCATAGGGTGGAGATGATCTGTGAGAATTCTTTGGTAATGGTCACCTTTGACCACCCCCTTCAGGACAACGAGAGGCCCCAATTCACGGGTAGATATAGCTCCTCACACCATTACAGAACCACTTCCATGTTTCACGGTTGGAACCAGGCAGTCAACATGAAATACTTCTGCCGTTGTTCGCCACACGAACACACGTCCGATGGTCTGGAATAGTCGAAAGGAGGATTCATCAGACCAGATGATTTGTTCCCATTCAAGGCTGATTGTGCTCTGGAAAAAATCCGGATTTCCGGATTTTTTGCTAACCATGATCCGGAAGTTTCCGGATATCGAAGGTTCAGACATTTCAAAAAATAATTGATTACAAAAGTTTCCGGAAATCAAATTTTCAAAGGTTAATTTTTCATTCAAAGGTTTTAAAGGTTTCAATTTTCAAATCTTAAAAAACACAGTTTATATAATTTGTAAGGGAGAGCCGGATACTTTATAAGCTTATATGCAAGATTAATATTCATTTTTTATCAGTAAATAGTTATTATAATCATAAACTCAAGAAAGAAAGACATGTTTCTAAATTTCAATTACTTCTCCAAGTCCACATAGGTATGTGTAAATGGTATAGGTATGTGTAAAGTTTTAAATATATTTTAAGTAAACTTAGAAATATTGAGAAAAAGGAAAAAACCTTGTTTAAATTTTTATCGATTGAAACTTTTTTCTTTTTTACGCAAGAAATTTTCCGGAATTTTGACTTGAGCTCACAATCACCCCTGCCCATTGCAGTTGTGTCCATTATAGGTGGTCTTGGCACCACTGTAGTCTCTTTAAAGCATTCCGCACTGAAACTAACGGTTTCAGAATAGCTACTCGGCCATGAATGTTAGCAGCATGCAACTCCCGTTGAATAGTTGTCATGGATGTTCTGAAGGTGGTATTCATCTCGGACGTTATCACCGGCAGTGTTGTCTTGCGTTTTCGAGTGACTACCCTCTTTAACACCCATCTATCACGGTCCGACAACTTCGACTTCCTGCCGCTGTTGTGCTTTGTAGAAGACACCTTACCCAACTTTTTGTATGCCGACAGAGTCCTTGAAAGACCCACCAGGTTCGCTGTACTGGACAAGGACGCTGCTGCAACGCGAACTCCAATTATCATGCCTCTTTTAAGTTCAGAGAGGTCGGACATAATCTCGCATTGCAAGGAACAGATTTTCCTCATGCAACACACACTGCCAAATGCTAGACAGATACAGACCTGCCAACTTTTAATCCCTTCCATTATCATTTTTCCCAGTGGTATTAAAATGGAATTAAAATTTCAATTTTAAGTAAAAAAAAATACGTTGTATTCAAAAATAATTAAGCTGACAGCAATGATAGTAACGCATATTAATATATGTGCTTAATTTTTTTAAGAATAGTGGTGATCAAAATCATTTAAAAATTAAGTTTATAAAAGAAAAAATAGTTTATATTTACTACCATTTTAAATATGAAAATAAAATTTTACGCCAAATGTGTAAAAGTTGGCAGGTATGCAGATACCTTTGATACCTTTCCTTTCATCACCACTAGGTGGCACACTCTTGCGACATGTGTCCGCCGTTTATTGGGGGGTCGAAGGACGACTCCATACTTTCACAGGTGTTCCTATTATTTTGTCCTATATATATACAGTATAGGACCCGAAATCCGGCACTCACGGGACCGATGAAATTCCGTATTTCGGAATTTGCCGAATATCAGACCTCTTCCGGAAATTCTAATATGGCGCCCATATATTACAATAATTCAAATATGCTGATAATTTCAGAAAAACCAATACATTTAGCTAAGTTCCCAATTGTAGATTATGATGGGGTGAATTTAAAACTGTCCCATCTTAAGAAATTTCATTAATTAAAATAATAATCTATATAATATAATCAAGGAGAAATAATCTAAAGAAATAATTCAAGATGAAATAATATGAATCCTCCGAAAAAGAAATAATCGTTATTTCTTCAGTGCAAGGTTATTGTTCTCATTTTTTCTTTACATAACATTTTGTTTTAACAAAAGACGCTCACCTCGCAAAAAAGAAAAAAGAAAGAAAGCTAACAAGAAACTGCAAAAAAAAAAAAAAAAAATTATGCTACTTAACATGCTGGTTCCNTAACAATGAATAACTACAAAAAAGAAGCAAACCACTAATAAGGATTAAAAAAAAAAAAACAAGTTAACAATTAACAAACAAAAGTTACAGTTAATAATAAATGAATCGAATAAAAAAAAGCAAAAGAGATAGAATGATAGAATCCATTTTGTACACCACATGGTAGTTTCAATGTCAACAGGGTGTGGCTAATTTATGGTCAAACAGGAGGGGGAAATATGGGAACAAACCAGTAAAGCACTTCACAGCTGTCAAGATTGATTGATCAGTTTCTCCCAACTTGTATTTCTTTATTTTGTTCATTGGAAATGCAGATGTTTTTACTTTCACTTTATTTTAAACTGCTTCAGGAACAGATGTTTTGTTTGACACAGATTTATTTATTTTTTCATGCTTTTTTTTTATTTTTAAACGATAAAATATAGTTACTTACTTCAAGAGAAAAAATTCCAAATAAAAAGAGAATATGACTGATTTTTTTTCTCATATCAAAAAAAATTTCTTAAAAAAAATTTAGGTAGGATTAAGTACCGAATTTCGGGGTCCTGCCGGATTTTGGGATGCCAGATTAGGGGCCCCTTACTGTATATATATATATATAATAAATAAATAAATACACGAAAGCACGAAGAAAGTTAAGAAAAACAATAAGTTTCANTTTCGGGTCCTGCCGGATTTTGGGATGCCAGATTAGGGGTCCCTTACTGTATATATATATATATAATAAATAAATAAATACACGAAAGCACGAAGAAAGTTAAGAAAAACAATAAGTTTCATTTATTGCTCTTAAGCTGCAAGTAAACAGAACCCGTTAGATAAGCTCAAAATGAAGAATGAAACAAAGAAAAATTGAAGACATATGAAAAAAGGGGGAAATAATAAGTAAAAAATATAACAAACAACAGTTTAAAAAAAAAAAAAGGGAATATTTGAGTGCTCCTCACACTATTGTATTAATATATTTTGCTTTGGCTTTATTGATACAATATCAGAAAGCACTCTGTTTTACGGATATAATCGTGTGGGCTGATGAAAAGATTATATCTTTTTTTTCCGGCTTTTTTTCCGGTTTTTTAATTAAGTGCNAGTGAAGACACGCCAGAGAAAGGGAGAAAATGTTTGCAAAGTATATAACTGAATATATATATATATATATATATATGAATAACTTTCTATAATACGAAGAAAAAGGTTTTATTAGTGCACAGACCCTAATTATGATTTTCTTTATAGTGCTTAAAAGGCATTTAAAGGCTTTTGTTGAAAAATTTGGCTACTACACATCCTGTTTAAGCTATTTTTCAAAATAGAAAACTTTATTTTCCTCTGAAATTTAGAGGGAATTATGAGGGAGAATAATGTGCTTCGCCCCTTCTGAAACTATGATATTCACTACAATAAAGTAAAAAACAATTGGTAATTTCAGGAAAAGAATCTTTTTTTTTTCTCCCTTGACAAAAACTTCTTTTTATTTTCAAATATTTTTTTTACATCTGACAACTTTTAATGTGACTTAAAAAAAAAAAAAAAAATTAAATACCAAAATACAATATAGCAAAGTAACTTAATGAAATTCTTTTGTAATAAAAATTGTCTTTATTATACTTAAATAAAACTAAGAATATTTTTTTAGTTTGCCTACTCTTTTTAAAAGTAGTCTGATATATGTAATCTGGAAAAAAATTTTCCACTAGGGAAACATCGTTTGTTAAGCAATAAACAATAAAATAGCTATTTCTATTAGAGCTGTATGATAAAATAACTATTTATGAGCCTATTTGAATGTAATTTTTGACAATAATTATTAGAAAACATGAAAATAAGATATTTTAGATTAATCAAGGTACCAAATGCTGTAATAAGTACCAAATTAATTGCAATAAAATTTGGGGGAGGTAACGTCTTAACTGCAGTTTACTCTAATCCAATATTTTAAATTCACCTTTATTTTAAAGTTCATTTAAACTTTAAATAAATGCATTAATTATTTACTTAAATAATATACATGTGTGACAAATAATAATCTGAAAGCTTGCACTAATATTTCCTATTTTACTAATTAAAATTTTATTAGGTTAATGTAACAATAGATAAAAGTTTCGAGTTTCTTCAAGTTTTGAAAGGCATTATTCAAATATTTTAATGAATGGTCTTTCCTATAATGTTAAAAACTAATTTTCTTTCAGACTGGTGAATGGATTAAAGATATCAATAGATTTGCTTACACTCTTCATCATCCGAACATGTTGTGTGCTTGGGTTGTTGGTAAAGGTGCTGTTTCTGTAGAGTATTTATCAGATGAAAAAGTTATAGAAGATTGTTTGTTTCTTTTAGAGTACATTTTCGAAAGAGAATTGTCCTCACCATCAAATATTTTAAGGTAACTCTTTCTAAATTTTAAGTAGTTTTTTTTTTTTTTTTGGTATGCTAACCAATAGTTTTTGTGACATTTAGGTGCAATGGCACCTAATTATTTTTTCTTAGTTGCCAAAACGGTTTAGCTAGGCATAATTTTAAACTTATATTTTTAAATACAGTGTTTTCCTTTTTTTATCATGGTAGTAAAAAACCTTTTTCTAAATATGATTGTTTTGAAAATGCATACATAAAAACATAAGCTTATATATTTTTTAAATATATCCACTACGCTTAAATCAGGACTGGATGTTCAAAAAATAAAATTGAAGGAAAATTTAGTGAAGGTGATTTGGAGTAATTTACTCTCTATACTACTATTTGTATAGACATGGATGTCTATACAAAAATATATTTAAAGCATGCTTGCAAATAATTTTAGTCAATAAAAATTTAAATACATATACCATAAAATACTTTGTTTTCAACTAAATAAATCTGGTAAATCTTATTCCTTTTCAATCGTTAGTAGTTAGTGGAGAGGTCTAAGAAGAAAACTCTTAACTTTCAATTGCAGGCATGAAATAGTTTTTATCTAAAGGTCAAGAGCATTATATTGCAACCACTAAACATACTAAATGCTTGTCAAATTTATCATTAAAAGCATTTAGGTTTTTAAATCCAAGTGAAAGGCAGAAATAAAGTTGTAGATATTTAGTTACAGCTGCTAAAATGATGTCTTTTAATGTTCCTGAAGTTATTTCCTGGAAGGAAATTGCTTCAATTGAGAAAAGTGACCTTGGTGCAAATATAAAGATTTATACTTGTTGACATAAATATATTTCCAAAAAAAAGAAAAAAAAGAAAGACGTTCTAGGGATTATCAATTTTCATATGTTGGGAAAATTATCAGAGCAGCTCTCACTCTATTGCATGAAGAATAAAAAGCAGAGGTTTTCAGTTTCAAACTATGATTTAAGGGAATATAAGACAGCAATGACAGATATCTAAAAGCAGTTTTAACCATAAAATATGTTTTAAAAGAGTATTTTTAACTTTTCTTATTTTGTGCCATTGAGTGATAAATTTTAATAAACTGATTAAATGTAGATAAAAAGCTAATAAAATCTGTGATCTACATGGAAGAATGTAAAAATGAAAGATACTGGAAGAGAGAAATAAAAGAGAGGCAAAAAAAAAAGAAAAAAAAAAAAACCCAAGAGAAAGAGCTAGAAAAGAAATTACAAGAGAAATAAAGAAATTAAACTCCTATAGAGTTAAAAAGTATTAATTTAAAGTTTTTTTTTTAATGAGAGTCACCTTTTTTAATAAATTAATCACATTTTTCACCCTTTTTGATGTTTTAACTTGCTCCTTGGTGTTTTAATTTAAACTATTTCAATATATATTGTTATTTCCTGATATTTTTCATAAAATTCAGAAGTGGCAACTACATCAGTATTTATAAAATCTCATTTTCACACCGAATAAGTACAATTTTAAATATGATAAGCACAATTTATTACTTTTCTTAAGTAATAGAATTGTGAAGAAATCTTTCTTTTAACAACCTTTCTCTCTTTAAAATTAAATTCTTAATTAAAAAGAAAATTCTTTTATTTATGGGTATGATTATTTTGAAATTAAAAGTTTTTATTGCTATAATTATTTTTTCTTTATTTAACAATCATTATTTATTATCAAAAAATGTTTTTTATTTGTATATAAGTTATCACAAACAAAATGTTCGGACCTGCTAAATAAATAGAAGATACCTAATGAAAGAGGTCAAAATGAAAAACCTCTAATACTATTGGTGATAAAAGAATGCAGTAAACCATAACCATACATTGGTAGAGAAAGCTGAGAGAATTCCATACGTAATTTTCAAATTCAGTTTCATAAGATACAAATAGATTGTTACAAACAGTTTCATACGTTACAGATGATAGAGTACTGTTTTTTAGATGCTGATTGAAATTGGGTACTTTCGCTTGTTACCTTCTGTGAACAATATGTGTTTAGCTAAATGTTATTTTGAATTGTATTTAATGTGTATTTTGAAATTCTTTTTAGGTCATCCTGGTCTAAGGATCCTTACACACTTGGCTCTTATTCATATGTTTCCACGAACTGTGACAGTAAAAATATATCGCACAAAGATATTGCTGATCCTGAATATTCTCATGGGGTTTGTTTTATGTTCTTTGAATTATATCTGTAGATTAGATGCAAAGACATGTCACAAAAATGTAATTTTTGAGGAGAGGAGACTTTTTTCAACTTAATTTTAACATTGTTCAGCTAATCACAGAAGGTTTTCTATTACTAATTACACCAGTATGTATATATATATATATATATATATAATTATGTTGGGACATAGATAGAGTGAAAAGTTTAATTCACGGGCATGGTATCAACTGAAATTTAAAAACAAATGGACCTGGTGTCCTTTATCTCGGACATACAGATCTGTGTTTCCAATTGAAAAAAAAAAAATCATATATGAATAAAGCTAAACAATATGAAAAAAGCAGAAATAATGGCACGTAAAGACAAACTTTAGTTTTTTTTACTAATAATGAAGTACTTTTTTGTATGTCAAAATGCATAATTTAAGAGGGAAACAATGAGATAGAGAAAAAAAATAATATAGGAAAGCAATAAAGATAATGGAATAAGCTTAAATAAGATAACTAAACAAAAGTTGAAAGATAAGAAGTGTGGTATGGTAAGAAGTCCAGGCATTACATAATATAAAAATTAAGAAAAAAAATTATTTCCAATCATTTAAAACAACAGGATAGTAGAAAAGTAGTTTAACTAAATTATAAGAGTCTTTTTAAAAAATGAAATGAATCCCGAAAATCCAGATCAATAGAAAAAAAACAGCATTGAATGATATTAGAAGATGAAAACTCTTACTTATGATTACCGTAAAATACCGATAAAGCGCCCCAACTCGATAAAGCGCCCCCCTGTAGTTTCACATCTATGCAGATTGCCAATCAGTACCCAAAACTGGCCCATCATAAGTGAAAACTGGCCCATCATAAGAGAAGAAGAAATAATCAGAATCCTATGAAGAAGAAATAATCGTTTCTTCTTTGGAGCGAGATCATAGTTCTCGTTTTTTCTTTTAGATAACATTTTGTTTTAACAAAAGACGCTTACCTCGCAAGAAAAAAAAAAAGCTTTTTAAACTAAATGCTAACAAACTAACAATGAATAGCAACAAAAAACAAGCTAAAAATTAATAACGATAAAAAAAGAAAAAAAGCAAGCAAGCAACAATTAACAAGAAAAAATAAAAAGCGGCAAAATAAAAAAAATTAATGAATCGAATAAAAAATCGCAAAAGGGATAAATTCATTTTATTGTCCATGTGGTAGTTTCAATGTCAACTGGGTGTGGCCAATTTATGGTCAAACAGAGGAGGGAAATTCGGGGGCAGTAAAGCACAGCTGTCAAGATTGATTGATCAGTTTTTTCCAACTTCCATTTCTTTATTTTGTTCATTGGAAATGCGGGTGTTTTTACTTCTCACTTTATTTTAAACTGCTTTAGAAACAGATGTTTCCTTTGATACAGATTTATTATTATTTTTTTCTTCAGGCTTCGTTTTTATTTTTAAAAGATAAAATAAAGTAAGTTACTTCAACAGAATAAAATTCAAAATAAAAAGAATATAGCTGATTTTTTTTGTCTTAACAATATAAATTTCTTAAAAGAAAAAACGAAAAAGATTAGAAGTCAAGGTCACCTTGATTGGAATGTACACTCACTGATAAGAATGTGAGAAAAATTTAGGGTGTGGTGGGAGAGTTGAATGTAAAAGATTGAGCAGAAAAGAAAGACGGTGCTTAGAATTTTCTTGAGTACCGTTTATCGGCCCCCCTCTATATCACGCCGATTTTCGTCAAAATTAAGGGGGGCGCTTTATCGGTATTTTACGTTAGTATTCCAGCAATGTTAAGTGAGGGAAAATTGTTTTATCTCTTGATTTTGAACTTATGTTTCACCTTCTTAAAGTGAAAGTTTAAAGGTGCATTTAATTTTTCCGAAATGTGCAAGCCCACATTGAAAAAAAAATTGGTAAATACTCTAATTAATCACTTTATTGCACCAAGCCCTTAAAAGCAACTATTATTTTCCAGCCACTAATCAAAACTTTTGTTGGAACATGTAATTATTGAAAGACATGTGTACCTTGTGTTTTTCATACATTTATATTTTTTGATAAATTGTTATAGATTTTTGATAGATATTTATTACTTTTAGTCATCAACAATAAAGGGATAGGAAAAAAAAAGAGCATAGTGGTGGTGGGGTTATGGGAATCTAAAATGTTGACTTGTGTTCGACGTGAACTTCAATTAAGTATAATTTTCTTAATTCTTTCATTAACATGTTTTTGAAATTGCTAGTATTGTTAAAAAATTTCTATTTACTAATTTTACTGGATTCTCTCTTTTTTAAAAAAATTATTGTCAGTGTGTTTTGCAGTTCCAATTTTTATGTTACTTTATAAAATTTTTATTTGATTGATTATACAACATTCAACCTTATAATCATTTATTTATTTTTGTGATTTTATGTATTTTATTCTTAATATTTATTGAATACGATTTCTTTGTCATTAGTCTCTTTTTGCTTTTATTTATTAAAAAAAATTAAATTAAATAATATTTTCCCTAATAAAATTATTTATTATTTGACAAAAAGTATAAAATATTTATATTGCACTTTTTTTTGACTATTTTATTCCTAAATATATTCTATAAGTTAAATAATCTTATATTTAGTGCACTTAAAATTGCCCTGATTTTAAATTGGTGTCCTAATTTTCTTATTTGATAATTATTATATTCTCTTATCAGAACCAAAGCTGCCAATTTCTCCAACAAAACTTTTACTCGGTACTTGTACAAAATTATCTGTAAGTCAAGCATTACTAAAGATGTTTCCTATTAAGTTTTTATTGTTATTGTTGTTATTTTTTTGAAAAGCCAAACAGCCCACCTTATACTTGTTTATTTTATTTTTTATTAAAAAAAAAGTCCTTCACAAAACTCCAAATTTTAAAAGAAGATCCATCTCTAAATAAAAGCTCCAAGAAAAAACCTTTTTACAAAATTCCTTTAGACTAATTCACTTTTCTATTTCAAAAGCATTTCTTCATTTTATTTTTTAGTATTTAAAAGTTTTTATATTTCCATGATATGTATATTTCATAAAAATAGGACCTTTGTTTTTGAAAGAGATATTTTTCACAAGGCTCTAAACTATTTTTCTTATAATTTCAAAAAAGAAACCCTGGCACAAAATCCCATTTTTTTTTAATCCTACCCCCAGTCTCGGCCAATTGGCTTTATGCCGTCCAATATAAATGCAAAAGTTCAAAATTTAAGTATTTCCAGTGTCAACATCTTTTAATTTGGAGCATTCCCACACAGAAGGCATAATTCAAAAGATATCATACTGATTCTATTAAAATAGTGCTAGAAATAATAATAACCTGTCATCCTTGATAAATCAGGAGGAATCCTATTTTGATTTATAGTTCTCAAGGGTAAGGGAGACTAGTGGTGAGGCCAAAACAAGTCTGACTTTACAATCCATTTTACATACAAATTGCACACAACATGATGCAAACCATTAGAGAACAAACAGTACTTATTTTCATTAAATAATCAAAAAGAAGAGAAAAAAAACAGAAAGTTTTAAGAGAAAAAGGAGCCAGAAATGATATTTTCTTTGTTAGGGCATGAAACTTAATAAACAAGCTATTTTGTTTATTGTGGACTCAATTTCAACTCCTTGAGACAGAAGAAATAATGGTTGTTGTGTTTTGATGCTAATATTGCTTTCAAAGATCAATTAACCTAACTAAAGTACATTAACTACAGTAGCCTTCCTTTAAAACTTAGTTTCCCAACCTTTTTTGGTTCATCAACTTTACAAGACAAAAAATTTTCTATGCCCCCAAAGGGAATTTTTTTAAAAAAAAATCTTTTTATTTTTATTGTTGAACATTTTCATAAGATATTCTCGAATCAGAAGGCTAATTTACTAAAGGTTTTCGATTTACAAATGTATTACTATTAAGAATTATTTTTGAAAATTTTCATGTGAAGCTGTTTGTATAGTTTAAAATTCAATACATCACCATAAAATTGAATAATCAATTATTTTGAAGTTACTTTGTAAAATCAGTTATAATACTTCGCATATTTTATGCAATTGTTTGAAAAATGGTGTTATATGTTAAAATTTTAGTGATTTTGGACTGTAATGAGGTAGCCTGAAATCTATCAATGTTCTATCACCAGTAAATCTAGTTCTGAAACAAACACATTTCAAATTTATTAAAGAGTTTTGCATTTTAAAAAATAACTATTATAAATCTAAAGTTCTTTTGAGAAAAATATGCAAGGGAAGTCTATATACCTTTAGTTTCTCAAAAAATAAATTAGATTTTTTTCTTTGATAATAAATTCTTATTTGAATATGTCAAACAATTTTCGAGCTTTTAGGGGAAATAGAGACTGATGTTTATGGGGTAGCCGAGTGAACACAGTTTCTAGTTTTAAAAAACAAATAATGTCACACGGCTCTTCAACTTAAGTGTACACTACAGAATCTTCTTGCTAATTTTAGGATAAAGGATTTTGGTGCAAGTTGTCCAATAATTATTTCTAACGAAATCAGTACTTGTTTGTGGCCCTGGCTAGATCTCGGGGGTTTAAATAAAGAAAAGCTTAAAGCCAATTATTTTTATTAATAACAAATAGCACATGCAAAAACATAAATTTGAATAATTATGAGAAGGAGGGGAAAAAAGGTCCATTCTGTCCAAAGTCTGAGCATCTACTGCCTGTCCAGGTGGCGCTGTGGTTGCTACATTTTTAATCTTTACATTTAAAAGCTTCAATAGACAACAAAAAAATTTAAGGATATCAAGCAATGTAAAAGTGTTTTTTTTTCGTACTAAAATGTATTAATACTTTTTTTATTTTATTGCTGTATTAATTACTACTTTAATGAAATGTAATAAATGCTGAGTTAAAATACTTATAACTGATTTTTCAATAGAAAATTTTAACAAAACTATTAATTTCCAAGTGTACTTATTTTTTAAAACTTCTTCTGCAAATTCTTACTGATTCTGTGGAAAGCTCTAGTGCCCCTCTTCCCTAAAAGTCTCTAATGCCCACTGTGGGGTAGCACCCTTAAAGCTGGTATTTCAGTTACATATTTAGACTGCAAAGGTTTTTATATTAATGAAGCGTCATTTTTTCAATGTAATATTTCATATTTATAAAGTTACTTTGTGAGGGTTTCTTTAATGGTACAGATAATGACTTATGTTGACTTGACATTAATTTGTCTTTAATGTATGTTTCTCCAATAATTTTAGTATTTATGGGTGCTTATTTCTTAACATTTTATAAATAAATAGTTGTTAATAAATATTGTGGACAATATTGTCAAATTTCTAATGCAATTTGCAAATTAATTTTCTTATTTCAGACTCCTGTATTATTATTTGCTGGTGAAGCCTCTCATGAATATTATTTTTCTACTGTACATGGAGCCTGTGAAAGCGGTTTTCGTGAAGCTAAGAGACTATTTCAGTATTATAGGTACTTAAAATATTTCCTTTTTGATAGTTTTTCAAATAGCAGAATAATAAATAAATAAAAAGAACTAAAAAATTAAATTAAAAAAAAACTGATGTATAATCACGTTCTATTAAAAACATGCTTTTATAAAACTCAACATTAGTTGAATATAATGTTTTATTCAAATCTCTTTATTAAATTATGAATAAATTTTTAGACGACTAAAAAAGAAACATCGTATTTTATAATTTAAAAAAAAAAAGATTAGCTATTGAATATTAGCAAAAAACATCTGAATGAAATTTTACTCGTTAGTCAAGTTCCTTGTAAGTTAACCACATTTAAATATTCATCACCCCATTTAAATTTTTCTTCATTGTCTCCAAATTACTTTTTTAAAAATAATTTATTTTAGTTTTTGTCGGCTTCTATCAAATAAAAATTGTTTAAACTTAAGATTTTGCAATAAAAAAAAATACGTAGATTAATATGGTACAAAAAAAATTTATACCTCATAATTCAAAATTTTTCATCTACAATTAATTTAAATAATAAAGAAAAAGAATAATTATTAAAATAATAATTTCGACTGAATTTGCATATTTAAGGTCACTCCCAGGAACCATTAGGATTGACACTTAATATGTGAAATTCCAATCATTTGAATAACAGTTATTCAGGGCGATATTTTTTTCTTTTTTTCTTGCCCACTGTATATTTGAATAAAATTGTGCAAATTAAATAATAATAAAATTCATTTTAAAATAGTCTTGGATCATAATAAATTAATTTTCATTTCCTGCATTGTTGATTCTTAAAGGTATGTAATGTAAAAATCCTAAATTTCAAATTCTAATAATTCTCAGTTTCTTTTTCTTTTTTGAAAATGTGTGCTTTCTTGCATCTAATAAATTGTTATAAGAGTTAAGAATAAAAACTTAAATGAGAGTATTTTTTTACCTTTGAATAGGGCAATATTTTTTATATTAATTCCCAATGTGTAAAAAATATTTTAACCATATTATGTATTAAGTCCTTAAAGTTTTTGACTCCTTTAAGGACATAATTTTCTTATAATTTTCTTTTCGGATTTAATACATAATTTTCTTCTTGTCTCTATATGTACCCTGTTTAATCTATAAATATTAGTGTATTTCCAACTATCAATTCTTTCTTAGTTACTTTTCCCATTATTCCAAGAACTTCTCTTGGTTGTTATAAGATCCACTCTCTCTTTTTTTTCTTCTTGTATTTTATCATCTATAGCCTCTCCTCTAAAGCTGCAAATCTGTTTTTCAGTTCCATGGGTGGGTTTCTTTCCTCAATTATTGAACTCCCCTTCAATGTTTCTGTCAAATTAAGAAATTTTTTTAAAATTATTATGATTTAAATTCCTTAAAGCTATAAACAAGAAAGAGGGGGGGGGGGAAACAATCTTATTGCCAGTATTTTACACTCTGAAGAATTTTTTTCTTGTGTGTGGAATTTAGAGAACCATTGTGACTGTAAATTTGTTTTGTTCCCCTCAAAAATTGAATCTCTGCAACACCCATAGTCCCATGATGAAATTTTTTTTTTTTAATTTTAATCTTAAAGTTTTTGGATGTTGTATTTGCAGGGATCTGTTTAGAAGAAATTTGGGTCCATTAACAGATCCTTCACAAAATATTATTTCATGAAAACGGACCCTTCACAAAATATTGTAACTTTAAAATGGACCCTTCACAAAATGATTTTTCTTTTAATTGGACCCTTCACAAATTTGTTTATTTTTGTTATTGTTTTGTTAATCGAATAAACCCTTCTCAAGGGGAAAAAAATAAAGACGGATGTAAACAATCTAAGTTTTGTCTTCGGCAGACGCGTCTTCCTATATTCTTCCGAAATGAATATTCTGCGTTCAGCAGGCTAAATACCAGATATTTGTATGTTGCATCTCTAATTTAGAAGCAGCAATTGCTGTTTATTTTTAAAAATTAATTTTTTTAAATTATAGTTTTACAGTGTTGAGTATAATCTTGTATCGATTTACAATTTAAAAACTCATTGAAAAAACAATGTTTTTTGCAATAACAGGACCCTATTTGCACAAATTCATAAAAGCAGGACCCTGGTTGAAAGATTGTGACTTAACATTTGTTTTATATTTATAAATTACAAGTAATTTTTTCACAATTTTGCGAAAACGGACCTTTCACAAAATGTCTGGACAGACCCCTGCTAATGATGTCATTCTTTTACAGTGTTAAAAAAATACTTTTTGAGTGCTTGAAAAAACTTATTTTTTGTTGAAAAATTTGGCTGCGCATCCTGTATTAATAATGTAAATATTTATATTTGGCTCTGTAATCATGAAAGTTGTAACATTTATTTCAACGTTAAAGTGAACGGTATAAATAAATTTACTACCACTTTTTTTAAATTCGGTATTTTTCATACGTTGGTTACTTCTGGAGGGAAAACTTAAAATTTTTAGTTTTTGAAACACTTTTTAAATAAAAATTTTCTGGGAAACTTCTCACTGAGAATGAGGAACTCTGGATTTCGAAAGTTCTGCCAAAAAACGAGGATAGTAAACTGTTGGTCTAAGTACGTACATATCAAAGTACGACTTGAAGTTTTTCTAAGTTTGTAACCGCCTGAATTTACATAAATTTCTTGTCGTACTTATCAGATTTCTTTTTACATGAAGAGACTTTCTAAACTATTGTGGAGATCTGAAACATCTGATGATAAATTTTAAAAAGCAAGAAACATCGTTTATGATCTAGATTTTGCAACGACTTTAAACAANGATTATATCGATTTAAGAAATTTCTATATCGTCCAGCCCTAGTCCTAACATTCCATGTCCCAATCCTTAGTTTGATTTTCAGTTGGGTCAGTGTCCTTGTCTGTGAATAGGGGTCCTAGCGACTTTGCCCAATTCCTATCATAGTCGGCTCCTTGCTAGAGTCAATCAGTTATCTGCAGGAGAACCACAGGTCACCACACCGCCAGCATTAGAAAAAGTAGTCACCCTGTCTGTGGTTTCTCTAAACACTGCTTTTATATGTGGTTGTTCAGCTCATCACACAGCCTTCCTCTTTTATCTTGGCTTAGAAATGGAGAGTGAATAAAATTTATTTAAAAGTGTCACATTATTTCAGTATTTTCAAATTGTGTATCTAAATGTACACTTTTTTTTCTTTTCTTTTTAGAAATCTAGACAATCATCTACATTTTGATGAAATAAATAGCATTTCTAGTGAAATGGCAAATTTATTATCATTAAAGGGAAGGGAAGAAGTGAAAATTGTTATTATAGGAGCAGGTATTGCTGGTCTTGCTTGTGGATCCTATCTCACAAAAAACCATTTTACTGATGTTCTTATTTTAGAAGCTCAAAATAGAATTGGTGGCAGAATTAATTCTATTAAACATGGTATGTTAAACTTTTATATGGAGTTATTTCCATCTTATTTTTAATATTGGTTTATAGCAAAGCCTCTCCTACTTAAAAATGTTGTTTATAATAAAATATGGGCATCAATACCAGAATTTTTTCTAGAAAGAATTTTAATGAAATTAATTTTTTATGAACTTTGTAGGTTTGTGTTTTAAATTTTATACTTTAAAAATATTAAGAAGGTACATGCTTAAATATTACTCCTTGATTTCAACATTTCAGTGAACAATATTGTGAGAATTTTTTATTATTCTAATATAAATAATTGTATAATGTAACATGAATAAAGCAGTATCTTTGGTTTTATAATAAAAATGAAATAAAAGTAATAACAAAATATGTTTGACATAATATGGCTTTGTCCTGAAAGTAACGAATAACAAAGAACCAATTGAAAATATTCATTTAATTGAGTCCTCATCTTCAGAAGTTTTTTTAAGGAAAATCTTGAGAAATAGGCACATTGCATTTAGAATTAAAAATATTCTTTAATAATTAAGTTATTTGTAATATAGTTATTAATATAAAAACCATTGTTTTATCAATATACACATACACTAATTCTAATCATAATATTTTTCTTATTGATCATTAATCTCTGATGTCCAATTTGAATTAGAGTCATTACCTTTTCAATGTCACCTTCAAAATAAAATAAAATCATCTATATACAGTTTTCCAATCATATAATTACATCAGAATTTTATAAAAACTTAAATTATTAAGTTCTAATTGCCATGCTGTACTTGTTTGATGAAGGACGTAGTTTGCTTTATCAACATAACGTGATTATTGCAGATTAATTTAGAATCTAGTTTAAAAACTGTAGATATTTCAAATGTTTGCTAATTAAGTCGTTATATATATGCATACTTGATGTCAGCATATCTGTGTAACAAACCACAAAATTTCATTAATCATTTGCTGATTACTCTCCACAATAATGGTTTCAGTATTCTATTCTGCTGGGTACCGAGTCACGTCGGTATACTAGAGAACAACTTGGCTGGTTTGGCTGCACGATCTGCCACCAATGTTTTAACTATATCCATACCTTTCTCAGACATAAAACATCACATTCGGCAGTCTATCACATCTCTCTGGCAACAACAGTGGGACCTTAAAATTAATAACAAATTGCACTCAGTTGAACCAGATATTAACCCTTTACCTGCATTACGTCTACGTCACGCAGATGTTAAGCTAACCCGTTTCCGGATCGGCCACACTCGTTTGACACATCTACATTTACTGTTTGGAGAACCGCCTCCCCAGTGCAACTCTAATATAATATTGTTTTACGCTCTATTATTATTTTAACTATTTTCCCATGTTTTGAATTTTATCGTTTGATCTTTTTTGGTAGTTCTATTTTATCTCTGGAGGATTTGTTAGGAGACACCCATGAAGATAACATTTTTGCGTTTCTAGGCGCAGTTGGTATTTTATACTGTATATAACTGTTTTATCCTATTTACACTTTTATCTGATTTTATTCACGTTTTGATCCTGTTTCATCTTGCTTTATAGTATTTATATTTTAGCTGATTTTATTCACTTTAGAATACTCTTGTTAGGTTGTGTAAAGTTCTAGAAAAAGAAATAGCAGGAAGCTTTTTACCTTAGATTCGTTTTGAAACCGATTGTTTGACGCGGCATGTCCTTCTGTGGATCTTGTGCCATTAAACCCTACATTCAATTCAATTCAACAAACCTCAAAATATGAGTAGTAATGAAAACAAAGCATAATTATGAAAACATAATTAATAACTGATAAAAATGTTTAGAAGATGTATAATCCATAAATTTATGAGCATTTATATTGCTCAAATTATTTTTCTTTGATTTTAGGGGATGAGAGGCTAGTATGGACTGTTAAAATATTTCCGTCATTTCATTTGTCTATAAATTTTGGATAAATGGCAAAACTGTATAAAACTATCTTGTGCAGTTGCATACCAACACAATTGTTTAGTAGCAATAAAAAAATAAAAGTTTTTGTAGTGGAAATGTAAGTTCTTTTTTATTACTAGAAGATATGTTAAAATAAAATAGGCTTATATATTATGTAAAATTAAACAGCCTTATTATTATTTGGTAGTGTGCTTAAATGAATAAATGACACAATGTGGTTAGTTTGGATAGATGGTTTTTGGGGGCTACTGTGGACACATTAATGTAGCTATCTTTGATAAAGTTAATTATGATAAACAATTGTGATAATAAATTAAAAATTTAGTTTATTAATAACACATCACAATGTTTGGTATTTTTATACTAAATTAGTTTGATTTAATAAAGTATTTATTATATTTCCAAGTTTCAGGTTCAAAATTTTATCTTTTTACTTTTTAATTTGTACCTTTAATATTGTAAAGCTATCAAAACATTGCTTGCTCCCAATCTGGAAAATTTACCTTTGTAAAAAGGATATTTTGTTCTTCCAAAAGAAAATATATGGATACTTTCCAAAATAACTCCACAGTCATGTCACTAGACTTTATGTCCTTGGACCCAAGACTTTCAATTTTCTGAGTCATTTTATAACTTGGATACAAAGAATAATCAATATTATTTTAGTTCCTTTAAATGTTTTTCAAAAAATGCACAAAACTTATTATTTTTTCATCCAATGGGGAAATTTTTCTGAAATGGTGGCAACAGTGCCAGTAATTTTTAAATGTTTTATTTTTTACATAGAGTGATTTGCCATCTTATTTGGAAATATGTTTAGGTTTAGTACATCTTTTTTGAAAAATTTTGGGCTGCTCTAATGTTTGCGTTACTCTTTCTTTTACAATCAATCGCTCTTACTTTATAAAATACTCAATATAGCAAAGAAAGCAAATAGAGTTAAATATATTTATTTTATGAACCTTGAGGAACAACTCGAAATTGTGAAACAGTTTTTTCACAGTTTTGGTTTTAAAACTGGGAAAACCACCATCCAAAAAGCAACCAAAACTGTGTGTGAAAATTGGAGTTATTTCCTGTCATAGATATGTTTTATTATAAAATCAATACACTTTCATTAAATTTCAGTTTTTTTAAATTTAGGTAATGGCTTCCTCGAACTAGGGGCTCAATGGATTCATGGTTCTCATAATGAACTCTACAAATTTGCCAAAGAGAACAGAATTTTACCTTCTGTGTTAGATACCTCCTCTTGTGAAGGAAAAGGAGTATTTTATACTTCATCTGGAAATATTGTTGATTCTTTATTAGTTGATGAGGTAAAAACTGTTTTAGATGATGTTAAATCAATGTTAGAGAAAGCAGATTCATATGAAAAAATATCTGTTTTAAGTGCCTTCTCAGATGCCTTTGACTCTTATCTTACCACAATTAATGATCAATCGAGGATCCCATTATTAAAAGGATTGTATGACTGGTATATAAGATTTGAACTTATAGATAATGCTTGTGAATCTCTAGAAACAATTGCGTCTCAAAGTTACGCTGACTGGGATGATTGTGATCCAGATGTATACCATATAATGACTGAGAAAGGATTTTCTTCAATTATTGATGCTCTGGCAACTTTCATGCCAAAAAGTAATTTAATTCTAAATAAGCCAGTTAAAACACTGACATGGCAGCCTGATTTTAAACAGAAAAAATTTTCAGATGAAAAACCAGTTTTAATTGAATGTGATGATGGAGAAACCTTCTCTGCTGATTGTGTTATTGTTACCGCATCTCTTGGGTTCCTTAAAGAAAACTGTCACTCATTTTTCAATCCATCTTTACCTTATAATAAGTGTGATGCTCTTAATAGGTTTGGTTTTGGAGTTATTAACAAATTTTATTTAGTTTATGAAAAAGCATTTTGGCACCCAGATGACCTTGGAATTCAACTTGTTTGGGATGAAAATCTTAATGAAGAAAATCAAAAGTTACTGAATGAGGTAAATAAACAAGATTTTATCTAGTACATTGTTCTTAATCCCCTTCCCTTGCCTGCTTGGATTTCATCTAAAATTTTAATTCCTATTTTTTATTTATTTTTGTTGTAAATTTTTCATGATAAACTATCATTCAACGTCATTAAATCTTTTAAAGAAGGTCAAAAATTACAATGTTGCTTTTTTTGACAAGGAGAAATAAGGCTTGATAACTTTTAGAATTTCTATGAATTTTTTCTCTAAAATGTAAACCTGTAAAATTGCGTGTTATATTATATAATTTAATGCTGTAAGTTCATGTTTACGATTTTTTTTAAATTTACATTTTTTATTGTATAAAAACCAATTTGTATCTTGCTGAAAAATGATCTTAACCTGAATTACACATGCAAAAAGCTATTGAGCAAAAATCTAAAAACTGACAAATGTATAATACTGAACTACCTTTCAAACAATACTGATTTTAAAATTATATTGGTATAATTTAATAAAAAAAAATAAAGAATCTGAAGTACAGCATATTATTTTTATCAAATTCTGAGTGGGTGACGGCCTTGTATTTTACATCCATTTGGTTGTAAGATGCAAAGATGATTCAAACATATTTATAATTTCTTTCTCCATTTTGTATAACTTTAAGAATTTCTCAGACCAAACCTGATCAAGCTCAACTCCTTTGATAGTTGAGTTTGATATAGAGAAAAAAAGACTTCTTGATGTATATTTTTTAATTCCCAAAATTTTATTCATTTTTACTTTCACATTTTTACTCATTAAAACATTCATAAAGCGTTGAGAAATATTTAATTTGAAACTCATGAAATTGCTAAAGATTTATATGCTAGTGTAATTTTGTTATTATGAAAGCGGAAAATGAAGCTTTTGTGTCTTTTACGTACTTTGTCAAAGTTTTCAGGTCTTGTAGTTTATTTTTCGATGCTATTTTTTTCCAAAATTCTTTTTTATGCATATTAATTTGTTAGATAAAATTTTAAAAAAAAGAAAGAAAAATCAGCTTTGAATAATTATTTTTTATTGTGACTGTATAGGAAATGTTTATTTACCCTTTTTAGGTTTAGCTTTTTTTTTCCTTCAAAATATTGAATTCATATGCAGAGCTGTAGTATTTACCCTGGACCTCGTTTTTTAATAGTCATAAAAAATTCACTTGAAACATTAAAATCCTCTTCTCAATTTTATCACATAGCTATACCAATTTATTTAGCATAAGGAAGAAAAGCAGTTTATAGGGGACCTACATAAAAAAAATCATCTAAATCAAAATTAGGAAATAAGATTTATTTAAACATATTTGGATGATTATTTAAAAAGAGCCCTTAAATTTAAAATGCATCAATTGTAAGGACCACTAACATTGTGTATATAAAAATGAAACGATAGTACAAATTTTGAAAAAAAGAGAAATAGAAGGAGGAAAAAAATTCATTTTTTTCTCAATTTCATTTCTAAAAAGAATGAAATTAAAAGGTAAAAAACATTTATTTCAGTAATACAAGAGAAAATCTTGGAACTTAAATTATAGTAGCTTGGAACTTGAATTATGGCATAGAAAAAAGAGAATATTTTAAGGCCTTTGCAAAGTGTTGTGATGATTACAAAAATAAGCATTTCTCTCAAGAATAATAGGTCAAATTATCTTTGTTAATTATTTAATTTGTTGCTATTCATTTATTAGCATCCCTTTGTTCAAATTGAGATCAAAATTGTTTTGCAAACCATTTTGTAAAAATTAAACCATTATTAAAAAATTATTATTAAAAATTAAATCTTTCCCCTTTTGTTTCCCCCAACCACCCTTTTCATCAATTTCTGAAGTAAATTTTTTTTAATATTTTTCATTAATTAGTTATAAATTTTTACTTAACATGTTAATTTATTTCTTTATTTTGATATTTTAAATATTCTAAAATTAAGTGTTTTGTTTTTAAAAATCACAACTAATTGTTCAACATATTATAACAGAACTTAAAAATATTTTGGAACTGCTAAAATAAATCAGTGGTTTAATCTTGTTAGAACCATCAATGTTAATATTTGTCAAAAAATTACATAATCAGCTAAAAATGATTTTATTATAAGCAAAAATGTTTTAACTGAAACTTCATTGTAGTGGGCAGAAAATCACTTTCCTCAACCCAATGCCATATCATAAATACAAAATCAATTATTGATACCTTTTTTTAAAAAAATTAAAAAATGCAGATTGCATAATTTTTAAGTTTTCAGATTAGTTGTACTGGCATTTAGCCTTAAGTATCAAATTATAAGATATGTCTGTTGTCAGAGCCTGCTCTAAGGATTTCAAATTATTAGCCAGATATCAAAAGAGCCAGATATCGCCAATTTTTGAAAGTCTTTGCCAAATACAAATCTTAATAATTTTGTATGATTAATTTTTTCCCTTAGAAAACTATTTTACAGTAGTTTATTTCAGGCTTATATTATTTGGACCTAATTCTAATTGGTCGTGCGGTGCATCTATCGAAAATTACAGTAATCAAATAAAAAATACTGATTTGTTCAGAAAAATTCATTTTAATGTAATTCTGAGGGTTGCGTTAAATATATATATATTTTTTCCAGTGGGAAAAATCATTCACCAAAACACAATTTTATTCATCAACTTTAAGATTTTATGGCATTTGGTGAACTGGTGAATGCTTACCTCAGGCCCTGGTTGTGTAAAAAGTGACACTGTTTTTCGAACATTGCATATCTTTGTTAGATTTCATTTTTCATGAGACTACTGTATTTTTTTATTTTCTCCTGGTTTAACCAATCATTCTCCTGATTTTTTATACATTTGTAGAAAATCTGACATTCTAAAACTTCTTAAAAAAAACCCCTGTAAAATAGATATGTTACTTAATCTGTTGTTCACTTGAGAACTTAAATAAGTAATATTGCTAGAAAGCCTCAGATAAAAAGTAAATTTTTTAAACATATATCTTTGCTTCATTCTTAATAATTTGTTCTTAAAAGAAATTTCTGAGATTTCAAATTTTTCGGTATTTCTTTACTTTTGATTACTGTCAAAACTTTGAAATTTAGTACTGGTTATTGGTTATTAGAAACTGCAGAGATAATTAAAACAGGGTCCACTTTAAAATAAATAAATGCAAAGTCATAAATATTTAAACCATTTTTAAAGTCATTGAAACAAGAGAAAATTAAATTTCTATTTAATTAATTTACTGTTTAAGTGTTTTGGAGTTATGCACGGTTTCTAAAAAACTCAATACTTTTATAACAATATTGAGGTACGCGAATTTTGAATTTTAGTAATCACTTTTTGTCTCGCTTTTTTTTAAATTGCTACTTTCATCTCAAATCCAAGTGATTTTTTTTATCTTTTTTTTTGCCAGTTTGTTTATGAATTTCTATGTGATTAAAATTCCAATAAATTTAATGCGATATTACAACTTGTGAGTTTTAAATCATGCATTTAGTATTTTATGCGTTTTAATCACATACTTTTTGACTCTCTTTATTTTTGCTGATTTCATTGTAAAACGGAATGAATTTTTTTAAAAAAAGACTTTTTTTGCTACACTTTTTTTCATGATTTTGACAAATTTTTACTCCGAAATCATTATGACAGGATAGTTTCAAATTGCACATTTAAATAATCGCTATCTGATTTTCTTTGATCTTACTGATTTTATCAAATATCGCAGTTGTTTTTCTACTGTTTTTCAGCAGTTATAGCTTTACATTTAAACATGCTGAATTTTATTATGACATGCAAATTTTAAATAGTGCATTTAGATAATTACTTATTAACACACTATATTTTCTTTGTGATTTTATCATAATTTAAGTGGTGTTTTTTTGTTGTTATTGCAACTATTGTAATGTTCTTCCAAGTGATTTAGACGATACTGTGTTTTTTTACAACTACAATGATATTACGGTGGGCATATGTTTAATCACGCATTTTAATAATCATTTTTTGATACAATTTTGGCTCCTATTTTGTCGTCAATCCAAATTTTTTTCCCGGCAGTTCAAGCCATGTATTCCGATATTTTAATGCAATGTAATACAGAATCCCGATATTTAAATACAGTGTAATTACAACAAGAGGAATTCGAGAAGTGTTGAAAAACATTAATTTTAAAGCTGCTCACTGTTTGTAATTCTTTTTTTAATTTTTTGCTGCTTGGGTGCTTTTTTCAGGGGAAAAAATGATAAAGAAAACATTTCCGATTTAAAAGTTAGGAAACCATTAACAATTCAAGAAATTGAAATAATATCTGTAGTAGGATACCAAATAAATATTGAATCTTATTTTGTACTTTAATGGTTTTATAGTAATCTTTGGTTTTTGTTTAAACCCTATAAATTTTCTTGAGTAAAATATTTAATTTGAATTTATAGTACTCATCAAAATATGTATTTATTGATTATTTTTTATACTTTTGTTGCATTCTGATATAAAAATATATTTTTAGAATCCTTGGGTGCGTGGTATTACAGGATTTGATATTGATAAAAAATTGCCGAATGTTTTACTAGGCTGGATTGGTGGCAAAGAGGCTAAACTAAGTGAAGAGATAAGCGATGATGATATTTGCCTCATTTCTACAAAACTTTTGAAGATTTTCTGTAATCAAAGTGATCTACCAAGTCCGCTTAAAGTATATAGGTAAACTGTTTACCTACAATTTAATTGTAATTGTAGGTAAACCTACAATTTAATTTTGTAAAGAAAACTCCAGTTTAATATGTTAAGTAACAGTATGACATCAAAAACCGAACTACTCAGGGGGTTTGGAAGGTCTTGATTTCCAAAATTTCTGGATTTTAGATATCTTACTTAAACCAATAGAAATATACAAGTTTCAATGTTTCTGGACCAATACTGTGATTAAATGTGCAAGTGCAGACGTCTGGCGTTGATTGTAACAACTATATATAAATACGTTTTAAATAATAAATAAGTGATATTAAAAAATGACACAAAAGCAAAATGTACTTAAAAAAAATAAATATTAAAATGAACCCAATTAATTACTGTTAAACAGGCATGAAAGTTTTCAGCTTTTACTCTGAATTCAGCTTTTTTCAAAGCTTTTTAATATCCATACATTTATTAATTTCATAATGTTTGATTGCGTTTATGTAGAATTCAGCTTTTTTTGCTAACTGGTACCTTCATCCCTGGTTAAACTTATTTCTTAAACATGTCAAAAATTATCTGTTGCTTTCATTATTTTTGTAGCGTGGGCCATGGCTCCTCAATCAGCTCCAAATTAATATGGGTAAGAAATAAATGTAGGAGATAGATTTGGTTATTAGTAAAATGGTTCTGAATCAAATGCAGGTTAAAATTAATCAAAAAGTTCTCCATGATGGCAAATTTCACCCTATACTTACTCTAGGAGTTCCCTTCACTTCTGTATTGGGTTCGAAAGTACAAGGCTATGGAGTTAAACATTGTTAGTCGTAAACTAAAATTTGGTTGACTGTTCAACGATGGCTGTGAAATGAAATGACATAAAATGTCTGTCTGAAAGCAATATTTAGTAACAGTTTAATATAAAACAGTTACCATTAAAAAAATATGACCCCTATATCACCCTAAATTATTCAATTTTCTTATAAATTTTTATTTATTAATTAAAAAATTGCTGAATTTCGGTTTTTATTCATGAAATTTATTTTATTCATAAAATTCTTTTAAAAAAAATGAAAATCAATGATGTGACCAAATTTTTTTGCAGAAAATAATTAAATTTAATAAAGGCTTGGACAGATGATTACTGCTTCAATGTATACTTTTGCAGCATTTGTACAATAAATATCACAATAGTATATCACAATATCAAATGTAACTTTAAAATCCCACTATGAACACAAAAAAAAAATTCATCTCAGTGAAATGATAATAAACCTTCAGACAACTTTCATGCTACAGAGTGCAATTTGAGTTTGACATTGACTTAAAAGTTTTTTTTTTCCAACAATACTAATATTAAATGTAAATTAATTGTCTAATAAAAGCATGAAACTTCATACTAAATATATCTTTTTACATTGAAAGTTTTTCTATTATTCAGCTATCCCACTTTGTTTAATGAAAACATATAGATTTTGAAATATATGAGCAAGTTATAAAATGAGAATATCAAAGGAAAATTTCGCTGCCAAATAATTATTCTTATCAAAAAATGCAGTCCTAGCAGCAAGGTGACAAAAAAAAAAAGAAGAAAAAATTAAGAATTTTTAACTCAAGAATGTAGAGCAGCTTTTTTTACAGTACTTTTCCACATTATATATATATATATGTAAATGCCTCGGTACCATTAATAAAGTCAATCAAGACATTTAATGATTATGCTTATTCTTTAATAAAAACATGAGTCACACAGACTCTTAAACAACTAAGATTGAACCACACAGGTTCCAAGTTTCACATAGAAACATATTTCAATTAACTAATATCATAGTAACTTAGAGTCTTAACCACTAAGGTTACCCGTTTCACTTAGAAACAATATTAACTGACTGACTTCATTTACATCGAGAAAGTTCTATGCATTTCATTCAGATGAGCGACATCTGGCGGGATAACATAGAGGCTGTTGCCTCGCTTATTACATATATATATTCCACAATTTTCTCAATGGCTGACAAAGGAGACTTAGTTGGTTAATGTTTTCGCAGTTCTAAATACAAACAAATGAATTGAGATGTAGGTTCTTGAGTAAATTGTAGCTTTAAAAATATGGTTTAAAAAAAACTTTCCATTTATAATTTTGTTTTTTTGAAGAGTTTTTTTATTTTGACATGACATTAATCATGGATTTAAGAAATGTTATTTTCTTACCCGCATTCAAACTTATTTTACTTTTCCATGAAAACATTTTGCTTTTTCGGAACATTTCATTAAAAATTTCAAACTTAGCCTAAGCAACTTAACCTCATTTGCCTGAGCAAAATTATCTCAGTTGAGCAATTATATCTACTTTGTCTCTGTAAAAAGTTATTGGTAATTTTCTACAACCTCTAAGACCTCATTAAACATATTTACTCTTTAAGCCATGGATTTTTTTAAAGTTTGCTATGTATTTAAAAAATTAACCTAAAGTATAATTAGTAGCTTAGGTTTGTCTCAGTAAATGCTTGTCAATGGCTGTGGGCAAATGAAGTTTAATTTTGTTTCCTATGTTGAGTTATTCTTATGCTTATTTATTCTTCTCCTTTTTTTGTTCTCAATAATAAACTAACTCTTTGGTAATCTCATATGTTCTTTCACCTGTCAGGGCATCAGTGCCACCTAGTGTTTATCTGAACAAAATGATCTAACATGCATAAGTGATATAACTCCATAAAATAATTCAAATTTGAAGTCATTGATTCTCTTGATTTGTGACTATCATGAAATATATAGCTGAAGCCGTTTAAACTTGCAAAAATAGTTAGTAATTTCTGTAACAGTTATTTTGTATCTGTTACAGGATTGTGTTTGTTCCAAAAGTAATATATTGTTTCCAGAGATCCGGTAGAAAATAGTAGGCAAAAGAAGGTACAGTTCGATTTTGTTTGCATTTTTCCAAATTTTAATGTAGTTTTTTTCTATCAATTATAAATTTTTTCATAATTTTCATTAATTATTCAAGCAATAAAAAATTTAAATTTGTAGGAAAGGTACCATTACTTTCAAGTTATCACTTCTAAAGGCTCCATAAAATCATCAACTCATAATCTATATTAGCCTCTAGTCCAATATTTGTTTTTTTAAATGCAATAATATAAAAATCGTGTTCAACACAAGGATGAGAAAATGAAATATAATTGAAAATCTATTGAAAAGATAAAGATTGAAAAAAGTATGTATTAATAAATATGAGAAATAAATACATCTGAAATTTACAGTGAAACATCATTATACCTGATTTTACCCCTCCTGGGCAGACACCTCACAATTTTCAAAGTTATGTGCTGTCTTCTATGAAAAAACCATTAAACTGTAAAATTCTGTTATTGAAGAACTTTTTTAACCATAATATTAACTCCCTTCCTAGGTGAACACCCTCTTAACTTGGCACAGACTGTGATTTTCTTTTTAAAAAAAGCTTTTAAATCCCTTTAAAGTGGGCTCTCCTCCTTATTATTAATTGTTTTTTGTATGTCATCTTTTAAACATAAATTTTGAAATAAAAATCAATTTTTAGGGCTTTCAAAATAATACCATAGTAATTCAAAGTAATAGTAATTTAACATAGCAATTCAATCAAGGTTTTCAAATAAATAATAACATAGTATAGTTTTCAAATAAATAATAATTCAAAGTTTTATAAATAATTTATTAAAGTGAAGTTGGGGACAAATTTTCATGTGGGTAAGTGAGAAGTAGGAAATAGTGAACCAAACTTTGCCTATGATTTTTGACTAATGGTTATTTACATTATTGGGAGTTAGTATTGTGCATCACAACTACTTTTAATGCATATTCAAAAATTCAATGGAGCTTGCACCTTCCAAGTAAGTATTACTGTAGTATTTGTAACATTACACTGGTGGACAAAATTAAGAGATGGAAGACATTTTCCCAAATATCTCAAAAAATACTGAATATAAATAAATGAAATTTGGTATGGATATAGCTTATTCCATGATAATAAAGTATGCAAAACAAAAATGAAAGTGCCATTCACTGGCAAGACCTATTGCCAATAAATCCAATGTAGTCTGAACTTAAGGATAAAAGATGACAATAAAAGTGAGGCTTGTACAGTGTGTGTTGCCTCTAGTATGGTGTATGGTCACCCCTGACAGACAGACAGCATGCACAACGAGTATGCATGCTGTTAATAAGGGAGTTAAGGAGGACTTGTGGAAGACCCTCCCATTCTTCCACCAGAGCAACTTTTGACTTCAGAATGGTTCTGGGGGGAGAATGACGCATCGCAATAGCTCTCCCAAGAGACCCTAGTTGGCCCTAGGTATTGAACTCAGGGCCAACAGCACTCCTGAAAAGACGCACATTGGGCTCTAGGACCTCCTGCCTGTACCTCTGGGCATTCATGGAACCATTGTCAAACACATGGAGCGGTGTGCGGGTACCTTGCATGTGCGAAAATGCTTTCCATCTCTTAATTTTGTCCACCAGTGTACATCACGGTAGCATTTTATACTATGGGAATTCAGAACCATTCATAATAATATTTATAATCATTCATTCATATATATCTTCTTCTTAGAACTTCAGAAAAATTGTTGTCTTGTAAAAAAAACATGATTTAAGATTGAAGAACTTATTTAACCATAATATTGATTTGGTTAAAATAATTTTAATATTATTGGATTTCTCAATTAGCATGTCCTTCTCTTAAGCAGACTCCACACTGTGATTCTTAAGATTAACTGAGGTTATATTATACTTGGAATTTATGACACAAAGAAAGCCTGGTAAAGGCTAAAGGTATAAACTATATAAGTTTTTATTAAACCTATATTAAAAGACTCAAAATAGCTAATAATAATGATTTTTTTACTATGCGAAATAATTGATTAAGGATTTAAGCTACTGGGGATAAGGGCATCTGAATGCCAAATGTGTAAATACATGTTATTTATAGTTCTTATGTGGAGAAAAAAAAGTTCTAAGTACAAAAGTAGCAAATAGTTCATTTCATTTAGGAGTCTGTTTGTTTATATCACACCCTGGTTTTCTGATACATCATTTCATTTGGCGAATAAAGAGTGAACTATCCAATAAATCCCCCTTTGAGAAAATGTGCTTTAGATCTGTAGCTTCAAGAATCAATTTTCCCTTGAGAAATTTGCATGCATAGAAGTTAAAATAAAGATCAGGGGAAAGACTGAAATTACACTAGGTATTGAACAATTCTGCTGGCCAGGTATAAAGACCATGCAAAATTGCGTTTAAGATCACCTTTATGAACATAATATCGTCAACTATTCTGATTGCCTCCTAGGAGGCAGCAGCTTGCTGCATACCATCTCACTCTCTATCTGTCCCTAAATAAAGGATGTACTTCTGTTGTTAGGAGGCTAAGAAACTTTTTACATAATTTAAAACTTTAACTCATTCCTTTTTGTTTTTATAGTTTAATTTTATTTGTTTATACTCTCCTTTGTACCATTTTTATTTCTGTATCTTCTTTTGTCAGAAAAGCTAAGTTCACATCTGCCTGGTGCTTTTGAAATATTAAAAAAAAAAGATTAAATTTACACACATTTTAAACAAGTACTAAATACCTTTAAAAAAAATTTAGAATTTTATTTTGAGCTATATTGTCAACAGATTATTAGCTTAAAAAACATTGAATCCTAAGTTGCACCGTCTATTGATTGTGTTGCTATATCTTATTTGTATTTTCCATGCTACTTTTCCTAATTAATTTACAAAAGTTTATTTACTACTTTATAATTTGTAGCTATTGTTTTAAGATGAAAACAAAGCAATATACTTTTTAGATGGCTAAAACATCTCTCTTGTGAATTTAAACTATCTTTTAGTTTTGATTACCTCCTTTATCAGTTAGTAGAAATATAATAACTGGACACCCCCAATATATTTTTTACTATAATGTAAAGCTTTTATTAAAAAAGTTATTTATAAACAATTCATACTATGTGCAATTCAGAAATTGCTTAGCAATCTACCTATAATATAACGTAGGTATGAACAGTGATTTCTTGAGATTATCTTCTTTGCCAGTTATTGGAGGTATCTCAAGTGAATACTCTCAATATGTTTAACTGAAGATTGCTGTGAATATTAAATGTTTAAATAATTCTTTTGAAAAACAAAGGAAAAAGGTAATTATTAAAACCAGATATTTTTTTTTCCAGATCAAAATGGTATCAAAATCCATATGTGAGGGGTGCATACAGCAATCGCACTCTAAGCTATTATGAATTTGAATCGACCTTACATGACCTTCAATATCCATTATGTTCTACTTATACTGCAAACACAGGTCTAAAATTGCAGGTAAGCATTTTATTTATGTTTTAAATTATTTAATGAATTTTGGCATTTATGTCATTTAGTATAATTTAACCATGTCTCATAATTCACCTAATAGATCAGATATTTTCCCCTTGGTGTTGCTTTGCATATACAATTAAAATTCTGTTTCACAAGAAATGCTTCACAAGAAGAAACAACCAAGAGCTAGAGAGGAAAAAAATTATGTAAAAGGCAAAATGAATTTTGGTGTATATATATTTGCTATATATATGCACACTACCCTACAGTAATTGAAGAGAAATTTTCAGTTTTTGACATAAGCTTTCAGAGGTTTGAAAGACCTACAATAAATTATGAAAGAAAACGAGTATTTTTTAGTGTTTTTAGCTCAAGTGACCCTCGTAACAAACCATGGATCTAATCGCTTAATGAAATGATCTGCATTCTTTGAAAATGATTTACTAAAATTTTTGTATAATGTTTATTGTATAAAGTGTATATTTATGTATAATGGGTTATTTTATTAAAATGAGTGGGCCATCTAAATGGTACGAATAATACTAGTACCAACAAAAAATTTTAAACTGCCATTCGAAAGTGTGGGTAAATTGAACTGTCTTGAAGGCAAGTTTAAAACTTTGAAAATAACTATATGTAATGAGAAAGCTAAAGGTGTGGACACCTAAAATCAAATTTAAAGAAGATCCTGTCTTGTTACTGAAGAAGGAAGTAATTCTCTGACTATTTTAATATTCTTCTTTTCGTTAATTCATAGTTTCTCTCAGAGATGATATCTGGTGGAAAGCATGTTTAATATTTTTTTCAGACTAAGTAATTGGAATGTTTTTCCACATGATTGTGAAAATCCCATATTTTTATTACGACATGTAAATTTAAAATCGCCTATTTAAATAATCCTTTCTTTACATGCTATGTTATTCGTGCTCTGTAGATCCAGTTGATGTTTAAATTGTTTTTGGCATTTATAACTATGAATTTCCACTTGGTTTATAATTACCCCTATACATTTATTACGATAACATGCCTCGTGAGTTATAAATCGTGCATTTAATTTATTACTTTTTTTTCCGTATTTATTATTTCTGCCGATTGTATTTTAAATCCAAGTTGTTTTTTAATCATTTTCTTAGCAATTTTTGTAATGCATTCTCACATAGTTTTTAATATTCTGCTTTTTATTGCGGCATCTGAATTTTAAATCAAGTATTTCAATAATTACTTTGTTTGGTAAGCATTACTCACTTTAATTTCATCCTAAATTTAATCCTTTTTTTTAAAAAAAATAAATTTTTGCGATGCTTTTCTTATTGATTTTTACGATCCTTACTTTAACTATGATGTTTATACGACATGCAATTTTTTAATCGCAAATTTAAATCATCACTATTTGATACAATATATTTGGGCATATTTCATTGTACATATAATTTATTTTTTCATGGTGTTGGTAGTTGGCACCATGCATTTGTATGTGTTATTTAGAATCCTGATATTTTAATACAGTCGAACCTGCCTATCTTGAATCTCGCGGGAAAGGGAAAAAAATTTGAGATGGAGAGGTTTCGAGATATACAGGTAAGTTTAAAAAATGAATTTCGAGCAGCAATGTTTAATTAAAAGAAACTTTAAATCATTTATGTTGTAAAGAATTTAATTATGATTACATATTAATTACATCTAATAGAAGTTTTTAACAGTCATACGCACCTCATAGGTAGTCTTTTAATGATTTCTGACATCGGATTTTCTTTGATTCGATAATTTTTCGAATGTTAGAAAGAGCAGCAAACCCCTCGTGTCCAACGTTTTCTTGACATTCAAGAAAGTTTGTTAAACGTTCCACAGCTTTTTCAGCTTCCTTTACTGTCACTTTCGGTGCTTCTATATGCTCTTTGTCTACTTCATTTTCGTCTTCAGAAATGCATCTGACATTATCGACGATTTCCGAATCTGTCAAAGTTCCACATGTGGCCAAGGCGTCATCCACTTGCAAAAATTCTTCAAAGGAAATGTTCACATTTAATCCAGATTTTATTGCATTCCAATCTTGTGAATTTATTTTGATCATTTCCTCATCAGTGATATAAGTTTCTTCAGCTTCCTTTTTGAAAATTTCAGTCTCTTCTTCACACTCATTCTTAAACCCAGCTTTTTTAAAACCATTTTGAATGGTGTTCTGTGTTACATTTCTCCATGCGTGGTCTGTCATTCTGATAGAATCCAGTACATTTATCTTGGGAAGGGTACTTCCTTCATCAATTGCATTTACAAGTTTGCGGATCAACTGTTTTCTGTAGTTAACTTTAAAACTTCTGATTACTCCCTGATCCATAGGTTGAAGCTTTGAGGTGGTGTTTGCGGGAAAATACTTAACACAAACATTTTTCAGTCCAGGCAGATTGTTATGCGCACTACAGTTGTCTATAAAAAGAATAATTTTTCTTTTTTTTAATCGCATGGATTTGTCTAAGGACTTTAACCAATTTCCAAAGATTTCACTCGTCATCCAAGATTTTTTATTTGCTTTGTATGGAAAAGGGAAGGATTTTACTTTAGAAAAGCATCTAGGCTTTTCTGAGCGTCCGATCATGAGAGGAGGAAGTTTCCCTGTGCCTGCTTCATTTGCAGCTAAGAGCAATGTCAAACGAGCTTTACTTTGTTTTCCTCCCCTGCATGCTTCATCTTTAAACATAGCAGTTTTGTCTGGCAAACATTGATAAAACAGTCCTGTCTTGTCAGCATTGAAAATATTTTTTGGCTCATAGCCTTTCACTAAATCAGGAATGTTTTTAATCCAGTCTTCGCATACACTTTCCGGAACAGATGCACTTTCACCACAAAGTTTTCGAAAAATAATATCGTGCCTATTTTTAAAACTTTCTAGCCGTCCGTTACTGCCTTTAAAATAATCTTCATGGCCAAGCTCTTTAGCAAAATTCTCAGCTTTTCGTTGCATTATTTGTCCACTGATAGGAATACCGCTGCTCCTGCATTGTGTAAACCATTTTAAAACACATTCATCCACGTCCGCAAAAGTGCATTTTCGGCTTTTTTTTTCGCATTCTTGTTGCTGCTATGAAATTTTTGCTCCACAGCTTCTCGATTCTTAATAATTGTAGAAAGAGTGTTTGCTGGTAATAGGAATACCGCTGCTCCTGCATTGTGTAAACCATTTTAAAACACATTCATCCACGTCCGGAAAAGTGCATTTTCGGCTTTTTTTCGCATTCTTGTTGCTGCTATGAAATTTTTGCTCCACAGCTTCTCGATTCTTAATAATTGTAGAAAGAGTGCTTGCTGGTAAACCGAACTTCACTGCAACTTCGTTTTTTTTTTTCATTAATGGATTTCCGTCAAAGAATGTTAAAATTTTCATTTTTTCTTCAATGGAGAGAACATTCAATTTACGTTTAGCCCCTGCCATACTTAATCAAAATTCAATTGAACAATGTTTTTAAAAAAACTGAGACGCTCAAACCAACGACCTCCTAAAAAAATTCTACTGATAAAATGAATTTCTCTTTGTGTTGTTCTTATCCATGTGTGGAAACTGATGCCCAGTGGTGACGCCCCCCTCATCAATCAACTTTTCATTGTCCGAATACACTCAATTGGTGGGAGACTGTGACAATAGTAACCGGAAATTCCAAGAAACGACCCCCCAATCTGCTCATTCTTACTTCCCATGGGGTTGGGAATTTTTCTGTTCTTCTAATGTAACTTGTTTGAACAAGTTCTGCTGTCCAGGCATCGGTTACGATGATGTACATTCTCCTTCGGGTTTTGAAAGAAATTCTTTCGAGATAAACTTGGAAAAATACATTAAAATTAAATCGTTAATGTCGGGAAACTAAGAAATTTCGAGAAATACAGGCTTTCGAGATAAGCAGGTTCAACTGTACAACATTATTGCACCATGAAAAATTTGAGGAAACGATAAATTAATTATTATGAAAAATGGAAAAAGTTTTTTACAACTGTATTAGTTTTTTTTATTTTTAAATAAACTTAAATAATTAAAAGTATTTAATTTTTATGCAAATATTTTATTAAGTTTACTGATTAAAAAAAACGGCTAAGACTAATGTTTATATAAAAATGATCATATTTTCTGCAAACATCACTAAATATGAGTACGGTCCCTCATTAATCTACCTGCTATACTAGTGGTCTTTCATTCCAAAAGGTACACTCCTAGCATAAAATGTTCTGCAATTTAAAAAATTACGGTTGGCAGGTATGGGGGTGCCATCGCATACGATGCACGATCACCCCATATATCGATCCATATCATCATGACTACTAAGCTGTAGGTATGTGACATCCGTTAGCCATATGTGTTGCCACGCATGGCAGTGCTTCCAAGAGCCATTTTTTAACAAAGCAATGCTCTGCCAACATAGCAAAAATGTCACTGCCCAGCAGGACATCATAAGATACTTGTATGCCTCAATGCCCAACTGTATCACATCCTGCATTTGCAGAGGTGATCTGAGATGGTACTAAAAACTCTATTTTTATTTTTCCCTGCAGTTAATGATAATTTTGCTATGATTTTTTAATCAATTACTTATATCACCATTATACTTACATATGTAAAAAATTTGCTTCGTTCTGACAACTTACTAGTTCAATTTTTCTAGCAATCAGTGTATATATAAGTGTGTGTGTATATATATATATATATATATATATATACAGTGTAACGTCCCATATCCGGACGTCCTTTTCCCCGGAAGGGTCGATTTCCCGGACACTTTTTAACAATCAAAATAAACAAATATCTCTCCATCTTCCCCTTTCCTAAAAAAAAAGGTCTTTTGACGCATTTTCTCTTTTTCTAGCTTGCACTGAACC